AAAAAAAAGAGGACAATTCTCCCGTACTTTGACAAGTGGATTCCTCCTTCACTAAACTACTAATTCTTTCTAGGTCACTCTCCGTTGCGTTTGTTGGACTCGCTTCAGCTGCATGCCACACGCCGGGGTACAGACAGGCTTCGGCTTCCTTCTTCTTTTCCTGCTCTCCTTCGTCCTTCGTCGCGACTACTTAGTCTCCCCACTTCGCACTTCCTTTCCCTCCATCATCGAGCACGAGACTTAGCTTGTAGCTTCCCAACTCGTCCAACTCCTTGGCTAATTATATATTGAACAAGATATCCCCATCTTGTCCGACTTGACACGCAACCACCACTGCCCGCTACCGTCACAACACCACATCGCCACCATCGCATCATCATCACCACCTTGACCGACACGCATCCGCATATCATCCCACCTTGCACACCTTGCCGAGACTGCCTTTGGCTCTCGCAATCACTGCGCCTCCTCTTTCTCGTCATCACATCCAACGTCTCGGTCCCCGCCACGTATGCGTTCTGGCCCAGAAATGGAAGGCATCACCAGCTTCTCCCAAAGACGTCCAGCCGCTGGCTCCCTTCCAGCATTCTCCCTCCCTCCTCCCAACGCCGAGATTCCAAGTAAGTGCCACTTGCCGCGTCTGCAGGCATCAACGTGCTGTCCTTTGGCGCACGCCTCCAAGCCACGGCGTCTTCACGAGCCGCAACCGTTGGTCTACCATGACATGAGCAGCAGCTAACAGCGACCTCCCCATCTGAAGGAACCACCGACGGCCTCAGCCCTAGCCTTTCTTCTGTCCACACTGGCGGATCACAAACCTCGCAGCACCACCAAGGCATGCACAGTTACACTTTTGGCGGCTCCATGCACAACAACAGCAACAACGCCCCCATGCAGGGCGGCGCCAGCGGCGCCGCCTCATGGAGCGGCTCCTGGAGCAACCACAGCAACTACCCCCCAGGCCAACAACCGCTGCCCAGCTCGCCATATGCCCGCCAGAGCATCAGCTCCAGCGCCAATGGCGCCAACACGGATAGCGCCAGCACCAACAGCATGGCCTTTAGCAACCCGCGAACTACCCAGTCGCCTGCTGGTCCCGACGGCCTCGCACCTCCTCCCTTTGACCAGAGCCAACAGCAGCACTACGTCACGCACAATCATCACAGCATGGCTACGGGCGCTTCTCACCACCAGGGCCTCATGGCCACGGCCTCGCAGCCTCCTTCCCAGTCGCCTCTGACGGCTCACTCGGACGGCTTCGCCCACGCCTACGCTCACCCTCATACGCGTCCTGGCAGCAACCCTAGCTACTATGCCACGTCCGGGCCTTCGCAGTTCTCGTCGTATCCGCCGGCTCAGCACTCGCCAACCCATTCCTCGCCCACGACGGGTAGCCCCGGCGCACGCGGCATCAGCTCGCTCCCCAACAACCTCAACTACCGCTATGGCGCCTACAGCCAATCCCTACCCGGCACCGTCATGTCCAACATGCACCACCCCGGTGGCCAGATGTCCATGATTCCTGGCATGAGCCACCACGGCTACGGTAGTCAAATGGTCTACCCTAACCATGCGGGTCCCCAACAATCACATACTGAGCGACCGTTCAAGTGCGACCAGTGTGTCCAGTCGTTTAGCCGCAATCACGACCTGAAGCGTCACAAGCGGATCCATCTCGACGTCAAGCCCTTTCCCTGCAACTACTGCAGCAAGAGCTTTTCTCGCAAGGATGCTCTCAAGGTAGGCTCCAATTCAACTCGCCTGATGTGCCTCGCGCTAATTTTGTTTGCTACAGCGACATCGCCTTGTCAAGGGCTGCGAGAACCGAACAGGGGACCAGAACGCGGAAACTACTCGCCGGCAAGGGGAACGCGAGCGTGACTAGCTAGCTATTGTTTACATAATGGACCGAGCCGCGTGACGGCCACAGACTTGTTCGGTTGGAGTTTGGGGGTTATGGTTATGACACGACTTTGGGATCTCTGGCGATGGGTTGATTTTGGACTGGGGTTTTCCTTGTCTGGGCTTGAATGTCTTTATTGCTTTGGTATATTACTTGGCTGCCAGTGGTAGTCTCATTTAATATTTGTACCACTTCCATTTGCGGCTGTCAGTGACTTTTATATGTACGACGCGGCACATGTACTCTGGTGTAGCATGGTATTTCAGGGCTGTCAGTGAATTTGTATGCGTACCACGTGGCACATGTGTCGTTGTGTATCTGCATATCCGTATACCTGTAGACTTTTTCCCTTTTTGATGCATTGCGGGAATTGGGGTTGGTTCTCAGGCCATGGTGGCTGTGTGTGTGTGACTCGACGGGCTATGACGATGGACTTGTTTCCCGAGTCAGAAGAAAACGCCTACACGAAGAAAAAGGCCCTCGTGGAACGTTGCACGACTTTGTACCGAGCCAAGGGATGCCAACTTGTTGTTTACGTCTTGTTGCAGGAGCCAATGTTTCGGAGGGGGTTACCAACATGTAGTTGTGGGATATCATCAGCCTTGTATTTTCAAGTGGTGCGGATGGGTGCGCTTGTTTTAGTCGGGGCAGCGTTTGCATGGTTTTCGGTTTGTATGGTTCTCAAGGCTTGGCTCGTAACTGGAGAAGACTAAGAATGAGAAGCAAGGGAAAACCCAAAGGATTCTCATCATGAACCTGTCTGTGTGTTACTTTTTTGCTCGTCGTTTCCGCACCCTGTCGTGCTCGTTGCTGAACAAGGGTTACATGGGACGGTTTCGCCCGGGGGGGGTCTGGTTTTTTTCTTTAGTACGGCTCGAATAACATGCATGTCTCTGCGCACAAGCCCACTCGAGGGGTTCAGCATTCATGGAATTAACGAGGGTGTCCCGAGTTTTCACCGTCGCTTTTATTCTGCTGTTCAGAAAAGATGACGAGTAGTTTTTTTGCTGAACTCGTCCCACGTCTCATGCCCACACCGTTTTCTTTGGAGTGTCGTTTTTGAAGAAGTAGTAAGAGGAATACATAGGTCTACGTGGCAGAGTCAAAGAGCATGGTCCGGTTACTTGTAGCATCATCACACAGGGCAGATCCAACGGCGCCAACACTCTGCAGACTTAATGTCCGAGTGATCAAACAAAAAGACAGGGCTCGGTGCCCACGAGCCCACCCCGAGTATGGCCTCACCGAAGGGGCCAGAACAGGCAGAACAAGGGAAAAACAACAAGTTGACACGTCAAAATGGCTCGCAGACGCGGATACAGGGAGTTCCTTTTCCGTTTAGTTGGGCAGCAAGGGGCGTGCTGAACCACGGAAAGAAAAAAAAAAGTGTGTGTCTTCATATATATTATGGATCATCATCCAGGACGACGAGGCCACCCCCCTGGTTTTTTTCCCTCTTCTTTTCTTTGCGCAGCTCAAGCTCCAACGGGGAATACTAAAATCGATGGGGGACTTGAATAAAAATTTCCGGCCAATGTTTGAAACAGCCCTAGGGGAAATCGGAACAAAGAGAGAGAGGGGGGGGGGATGCGCGATGGGGAGAAGAAGCGAAAAATACTCCACAATGCGGAGATGATGTGCAGTGTGCATAAGTAGATGGGATGAAAAAAAAATGAGGAAAAATGGGGGGATGCACAGGTTGGGAGGAGGACAAGCGACGGGGAACGAGGCGGTGGCGGGCTGGATGGCTGATGATGGAGATGACAAGGCAGAGGGGGGCGTGTAAGTTGTATATTGCACGTCGTGTGCATGGTGGGGAGTTGGGAGAAACGAAAGAAGCCAGACTGATGTATCCAAGAAAAAAGAAGATATAAAAGAAAATCGCCTTCTCTGACATCGAGATCAACTAGAAATCACACAATCTCATTGTGCGAATCGTGGCCGTTGTTCACGGCGCCTTCCCGTGCGGCCCCCTCGACCCGAGCCTCCTTGGCAGTTTCTTTTCCTCTTCTTCTTCTTCTTCTTCTGCGTGCGTGTCACGTAATCTATTTCCAAAACAAGACCTGGTTTAATTTCCTTCACAGCCAGTCGCGTATTGCGCCCACGAGGCTCCGGGGGGCAGTTTGGCCTCAACGCAGCCTACATGCACAGGGCCGCGCAATTGGGTTTGCCCCATCAATATTCCCGCCTTGTACAATATATACTAGGGAAAAAAAATTGTCATTTGCCGCCACGTTGGTGTGCGTTGAGAGAAACGTTGTTGCAAAACAGTTGATCGTATCGGCGGCCAACGAGCCCAAAAGGTGACCTTGCCTTGCCTTGTACTACAGAGTACTCACTCCCCGGTTCTGGGTAGAGTTCGTGCGAGATGTCGATAGAGTAACAAAAACGACACAAGGGAGGGGAAAAGACTGCGCACGGAGAGATATGCCAGCACGCACAGCAAGCTTTGATACGGAGGCATGCCATGTAGTACCTCAATGATTTTGCGAGGACAGGAAAAACCTCAGTAGCGAAATCGTACCTGCACTTCACCGTACTAGGTGCGTTCCATAACCTTCTCGGGTGAAACCCTCCCCTCCTGTGTGCCTTTCTACAGTCACGTTCTCGATACTGATAGGCTTCAGTTATTCAGTCTTGTCAGTAGGCAGGCTCCCAAGACACATATACGAGTATAGATAGGTCGTCAATGCTAGAAGAATTTTGCTCCAGTCTTGACGCAACACACGCGAGAGAAGATGTAGGGCCCGTGCCCGCGGACGTCTGCCCGTCCTGCCAAGAAGGCATTGCCAGCCAGCCATTTGTGCCAGTACGAGCCGCCTACATAAGCGAAAAGCAACCCAATTCTTGATTGTCTTCTATAACAGTCATTCACGATCCAACGCTCAGCCTAAACACTCTCGTTTCAGTATTGCCAATGGGGGCTTCGTTGCATGAATGGCCTCTATAGAAACATGTCAGGCGATTCATTTTGCACCTCGGGCGACAGTTGTTGTTCGTCGCCAACGACAACTGGAGAATTCCGCCGTCGCAGAAAGTCATGCAGTTGAACCGTCTTCTATACGTGCATTGCAAATGCTGAGCCAATCATTTCTCGTGCTTATGCTTGGTCTTTTCGCAAGTCCTGCGCCGTTTGTCGTCCTGATATCCCAACGACTCAATTCGACACGAAATTTTCAGTTACAATAATCGGTTCATATTACTCAATCAACGCTGCGCCATGCCAATATACGAAATATAGAACTTGTCCGAGCTGAAATCCAACAAACCCAAAAACTTTCCAACTCGCTCAGTGATCCATCATGCCGCCGAAGCGACCGACCGCCAGACTACCCAAAAACACACCAGCGAGGACCGACATGAAGTAGCCCACATTCATCGTCATGACCGCCAACATCCTATCTCACATTAGTCTTTGTCCCATACCGTCTCATATGCTGCCACAACTTACAAGAGATAGCCCACACCCACAATCGTCGTGTCGAGAACAGCGCGCACCGGGTCGACGGTGAAGCGCCAGGGTCGCGCGGCAGCGTCCTTGCGCGCCACAACAACAACCGTCTCCTCGGCGCCATTGGCCGAGAGCACCATGGTCTTGGCTTCGGGGTCGTGCGCGACGGCCTCGGCGAGCGGCACGCGTCCACGGGCGGTGACGTACCGGCGTTGGGCGTCGTGGTCGAGCCAGCGCGCCTCCTGCGTGGCGCGCAGAGCGACGAGCAGCCGCGCGACGACAGACAGCACGATGAGGAAGATGCAGGTGCCGGCGTAGGCGCCCGAGTTGCGCGGCGTCCAGGCGTCGGCGTACAACGGCGTCGCCGTCTGCGTCTGGAAGACCATGGCCATCATGGAGGAACCGCCTTGCTGGGTCGAGTTGGACGAGCCCATGTCCATGTCCATCTCCGCGTGGCCGGCGTGGCGGGGGGCAAAGCTCATGATGGAGTGTGCGAAGTGAAGAGTCGTCGTACAGCAGTCAGTATTTTCGGTTTGCAGTTTGCGGTTCGCGGTTTGCTGTCTGCACTGGTCAAGATGCCACCAGCGAGGTGCCGAGTCAAAATATATGCCTGGTCGGATGCAATTCTTCGCCAAGATATGTCAGGTTTCGAAAACCCGGACACTGTCGATGCCGTCCTTCTTCGAACAAACGTGGCGTCGTGTCTAACACTTCTTTTTCTAATCTTCGTACAAAGGTTGTCGGGGGTATGAAGGAGTGAAACACGTGCTCACACCACCATTGCACCACAAAAAGGTCATGGCTTCCCGAATCTGCACGACCTTCCTCGGATCCAAGGAAGCCGCAAGCGATGTGTGTTGGACGCTAACAGATGGAGCACCGTTTTTGACGGGCAACTGTTAAGGGGTTAAGGGAGCTGGAGGGACGAGCTGGATGTTGGTGGAGCGGGGGTGGGGGTGGGGAGCAGTAGGTACCGGTACTTGTCACTCTACTCCATACATGGGCTCTGGCAGCCTCGAGATTAGATTGCTCAATGCTGGAAATGCTGGAGGAGATTACTAGTCGACAAGCCGAGAGCAAATTTGAGGCTTTACATTGAGAGGAAGCGATGACGAGGCCTAATTTTTCTCTACATGAACATGGCATTCACATTTGGCAGCGATGCCATTTTAAATGTGCTGTTGCTGGCCATGTGTCTGCGATTCCAGAAGCCGTACATACAGTCAGTGTCTGGGTTGGCCATCTCAGTCATCAATTGCCAACGGCACTGTACTTGAAGCAATACCTGATTCATCTACCAATGCGTCATATATGTGCAGCTGTTTGTAGTTGTCGCTGCAGGGCTCTGTACTTGAAGCCATAATTGAATTGTCTCCCAATTTGTCATATATTTGCAGCTATTTGTAGATATTTGTATTACTGCATTACTGCCCTCGGATTGTTCATGCCATTTCCTAGCCCAAAGTACCGGTACATGCGACGCCACTACTTACACAAAAACCTTCTCAAACATGCTCGCGCTAATAACTATTAATAAATCTGTTCCCCAGGGCGGCACAGCCACAGCACCAGCCACATGGCAAGCCTCACCTGTTCTTGCGAGTAATGCCTCACTGGGAAGATGGCTGTGCGAGCAGGTATGCCAGCACTGATTTGCTGTCTTGTTTGTTCCTCTGCAACGAATGCCAGTAACCTTCCCGTCTGTCCATGTGGGCTTTTGCCTGTAAACGCGGGCCGTATCCGTAGACCGTCGGCCCACACGCTCGGCCAGCAACCCAGCGCTTCACTCTTGAGCCGACATGACCATCATGAGCCGGCCGCCGTCCGATGCCCGGTTCCTCTCGAATATTGCTTCCCGTTGTTGTCTCATTCTATTGCCACGTGCAAGTCTCCATCCAACGACCCCGTCTCGCCAGCCCCCTGCGACGCCAGGTTCCCACTTCCGCCAGCAACAACATCATCCATCATCACCAAAGCCATCCTCGTCACCCTCGTCACAAAAAGCAACACAGCTCATGTGTTTGTCTCTTGCGCAACTCGACTGTCTCGCTCTGCATTCACTTTCCTCTCCTGATTCGACACACACACCGCTCTCCGCCTTATCGATGCGAATGCGGCGTACGCGCTTCCCCAATCAGGTTAAAGACGGACAAGAGGCGGAAACGTTTGCCTGATTCGGGTCTGCAGAGTTCTTTTTTCCCTCGTCCTCCATCTAAACTAAGCTTGGCAACGCACGCACGCGCAGGGCCGCCCGCCCATTCATCGTCTGAGACGTGGACGAATCGAGTAAGATGCATCAACCTCATCCAACCTTGCCTTTTCTGGCTGCCTGTGCAGGTCATAGCACGGCATCTCGTCATGTCACGCATCCACGATAGATTGATGCCAAGATTTCACCTTAATTTCATCGCCATCCACCTTGCGTGCCCTTGACGCGCGCCTACACTCCGACTACACCTCGCACTCGATGCTTGCAATTTAAACCCATCGTGATGCATTTCATTCAGTATACACAGCTGATCCCATCCACCACCACCATGCCCGCTCATCTCAACCCCAAGCTTCCGAGAACCTGTGCCAAACGCTGGCCTCGGCTCTGCTTGCCTTGTGGCGTCGAGGCACAGCGCAAATCCATGCCGCTGTCTTTTTTTTACTGCCCCTGTGGCTGTTTTTCTTGTTGCACATTCAACGCACAATACATAGCCAGACAAAAGAAAGTGAATGCGGCCGCAACAGTAGCCAGCAAGTAAGTCACAATAGCACATCAAGACTGCATCAACGCCAAAAGAAACCTCAAGAGAAATCTCACCCAAGTCCCGCGTAATATAATCCCATGTCCGCCATTAAAAAAAAGACCTTGGCCCGTTTCATTCCGAGCAAGTCCTGTCAAGCCAGATCTCTGCAATCATGCATCAGTCCCAAGCTCAAGACTGGTGGTGACTGCTGGGAGCCATGCCAGGCTGCTGCGGCATGCCCGAGCCGTAGGCCTGGTTGCGCTGCACGTAATTTTGGTACGCCATGGCTTGTTGGGCTTCGAGAGGCATGTTGGGCATGTTGGGCATATAAGGGTTCTGAGCCATGCCCGGGCGGCTGGGCGGGGGAGGGATATGCGAACCAGACTCCTCGGGTGAGTCGCCACCCTCCCCGCCGTCGACGCCGTTTTCACCGCCGGCTGCAGGTTCCGGAGCGTTGAGGCAGGCCTGGAAATACAGGTTAGCGGCGCGTTTTAGAATAGTTGCCATGGTCGGCGTCGTGCAACGCGCACTGCGACGCGTCCTGCGATTCGCAGTAATACGAGCGCCGGCCGCACGAGTAGATGTGTTTGCGGAACGTACCTGAATGAGGTTTTTGCCTTCGGCCTTGGTGACGAGGGGTTGGAGTTTGGGTGTGGTAAAGGTGTATACCAGACCAGTCTCAGAGACGACGAGGAGAAGAACTTGAGTGCCCGTCAAAACAGACAGTTCGTAAGCCTACAGCTCGTAAGCCAAGAGGGTCAGAGTCAGCAGGAGAAGACTTGGAGGCGGCGGCGGCAAGGGAGCTTGGCAATGGATGGATGCGAGGTGGATGCGACAACGGATGGCGCGCAAAAAGCAAAACGGTCAACGGCTGCCTTCTCTTTCGAGATGGAGTGACGTCGCCGCGAGAGGGTGAGCAGGACACGAGGGAGAATTGTCGTAGTGACGGACCTTCTTCATAATACCAGCCTTGCGCTTGGAAAAGGTAATGTGGCGTCGAGACTTGTCCGAAATGAACTTGATCTCAATCTTGCGACGCTCACGGCCGCCCTTTTCGTCGTCGTCGTCGTCATCGTCGGCTGGCGTGGGACGTTGTCGCTTGACACCGCGAGACTCGGAGGGAGCGCTACCATTGCCGACCGAGTTTGCGTCGTCAATGTCGTGAGGGGAGGTCTGGTCGTGCTGGTCGGTGATGTCGGCCATGGCTGCGGGGGAGTCGCTATGCGGCAGGGTCGGGCAGTCGAAATAAAATACAGCAAGCGAGATTGTGAATTAAGCTTGGAAGCCGTTGTATCACGTTGAAATGTATTGCTGGAAAAGGTAACAAGTGGTGGAGATGCTGCTTTGAGCGTGGTGCCGATGGATCTATACTGGATCTGGCTGTCGAGCGGAGGAGGGAGCAGCCCGTGTGTCGCAGAGAAACAAACCAGGTTTGGTTTGGCAACGGAAAAAATATTTGGGGGTTAATTTTGATGCGGATGGCAGGCACAGGCAGGCGGCCAGCAGGTGGGCGGGCAGCTCTTTCTGTATCGAGCGTGGCGTGGGCTGTGCCCGGAGCTGGGGACGAGACCAGGCTGGCAAAGCTGGCAAAGCTGGTATGGCAGGTAGGTACGTACCCGTTACTGGGGATATCGCATAATTTGTTATAGCTCTGATTAGCCGGTAGCGTGCAAGTCGTCTTTGGCATGCAGATGTACATGTCGGGGCGCTTGTGTGCGTGCTCCGCTCGTACAGTGCGCACAGTGTGAGGCTGAGCAGGTGTAAAAGGATGCAGTGTGTGTGTGTGTGGTCAGCGCGTTGTTGAGCTTGGTTCTCCAACCTCCAGCATCTCCGGCCCTTCAAACTGTAACTAGACTCGCCACTCCTGCCGCTGTACGGATACTGGTAGTGTCCACTGCAAGGGTTAAGCTTTAGTAGCGGTCATGGGTGCGCCATGGCACCTGTGGATGCCGCTACTGCAAAGTGTAGCCCGCTAAACCGCCACCTGCCAGGCTAGCGGTCCTCGATTCCCTTGTCACAACCCTCCAAGCTGGCCCCTATTAGAAGCCATCTTGCGCCCCCAAACCTGCTCCAAGAGGCATTCGGCTGTCATCCGACTGCCGACTGGCTTTCAACCCTCACTGTCCACAAAAAAAGGGCATCAGCAAACGATCTTCTTCCTGCTACCTTTGTCAAGTATCTTACCTGGACATCTCGTGCTAACGATTTCCATCATCCCTACCACTTTTATCTCGTCCACCCAACTGGTCGCCTCGACCACCAACCTAGGCTCAGCCTTGTCATCTCATTCACGCCGTATGTACGCTGTCTTCTACGCCGAACCACACTTTCTGCTCCGACTCCGTAATCACTCCCAAGAAAATTACCACTCTAATTACCAGTAGTTAGTCACATCATTGTCAAGCACTTCTTCTGCCGCCTTGAAGTGGGCTACCTGTTGCCCGGCCCTCCACCAGGCTTTTTATCTCCTCTCAGCCCTGATCTTCCTCACCAGGATGCTGCACATCATCAGCTGTACTTTGACCATTCTAGTTACCATCGAGTCGTCTTGTACTAACCCCTGTTGAGGCTCAAACAGGCGCAACTGTCTCCTGGTACTGGAATTTCCGGTATCCCATGCACCACGCCGCCAGCACTTGCCCGCCACTGGTATTGAGACATTTCAATTAAGTGCCAATAACTGTCCAGAGTCACTACCTAGTTAATAAGCACGCTAGCACCCTGCTAGGTACGGCGGTTCCACAGCTGAGGCTGGGCCAACTGCAACTTTCCACCACCACCACTCAACGAATGGCACACCAGAAACGCAACACAGCTGCCAGGCTTCTAATTTTGACAACCGCCCCAGCCTGGAAACAATGACTTGTCGACACATTTGTGCGCTAACTAACTAACTACTCGGAATCGCCGCGAGAGAGCTGGACAGCTGGTGGCAAGGAAGGAAGGGTCTGTCTCACTCTCGCGTCTAGCGTTGATCATCAGGCCATTGTTCACGTCGACGCTTGACCACCATCACGTCTCCGCAACCTGCAGCTGTTCGCGCTAGTTATGCTCAGCCAGCAAGCATTTCACTCCACTGCCAAGCGGAGGCAGCGCCCGCCCAGTGGACTATGGAAAGACCCCCAGGCGAATGAGCTTGATTATCAGAACAGTCTGAGTGGCGGAACCTTTTTCTTTCGCCTGTCCACCTGCCCTGTCTGGCGGCACTGTACGGTTTTGAGCACTAGCGGCCTGCGTATTCCTTCATTTGGACCGCAGGTACATGATTATTGGGCGACGAGAATGCCCACCAGCCAGAGTAGCTCGGGTGCCACGAAATCCGCGCCGCGGCGGTGCGACCGTGCAGGATTTGAGACCACGGTGCAGCGTGGCATCAGTACGGAGTACTCGTACCGTCATTGTCTGATTCATCCCCAGACCCGAGGCGGCGGGAGCGAGGCCAAGGTTGTCGGCGCACGTTTGTGCACAAACGCTGAGCGAAATGTCTGACTATCAGTACAAAAGGTACATGACAAGAACGAACAGGCTGATGGGACACGAGTACCGAGTACAGAGTATGGCGAAAAGCGTTTGGCTTTGACACAGGTGCGCGCGGATGTAAGCAAAAGCGTGTCAGCGTGTTTGATGATGGCTGCTATGAGCGGATCACACGAGGAGATCAGGCTGGGGATAGTCAGACGGGAGAGTGCCAAGCAGCCAAGGTCAAGGTGATGACGAAGAATCTCGATTGTCGGTAATTAAGAAGGTGGTCACGTCGCGGCCCCTGGAAGCCAAGGGTGAGGTTGAGGAGCAAGGCAAAAGCCTAGTTACATCTATGTGCAACAGGATTCAGCAAGGTCCGATGGATGTCAACGAAGCGCACGGCACATGTCCGCGCAGGCATGGATGGAAGCAGCGCTGTGGGGGCACCAGGGATTGGTGGTTCGCAAAGTAATAATATAACTACCTAATAACGAATGGAGGAGATGGAAGCCCGCAGGGCTCACGAATGACAGCCTAGAAGCTATCCGAGCTGGGGAGGTTCCAGAACGCGGCCAAACGGCACAGGAACGTTGCCAGGATCGTTGGTGCAAACAGGCAAGCAGGCAAAATCAGGCTACGGATACGTACCTCGGTACTATGTACATAGTTACGGATACTTGTAGTTAAAAGATAGGCGCAAGGCGCAAGACGTAGCTGGTTATTCCTTGAATGAACTGCACGCCGAGTGATATTGGAGAGACGCGGCTGGGCATTGTTTGAGGCAAGAGGTCCGAGGCAGCATTGTCAAGCTGAGTTGAAGAGATGCGTGTTGATGCAGAGGTATGTAGAGTGGATTTGTGCTCACTCTATCGATGTCTGCAGATTGGCAGAGTCTAACTAGGTTCTAGTTATGTTGTTGGCGGCTTCTAATTGACGACCCAGGTGCTGCCAAAGGCGTAACTTGTACAGATTACTCGCAGGGTGACGCAGCTTAACGAGGAACACCGAGTACAGAATAATACTAGGTAACTAACCAGGAGCCTAATTATTAAAAAGTCACAGATGAACGGGGCAAGGGCAAGGGCTTGAAGCATCGTTGATGATAACTAATAATATGCCATGCCTGGCCGCAGAAGCTGGAACCAAAAGTCTCAGGCGTGCAACGTGCTGCGGTCGTGGTGAGGAGACACGGGGCTTCAGCCGACGTGGAGCGTGGCTCGGCCAGCGGCGCTACCAGTCAGTATACGAGGTTGGTCGGGGAATTTGCAAGATGGATTGATGGGTCGTGTAAGGATGCATCTATTGATTTTTTGCGGCTCGGCGAGCATTTGTGCTTGTCGTTGCAGTGTATCTGACAATAGTTAGAGGTGACAATGTACCTTTACTATTTGGGCAACCAAGTACAACAAATAGTTACAGATGGTTTGCAGGCTGTAATAATCTGTACTGGTAACTAGAACAGCCATCCCAACAGGTGTCAGGGGACCCACACACACTCGCCCGGCCAGAATTCAGCACTTGACACGGTTGTCAGAGCCTAGAGGCTGCAAGTAAATGCCGGGTCCTGTATAACTATCTATTCAATTTTACAAAAAAAAAAAAAAACCAAATGAGAAAAAAAAAGAAGAGGACAAGGTCATTTTGGGAGCAAAGGCCTGCCTATCCAGCAACCTGTTGCATCGTCCACTCCACTACTCTGCAATGTAGGTACCAATGTACTGTACGTACCTTAGTACCTCCTACAGAATTTTGGTGGAGAGGGATCTGCGGCGAGGCAAACACCCAACGGCTGGGCTGGAATGGAACGAGGCGGGGCAACGCGGTCCCCGTTACATGCATAATGCGCTTTTCGTGGAGCCCTTGTTTTTCAGCGCTTGCTTCCAACTTGTCTGCACAGTGCGAGTAGGTGTGGCTGGGCACGCTGCCTTGTCAGCAAACCCCATCCCCCCTCCCCCCCCAAGTTCGTCCATCACTGGTTCGCCGAACATCCGAACTTGGCTTGAATGGCAGGCTAGCCCTTTTGCGTTGAAGAAACGGCTAGGAAGCGTTTTTTTCTCGAGCGTATTGATTTCTCAATGTACTGGAGATATCAAAAGCAGCGCTTGCAGTACCTGGCGTTTTTTTGTGAAGCTATGGCCCTGTGGTGGCTGGTACGAAGGGCGGCCGTTGTCAGCAAGACATGCACAAACGGACTCATTGTCGAGCCCATGATGGGGAAAAACAAAATGTCATGGATATTGAAAGGATTGAAAAGGGGCCCCGAAAATCGCCGTACACAAACATGTAGCAGATCATTTGTGCATTGGCGTACGCGTTCCCATTGATCTCTCTGCAGCTTCTGCCAACTTCCCCCCCCGCCGGTGCCCCTCGTCGTCGCTATTGACTTTTGAAAGGGGGACGGACACGAACGGGAAACGATTCAAGAAACGCAAAAGATTGTCGTGGCGGGCGATGCGTTGAACTTAGCAAACTTGGCCCCTGTCCCGGGGAGTTGGAGTCAAACGACAATAGGAAGCTTGCCACGAACTATGAACGAACGTCGCTACATACCTACCATAGCCAGGTTTCAACTCGACAGGTGACATGTGATGGCTTCTGTGGAGGTCATCTCTCCCTGCAAAATCCCCCGTGCCCGTCAACATCGGTGGTTCGTGTACAGGGCTACGCAAGATGTGTGTCAATGGCTTGAGCAACACGATCATGGCTACCCTATGCCTGCCTCTTTCATCTTCCTCATATGCCGTGAATGGCTACATATTATGCATCGATAGTAAGACCCGACGCCTCGGCAAAGGAATGCTCATCATCCTTTTACATTCAAAGGACAGGGTGACCTGGGATTTTGAATAGCTGCAGCATGATTCGCGGGTTCGCCTGTTCCCGAGTGGCTGGTCTGTGACGATTCGAGCATGTGTACCCGATGTTGTGGCACCCGTCCGCTTCCTCCAACATTTGACCTCCGATGACGTACCTCCTTGCACTGTACATGAATCTTATCAGTTGCGAGTTTCTTTTCAGAAAAGAGACCGGTAATGGCAATAAAAAGTACGCGCGACAAGCGGTTCGATTTAGTTCTTCCTCTGTGTCCATCCAAGATTACCCGTACGGGACCGGCTCCATCTCACCCTCGCGTATTTTTTCCACCTCCAAATACAGGTTCCCGTTGCTAACCACCCCAACGTGTTGACCAAACCAAGACTTCTCAATGACGAGAGCAACAAAGGATTATATCCGTCTCCGAGATGCGAAGCGAGAAAAATTAAAACCAGAACAAGACCACTTTCGTCGCTTACCTGCCCATGATTGGTCCACCTCCCCCCCCCATGCCTCACCACCACAGTCCTGAAACGCAATCTCATACAGATTTTGGCACCCGCCCAAAATGCCCATGATGGGGCTCCATTTCCTATATACCCTCATCCCTTGATACTTGGCAGGAAACGTGTAGCAAAAAGAAAGGACAGTGACATAAATCTGAAATTGATGGCCCCTTCCATGAACCCGCTGGTCCTGCTGGGCCTGCCCGCCTCCTCTACTCCTTTGCACTGTTACTTCTGCCTTTTCTTCTCTTTTGAACCTTTTTTGTAGATCCTTCGTTTTTTTTTGATGTGGTGTTTCTCGCGGCCGGGTTGATCTCGCTACTAGTATTATTCATGTGTCCTGGTGGTTGCTGCCATCTATAATCCAATTACTTCTTCCCCCCCTTAGACGCCGGTCGTCGACGACAGTCTTTTTACCCCCGAATCCCGATAGCAAATCTCACCACTCCGGCTACGAAACCTCACGTCGAACCCCCCCCCCTCTTCCCGCCCGCCGCCATGCCTGACAAGGTGTTGCTGGCCACGCTGGCCATCAACATCCTCTTCCTGGCCACCGGCGCGCTCGAGCTCGGCTTCTGCCTCGTCGTCCAGGGCCTGCTCGGCCAGGAGCCCGTCGACGGGCGCGAGGCCGTCCGGCACCTGCTCTACCGCGAGTTCCCGCTCGACGCCGGCATCGCCAACGCCAGCATCATCCTGGCCACGTTCGTCTTCACCCTCGTCGGGCTCGCCTCCAAGGGCCGCTCCGTGCTCAAGCTCAGCGGCTACCTGATTGCCTTTTGCGCCATCTTCACGCTGTGCCTGGGCGTCGTGCTCTGGGTCATGACGCTGCGCGTCAAGGAGACCTTTTACCCGACCTACCTGGACCAGGACCCGTCGGTGCAGTCGGCGATTCAGACTTCGGTAAGACGGATCGACCGCCGGTCATGGCAAGAATTTAGAATGGGCGAGGGGAACAAATAAACTGACGGGATTGATCTAGTTTGGATGCTGCGGCTATGTCAACGCCTCCACGCCGGCGTTTATCACCGACTCGACGTGCCCGAGCCCCGCCGCTGCGGCACTGCTCCGAGGTTGTGCGACGTCCATCTCGAGCTTTGCCAACATTGCACTCGACGTCATCTTCACTGCCCTCTTCGGTATGGTTGGTAAGTCTTTCATGCCATCCAGTCTTCTGCCAGATCTGGTACCAGAACGACCACTAACACGCCCACAGGCGTCGATGCCCTGTTCATCCTGTCCATTGCCGCGCTTCTCAAGGTCCGCAAAGAGCGCGAGCGGTACCGCCACATTGACGACAAGTCCGGCTATCAGCAATTCTAGGCTAAGCTGTGTAACCATCTTAGCTGCTCAACCCGCAATGGCTTCAATCAGGATTCGCTCCCAAGTCATGCATCATTACTTCGACTAGCGCAGAATAAATAGTCACTCAGTTGTTATACAACAGCCTCAAGTCAAAGGTCATCGTTATAATTCATATTATCTAATGGTACGTAAAAAGAGTCTCGACGTAGACAGAAAATACCGCCGAGGTGCAATGCAATAGGTTGGGGCTTCGAGTCTCTGCTTCTATCCAAGGTCCCTCGACCCCCCGCTAGGTGGGTGCTACTTGGACCACATCACCACGATATCTATGACGATTGTATGCACCTATCCAACGCCGTATGCTTCTAAGAAATGAACGAGTCAAGAAAATACATCATGATGCCATTCATACCGGGGACTCGTTTCGTCCCGCGGGCGTGTTAGCCTCGGCTGCGGCAGGGGGCGCGCTATTTGTAGGGGAGGCCCGCCTGTTACTCGTTTTCCACCACGGGAGTGACAGTACTCTGCTGACGGATTCGCCGAGGAAGGAATCCTGCTTCTTGAGGTTCCGACGTGCGACGAGCCCGGGAAATCCAGTGCTCTTGCGCCGCCGCCGCGCTGGCCGTCGCGTTGCTGGGTCCGAGTGTGTGCTGCCTTCTTCCGGCATCGTCGTCGTGCCGCCGCTCGCGGCTCTGCGAACACCGTGCAGGAGACCTGTAGACTCGTTAAGACCCGGCATGGTGTCTGCCCGCAGACGCCCTGCCGGCGACTTGGGGTGCTCTTGGTCTTCTAGCTCGCCCCAGATCTCGGCGTCCTCTGCCCACCGGAACGTCTTCTTGGTAGGCGTCATGGCCGTCGATTCGCCAGCGCCAAAAGTATTATAGGATGGGAACGTCTCTTCAGATTCAGCAGTCGCCTCTCCGCTGAGAAGCGATTCCTCTTCACCTTCCGTATCTTCTACCATGCCAAGACCGGGTGCCAGTGTAGACTGGCCCACTCCAGGGGCATGCTGCTCGTCGCTGAGACGCCATGAGAGGGCAAGAACACCGCTCAGAAGAATCACCGTACCCAGGCTGATGATACAAGCCCGCAGCGGTGATATAAAGCCTGTCTGGTTAAAGTATATTAGGCCGTCCAAGATGGCGATTATGTTATAAACGCAAAACACGAGGGGATATAGGACCGAGGTTGAGACAAGCTTGAGGCCCCGGTGTAGGTAATAAAGCTGACACAGAGCCAGCGTGACGAGCGCCAGAACAATGGCCCAGGCTTGCCAGAACACGAACTGGTTCTTGCCAGCGACAGTCTTGATGACCAGCTCGACGGCCGACTTGGCAAAAAGCAACGCGTGCGCTGACAGGTCGCCGCTTATGACACCATACGAGATGCCCTGGATGAGCCGGAAACGGGAGCTGTGCGAGATGCTGGATATTCTATGCGTCACATCGGTAGCCACGGCGAGCACCACCACAAACAGCGCCTGCAGGATCATCCACACGATAAAGGGCTTGCGCGCCAGGAGCACCAGAAGCTCGTCTAGGTTATGGGCTGGCGATGGTATAGCGCCAAACACGGCAATAAGGATGGCGCCGGTGGTGACTAGCGAGGTGCCGGCAAGCGACCAGCGCGTAAAGGGCTCGCTGAGAATTAGGGTCGCGCAGATTGAGTTGAAGACGAGGCCGGCGGCCTGCAGCGTCGAGAGGACCGGCAGCGGGAGCGTCGAGATCTGCACCGAGCTGCCGAGGATGTTGGCGACGATGAACATGCCCATGCCGACCTGCCAACGGCGGCGGCGGTAAGGCGGGCGGCGGACGTCGTGCGGGCCCTTTTCGTCCTCGAGGATGTGCGACTTGCGCTGCAACGTCAGCCCCAGGCTCTGCACACTCGTCGACATGAGGCCGACAATAATTCCTAGCTGTGATTCTTCGCATTAGCACGCCCTTCCAAGCAGAGAGGCCGCCGGGTACGTACAGCAATGCTCCCGCCAGGGGAGATGCCGCCAAACGGCTCCATTGCGCTATTGGGGGGTAGCCAACATCCGGCGTCGGATAGGTCGATGGGCGCGGTTAGTATCGTCGCATGAGAGGCGCCACAGTATTCCCAGGGTATCTGCAGAGGGAACTGCTCGGTCTCGGAGACGTTGCTCTTAGGACCAACACTAATCCGGGTGTGTCTGGCGGCGAAGGGCCCTGCTCGGCGGGTAGCGTTGTAGTAGTACGAGATGTCCTGGCGAGAGGGAAAAGGTATCGAGCGGTAGAGGAGCCGGGGCGAAATCTAACGGTGAAGGGAGCAATAGGGAAGGACTTGTGCACCTGATGTGGTGGACATAGGTAGTTACGGCGTATGGGGAATGCAGGTGGACATTGCGTTGCACTTCAATTACAACATGACCCGTAACGATTTCTGGGTCAAAGCGCCACAGCGCGTTGGGCAGAGTGTGGCTGGTGCCATCACCTGACATGACCACGGACGTTCACTGTCGAAGCAGCTCCAGGCTTGTCGCTGCTGGCCAACGGCGCGCTGAGCCACCACCTAAAGCCGCAACTGTGGCTGGTGGGCTGGTGCAGCTGCTGGCCGCTGGCGGCACAAGCTTCCTTGCGGCTACAACACTCCACCCTCCACCACCTACTGACGACAGCAACCGGCCACTTGCTTGCACTGTTCGGCGATTCATCGACAATCACGGCCTGTTTCTACGATCTCGTCCCCTCCATCACGCCTCTTTCTCACCAGCAAGCCACGGCACATACACAATCGCCAGCATGTCGCAACACGCATTGTCCGACCAGCAGGTGCGCAACGATCCCCCCGCGTGGCGTGGGCAGCCGAGGGCATTGTTCATCTCTTCCCATCGCCATTGCCCGCCGCTGGAGCCGAGCGGCTCTCGCTACGAATGAAGAACTCGCACAGCTAACACGGTCTCTCCCTCGAAATAACAGGTCGACAATGAGCTTCGCAAGATGACGGCTTTTATCAAGCAAGAGGCCATGGAAAAGGCGCGCGAGATTGAGATCAAGGCCAACGAGGAGTTTGAGATTGAGAAGTCCAAGCTGGTGCGCCAGGAGACGGACTCGATCGACGCCACGTACGAGAAAAAGTTCAAGCAGGCCACCATGTCGCAGCAGATTACGCGCTCGACCGTCTCCAACAAGACCCGCCTCAAGGTGCTCGGCGCCCGCCAGGAGCTGCTGGACAGCATATACGAGACCACGCGTAAGCAGCTGGCCGACGGCACTAAAGACAAGGCCAAGTACCAGAAGTTGCTGGCCGCCCTGGTCCTGGAGGGCCTGTACACGATGAACGAGTCCGACGTCCAGGTCCGCGCCCGCGGTAAGGATGCCGACGTGGTTAAGAAGGCCCTTGACGACGCCGCCAAGACGTATAAGAAGGAGCTGGGCAAGGACGTCAAGGTGACCCTCGACGAGGAGAACCCCATACCAGACGCCAGGTAGGTTGCAGACAAGGTTTGAATCGTGGGGGTCTGTTTGCTAACAGGTCGATGCAGTGCTGGTGGTGTCATTGTTGTCGGCTCCAAGGGCAAGATTGAGATTGACAACACCTTTGAGACCCGCCTCAAGTTGCTCGAGGAATCGGCTGCCCCTGCCGTTCGCGAGTCCTTGTTCGGGAAAAATGAAAACCGCAAGTTCTTCGACTAAATCCTCGCCTCACCCTCGTGTTGGAAATAGATGGTACCCCTGGAAAATGCGTGGTGACTGGCTCCCAGAAAGCAAATAAAGTGCTTGGGCTGGGCCGGGGAGTGGCACACACTTCAAGTTGCCCATGTTCCTCATCGTCTGCATTGTTTTTGGCCTGGTTTTTGAACTCTTTTTATTATATCTGTAGCTTAGAGGTTGTATCATAAACATTCCTATGGGTCTGGTCCCGCTACAATTGTGATGTTTCGTCGTTGAAAACTCGGGTATCTTGCTAGTTGTCGTACACATGGTATTGGCCATTTCAATTGTTACAGAAACAGTAGCCGGCGACGCTATCCACCCCTGACTACAATAGATTCCATGACAATCTCCTCTTGTTCCGATACCTCCTCTGATTCCGCTTTTGACCTTGACTCCTGCTTCAGCGCGGGCTCTGCCTTTGGCTTCGCTTCTGGCTGCGGTGCCAGCTGAGGCTCCGATTTTAGCTCTTGCTTCGCTGTCGGCCCTGGCGCGGGCATATTCTTCTTGAAGAAGTTCTTCATAAACTCCTGCTGCCTGGGCAGGTCCCGCTTCTGTTGCCTCTCCTGGCCGGGGAGGTCAAAGACGCTCTTGGCCCGCTTGCGGCGGGTGCGGACCGTGTGGGTGACGCGCTTCTGCACCCACTCGACGACCGACTTGGCCTCGGTGCGCGCGAGCTTCATGCCGGCGTCGTTGATGCGGCGCCAGATGTCGCTGAGCCGGGCGGCGAGCTCGTCGACGCTCGCGTTGAACTGGTCCTCGGCGTCGGCGTGCGGCCAGGCCAGGACGGAGCCGTCGTCGACGGCCATGTCGAGCATGACGATGGCCGCGCGCAGCTCGGCAAACTCGGTGCCCGGTCCGACCCGGAAGTCGGGCCGGTCGAGCCGGTCAATGACGGCCTGCAGTGTGACGACCTCCTCGGGCACGCGGCGCGCGAGGGAGGCGTCCTGGAAGAGAAACGTGACGGCGAGGCGCCGGCGCATGTCGTGGGCGCGCGGCGAACTGGTCGGGAGGCAGAGCAGGGTGTTGATGCGGATGCACTGCGAGGAAAAGTTGCTGAGGAGAATGGCGCAGGTATCGTGGCACTGCTGCTGTTAGTGGGTGCGGTGTGTAGGGCATACGTGAGACTTACAAATGAGTCCCAATCTTCGGGAAGGATGGTGTCGATGAGGACTTTGATTGTGTATTCGAACTGGTTGCCGATGTCGAGGTTCGAGATGATGATCCTGTCCATGGCCATTCGAAGTAGTGATTGCAACGCGTATTTTCTAGTTTCGCATGGCAGAGCTGACGCGATGTCTTTGAGGAGCGATAGTATAGCGATGAGGGGCCCCCAGTCCCTGCCTTTGTAAACATCTTCGCTAACCTTGGAGACACTGACGGTTCCACGGTCCATCGACGCGTCTTGCGCTCCAATCCTCTCCCATAACGTCTTCAAAAGAGCCGGCGTGAACAGCGACGCAATCTGCTCGGGGCAGACGGCAACGAGATTGCAGAGCTCCGCGCGCGACACCGGCGACTTGACCGTGGAAATCTCGTCCAGAACCCATAGAAAGATGCTCTCCGGCATGGCGCCCTGGCTAGATGCGATGTTGAACGGCACGCCGGCCACGAGGTTCTGCTCGCGCACCCGCTGGTTGCCCTTGGTGAGTAGGGTCCACGGGCCCTCGAGCGCCTCGGGCGGCGGCCGCGACGGCGGGTCCTTCTCGAAATCAGGCCGGAAGAAGCAGTACCGCATCTCCTGGTGGCCCGGGTCGGTCCTCTGCACCGCGCGCATGATCTTGTGCGCGTCCTTGCCGTTATCACCGAGGACCAGGTCCCCAAACGGGACACCGCCGCTGGGTGTGGACGGCGCAGACTGGTCCCGCACGGGCTCGCGCGCGCGCAGCGAGCTGGCCTGCAGGGCCGTGTCGCGCCGCGCGTCCTTGGCGAGCGCCTTGAGGTCGAAGCGGTGCCGCGGGATGGTGGTGGTGGTGCCGACCGCGGGCGGCATGTGGTGGGCGGCGCGGCGTTTGGCGTACGGCGTCGCGAGGAGCTGGCTGGCGTCGCGAGGCGTGGCCTGGGGACGACGCCCGCTCAGGAGTGCGGAGAGATCCTCGAGGGAGTCGTCGGAGGAGCGGCCCTCGCTGTCCGAGTCGTCAGAGGCGGCGATTTCGCGCGCGCGGTTGGGCGGCGTTCGCGGCCGGCCGAGTTGTGATGAAGCCATGCCGCAGTGGCGGTGGAGATGTTTGTGCGTTTTTTGTCCCCAGGCGCTGGACTGACGTGGTTGGTTGGCGGTGTATTGGCTGTTTGGTTATGTGCCTCGGATGGGAGTATGCTGGCTTATATGTACATTGTGAGAAGTTGATGGTTAAGCGCGTAGGTACTTCTGAAAGTTGAGGTGGTGGTCCACTACGAGATCTGACCCCACCAACTTTGGGTGGTGAGGCCGCGGCTGCACGACCAGTTACCCTATCTCCGCGTTAACTACGGGGTGAGACAAACGCCAACACGAGAACAAAGGGTTTCCTTGGGTATATTCAGGTATCTATTGGACATTTCCTCTTTATGTTGAGCGTTTAAGCGTGGTTGGCTATTCAAAGCGTATCATCGATGTGTACCCTACCAGACAGACAGCTTAATTACTAAAACTACGTGTCGCAGGGCTTGACAGAATTTAACCCAATACCGGGACGCTCCCGCAACGAGACGACGGTAAATACGACCATGTTACACCAGTAGAATATCCCACATGGCAGACTGCCAACACAGTCTCTGCAAATACATAAGAAAGCCAGCCTGGTCGAGGTTTGAAATGGCGGCGCCAAGATGGCTTGCGCGCACATAGACGCCTAAATTGCCCAGGCATGGGGCTGTGCCACGGATTCTTGGAAGCGCTTGGCTAACTAGTTATGAATTGACCTTTTGGGGTTCTGGGCTGTAAATACGGCTTGGCGAAAAACAGAGTTGTCATCCATGCCGCGAAGGGATGTCTGAGCTCGTCTCAGGGTCGGCACAGAGCTGGCAAGGCCTTGGCAAGACGCAGGTCTACTTTCCCCGGTGGTTACTAACTGAAGAGGAGCCCCGCAGAACAGAAAGCCCAAATTATTACAATGGATATCCATTTGTGACTGCTACACGGGGTTGATGAAGGGTTTCATGCAGGTCACAACTCCTTGCGTTGGTTTGGGGCATGATGCCTTGCAAGAGGCCGCACAGCAGGCTGGTTTGCGTTGCTGGCGAGTCGCGAACACCCTGCTATTTGAAATAGCATAGTGCTACTCAAAGGGAAACGCACACAACGAGGTAAATTTTTCATGGCGACTCGGTCAAGCCACAATGACAGGTGGGCCTAACGATCAGCGCTCAGCCTGGCGAATCTCCAGGCCGCCTTTCATCAGAGCTTTTAGAGCCCATCCATCGGAGGCGCCTCGAGCCTTGCGCTTCGAGCTTGCGCTTCGAGTCCGAGCATGTAGGTAAATCCGAGGAGCCGCGTACGGGTGATGAGGCTTCGTGTCCACAGCGTTATTGCGGGACGAGGAACGATGCGACATCGCCGGTGCCAAGATTAAGCAAGCTGGCAATAATTTGTAGTCTCAGTGGCGCGGATAGTTGGGTGCCTATTCTTTTCAACAAGTGCGTGCGCGAAAAAGAATGAGATGACCGACGATTCCATGCCAGTGCTGTCTCAGCCCAACAGCGAGGACCGAGGGATAACCTGGCCCGCACGACGGGTTGTAGGCCGCCATCTTAATATTCTCCTGAGTAACTAGGAGCAGAACTACTAACTAGGCCCTGACGCGCCGAGCCAAGGAAAGGGTGCTGATTCGTGTTGGGTTTGGGAACAGGCAATTGAAACCCGGCAGCCTAGTCGTGTTTGAGCATTGTGAGGATGGGAGAAATGAGAGTGGTTTGTTCATGGCGTTTCGAAGCGTGTCTTTTACCAGAATACTCATTTCTCGATGGGTTGTAAATTCACCTTTTTTTGATCGAGTAACTTACAGGCAAGGTCGCGGTGGGTTTCCAGGGATCAAAGACGAAGCCATAAAAAAAGAGACCAAAAATAAGAGCCCCTGATGATGATTGCTTCTGGCCCCTGAATCTGGAGATGGGATCGGATGCGGCAAGATGGAGGCAGATGCTCCATGTCGTCACTGAAGGAGCAGAAGCCATGTGTGTTGCCAGGTACAGCGTGAAGAAAAAAAGAGGCTCAAAGATAACATTATTAATAAAGCCATAACTAAAACTACAGGTCAAAAGTCTGTAGTCGTATTTATAATTTAGTCTGGGTTCGGATACTTGTAGCTCTCCGTCGTGTCCGGCGCACTCATAATTTTACAGCAAAGACCGACATCCAGAGGTACCTGCGAGTGGTTATTACCGCGCCGAGGTACTTGTCGACATGAACCCCGCTGCACAACTCCGCAGTGGCCTCGGCGCGGCGCGGCGCTGCAGAGGCTCAGGGGCTTGCCATCTTGTTTGCGAGGGTCAAGTTTTGCCAAGCATTTGTCGTGATATTTGCTTTGTCATGCCAGGGTCTGGTGGGCCAGGGCCTCAAATGCATGTGGAAGAAGAAGGAATATGGGGATGAGTTGACAGGTGGAAGGGCCGGAGCAAGAAAGGGGAGGAGTCGAGGTGGTACTCGGCACCGGAAGAGATGGATTTTCTGCAGTAGCAGGTCAGCGTGCATGATTCTATAAAGCTACCTGGGATTGAAACAGAGTTTATTATTGGTTGCAAGGAGCGCAGGGAGGCATGAGGGACTGATTCTTTGGTATCTCATGCGAGATACACTACGAGATACACTACTGGTAGAAAAAAACATCGTCACTCAAGTATACCCAAGCAACCATGCCCAGGCAACCATGGACATTTTGGACTGTGAACGAGGCTGGTTTTTGCTTGTCAGTGGGCCGACGAATGCTTGTTTTTCGCTCGTCTTTCTTCTCTTCTCTGCGAGATTTAATAATTATTATCAACATACCGGACTCGGATGGTCCGGAGGTCAGGGGCCCGGCCAGCGCACTTGCAGCGAGGTTCTAGTGGGCTTAGTGAGGCTCTCGCCCCATTTAAGCCCTGTCCGCAGATAATTACAGTGGATGCAGGATAAGTCCGCCACTGAAGAGCGACGCTGGGCCGGTCCACCCGCTGGAGAATTTGGAAACTGGCCAATTAGGAGCGGTGCATGCACTGCAATGCGCCGCAGGAGACTGTCAGCCCGGTTGCTCAGCTTGCAGCTTGCCAGCTCGCCGCCTGCCTTACCTGCCCACTGGTATTACCGACCTTCCTCTAGCCTGCACCACCTAGATTCTCGCTATGCTGGCCTCTCGCTCGCCAAATGCCCGCTTACCTGACCCTTCCTTTTCCTCTTCCCGTTGTCCTACCTACTATCGTCTCGCCATCCACTCCCTCCGCCATCCCTCTCCAATCGTCTGGTCCCTCCATCTCGCTTCTTTTTATCCTCTCGCTGCCGAAACGGCTCCCTCGCCGTTCTTCTCTGTCAATTGTATTCTACACCTGTCGCGCCAAGCTGCATAGCCGCCTCCCTCCCTTTGCTGAGCGCGTCTCCTTCACCCCCCTCCCACCCGACCTGGCACCGTCTTCCAGGAGGCTCTGTCCGGAATTCACGCCTACCGAGAAATCGAGTCCAACACGCGAACAAGAACTCAACTCTTTGATTACAGGCGAACTCGAGCCCCCAATCGACCAGTGCCCGCTTTCAACGGCTCCGACAGCCACGACCTGCTAAACCGTATCCTGGGCTGGCCAAACCAACGGCCTAAACGGCGCATGTTCGCCTTTGTCTACCCATCATGCCCGATTCCTTGACCCCCGAGGCCGCCGCCGCCAACGGCGCCGACCTCGACAAGGTCCAAACTCAACGAGCTCGATGGGCCACGCGCAGAATGACGGTCAAAAGCGGTAGCACCAAACGCCGCTCCCTCCTTAACCGGCACAACCGCAATAGGTCGGCGGCTGGCGAGGGGAGCGTCGGCGCGCCTGGCGACGATGGCCACGGCCCCTTCTCTATTGGCGGCGACAACGATATCCCGGACGAGGCCGAAGCATCCGAAAGTGAAGATGAAGACCCCGAAAACCGTACACTTTTTTTCAATCTGCCTCTGCCGAAGAACATGCTCGACGCCGAGGGACATCCGAGCACAAACTACGCCAGAAATAAGATTCGAACTGCCAAGTATACGCCATTATCGTTTATACCCAAGAATATTTGGTTCCAGTTCCACAATGTCGCCAACATTTTTTTCCTATTCGTCATCATCCTGGTCGTAAGTATAGTTGCATCAGAATTGCTCTACTTGACCTTGTTTGCTCACAATCTTTAGATCTTCCCCATCTTTGGCAGTGTCAATCCAGGACTCAGCGCCGTCCCTCTAATTGTTATCATCTGCCTGACCGCTATCAAAGATGCCATTGAGGATTACCGACGAACAGTTACCGATATTGAGCTCAACAACGCACCTGTCCATCGTCTGATGAACTGGGACAATGTCAATGTTGAGGTTGGCGATGTTTCCACCTGGCGAAGAACCAAAAAGGCTACTTCTCGCTTCTTTGGCGGTATCTGGTACGGTATTCAGAGCCTCTGGTCCAAACAGGCTAGGCAAAAGAGAATCGAGCGCAAAGCCAAGGCGAACGGACAGGAAGAGGAGGAGCCTAGGCCTTCCGTTGAAACACAGCGAACTCGCATGTCTATACGCCAGTCCATCACCGCACCCTTTGGAAATAGACGCTCCACCCACGAGGATATACAAATGACGCCTGTGCCTTCTCCCCCCCCACCGGGCCACATCCAAATCCAGGAGCCCGACAAGCAGGATCAGGCGCGTCTGGCCGCCAAGCAGGACATGAAGACCGACATTATCAACTTCCGACGCGCCGCGACCAATGCGCGCTTCAAGAAGGACGCCTGGAAGAACATTGTTGTCGGCGACTTTGTCCGTATTTACAACGATGATGAACTACCCGCCGATGTCATCATTCTCTCTACCTCGGACCCTGATGGTGCCTGCTATGTTGAAACCAAGAATCTGGACGGTGAGACCAATCTCAAGGTTCGACAGGCCCTTCGATGTGGCCGCGCCCTCAAGCATGCCCGCGACTGCGAACGAGCCGAGTTTATTGTCGAAAGCGAAGCCCCCCAATCCAACCTGTACAAATTCAACGGCGCCATCAAGTGGAAACAGAACATCCCCGGTTACGAGGACGATGAGCCCGAAGATATGACTGAAGCCATCACCATCGACAACCTGCTGCTTCGAGGTTGCAATCTTCGCAACACCGAATGGATTCTTGGTGTCGTCGTCTACACGGGCCACGACACCAAGATAATGATGAACACTGGCATGACTCCCTCCAAGCGTGCCAGAATTGCCCGGGAAATGAATTTCAATGTCATCTGCAACTTTGGCATCCTGTTTATCATGTGCTTGGTGTCTGCCCTCATTAACGGAGCCGCCTGGGCCAGAACTGACACATCCAAAAACTTTTTCGATTTTGGATCCATTGGCGGGAATCCTGCTGTTACTGGCTTCATCACTTTTTGGGCTGCTATTATCAACTTCCAAAACTTGGTTCCAATCTCGCTTTACATTACTTTGGAAATCGTCCGTACGTTGCAAGCCGTCTTCATTTTCAGCGATGTTGAGATGTACTACGAGCCAATCGACCAGCCTTGTGTGCCCAAAACGTGGAACATATCCGACGATGTTGGACAAATTGAGTACATCTTCTCCGACAAGACTGGCACCCTCACGCAAAACGTCATGGAGTTCAAAAAGGCCACAATCAACGGACATCCGTACGGTGAGGCTTACACCGAAGCGCAAGCGGGTATGCAAAAACGTGCCGGTATCGATGTTTCTACCGAGTCTGAGCGCATACACGCCGAAATTGCCGAAGCCAAGGCTCGCTCCATTGTCGGACTCCGCAAGATGTACGACAATCCTTACTTTTACGATGAGGCTCTCACTTTTGTCGCCCCCGATTTCGTCGCCGATCTGGCTGGCGAATCGGGCAACGCGCAAAAAGAGGCCAATGAAACCTTTATGCTCGCACTCGCGCTTTGCCACAGTGTCATTGCAGAAAAGGCACCCGGTGACAAGCCGCGCATGTTGTTCAAGGCTCAGTCTCCTGACGAGGAAGCTCTTGTCGCCACTGCGCGCGACATGGGCTTCACGGTTCTCGGAAATTCTGGCGACGGCATCGATGTTAACATAATGGGCGAGGACCGCCATTACCCGATTCTCAACACCATCGAATTCAACTCTACTCGCAAGCGAATGAGCTCCATTGTCAAGATGCCCGATGGCCGCATCGTCATCTTCTGCAAGGGTGCCGACTCGGTTATTTACTCCCGCCTCAGGAAGGGAGAGCAGCGCGAACTCCGCCAAGAAACTGCCGAGCACTTGGAAATGTTTGCTCGCGAGGGTCTCCGCACGCTTTGTATTGCCATGAAGGACCTCACCGAAGACGAATACCGATCTTGGAAGAAGGAACACGACATTGCTGCTTCTGCTCTAGACAACCGTGAGGAAAAGATGGAGGCTGCTGCTGAGCTTATCGAACAGGACTTTCTACTTCTTGGTGGTACTGCTATTGAGGATCGCCTCCAGATTGGGGTCCCTGACACTATTGAGCTTCTCGGACAGGCTGGCATCAAACTCTGGGTCTTGACTGGCGACAAGGTTGAGACCGCCATCAACATTGGTTTCTCCTGCAACCTGCTTACCAATGACATGGAACTCATTCATCTCAAGGTGGACGAGGAAGCTGGTGACGACATCTCTGATGATATGTTACTCGATGAGTTGGAAAAGAGCCTAGACCAACACCTCAACCACTTTAACCTCACCGGAGGTGATGAAGACCTCAAGGCTGCCAAGAAGAACCACGAACCCCCTGGCCCTACACACGGACTTGTCATTGACGGGTTTGCTCTTCGGTGGGCTCTTCATGACCGACTCAAGCAAAAGTTCCTTATTCTCTGCAAGCAGTGCCGCTCTGTTCTCTGCTGCCGTGTCAGCCCCGCCCAAAAGGCCTCGGTTGTTGCCATGGTCAAGAATGGTCTTGATGTCATGACTCTCTCTATCGGTGATGGGGCCAATGACGTGGCCATGATTCAAGAGGCCGACGTCGGTGTCGGTATTGCTGGTCTGGAAGGCCGACAAGCCGCTATGTCTTCTGATTACGCCATTGGTCAATTTCGCTTCCTGCAGCGCCTGGTCCTGGTCCATGGACGATGGTCCTACCGTCGTCTGGCTGAGAGTATAAGCAACTTTTTCTACAAGAACATGGTTTGGGTGTTTGGCCTCCTTTGGTTCCAGATCTACTGCGAGTTTGACATTACCTACCTGTTCGAGTACAGCTACATCATCATGTTCAACCTGTTCTTCACCTCGGTTCCTGTCGGTGTCCTTGGTGTTCTCGACCAGGATGTTTCGGACAAGGTCTCGCTTGCAGTACCTGAGCTCTACCGCACCGGTATTGAACGGCTCGAATGGACGCAGAGAAAGTTTTGGCTCTACATGTTTGATGGTGTCTATCAGTCGGTCATGGCCTTCTATGTCCCGTACTTGATCTTTAGCAATTCTCGCCCCGTTACGTTTAACGGTCTCGCCGTCGATGACAGATACCGACTCGGTGCCTACGTTGCCCATCCTGCAGTGTTGACCATCAATGCCTACATTATGATAAACTCATATAGGTGGGACTGGCTTATGTTGCTCATCATTGCCATCAGCGACTTGTTTGTCTTTTTCTGGACTGGTATTTACACGTCGTTTACGTCTTCGTCTACCTTTTACAAGGCAGGCGCCGAGATTTATGGGGAAGCGTCCTTCTGGGCTTGCTTCTTCATTGTCCCTGTTCTCTGCCTGTTCCCAAGATTTTCCATCAAGGCCATGCAGAAGGTTTTTTACCCTTACGACGTCGACATCATTCGCGAGCAAGTCCTGATGGGCAAATTCGATTATCTCAATGAACCGAAAGCAAAGGTTGATGCGAAGACGGACTCTAGGAGCCAAGGCTCTCACGGCAGCTCGAAGCGAAGTTCAAGAAAGTCCAAGCATGCCCAATATGCCAGCGTCGACGAGGACTCGCGACCCATTTACCCGCCTTCCACGGTGACACAAAACACATACAATGGGGCACACAGCCAACAAGGAAGCGCCGACTCGACAAATTTGCCGCGCTATTCCATTGAAAACCCCATGCACCGAATCTCGACGGACCGCCCGCGACCCTCGTACGACCGTATGCGCGCTTCGATGGACCGTACGCGCGCCAGTTTCGAAGCCAGCAACGATTTTACGTCGGCTGCTCGGCTGTCACGGATAGAGTCTTCCCATTCGCGTGGAAACTCGCATTCACACAGTGGAATCATTCGCAGCCGCCTTCGTGCCTTGTCCTCCCTGTCCAAGAAGTCGGACGCTTAGTTGCCTGCTGAGCGCCTTTCATCCGGGGACGATTCTCGAGACGAGCTGTGCGTATCCGCCTGTACATAATCGACGATTCATAATGTCACCATTTCTTTACCATTTTCGCCTGCGGAGCCGTGTCACTTTCATCACCATGGACATTGGCACTGCTTGTTGACGACTTCGCATGAGCCATCTACGGGTGGTTACACACTCGGGTACTACATTTTTTAAACACGGGTTGGAATACAAACAGAAAGGAGCAGGCCTGCGGACTTGCCGGCTCGAGTCCTCGTGGGAAGAGGCATTGACTGCGAGCCTCTTGAGCCCATTTTGTTGCTTGGCGTTTGTTTTTTTGCGCATGACTATGGCCGTTGTATGCTTTTTTCACTGCGCTTTTTCATATACATACTCTACACCATCACTTTACTCTCCTTTTTTCCCTTTAATTGCGCCGCACCTTGGAAACTTTCTGCATCTTCAACATGCGTTACTCTTGACTCACACACACCCACCACTACTGCGCTTTTTCTTTATTGTCTTTATTCTTTCTTTTCTATACGCTTGGACCCCTCCCTCCTCATTCCATTCAGTTTTACTGAACTGGGCAGGAGCATTCGGCGACGTGTTTGTGATTTTGGCGTTTTTTTTTGCATCAGTTTTTGGAGGGGCTTGCTTGGTTTTCTCGTTGTACGAAAGGCGGAGAGGAGGAGTGAGAGGAGCAAAAAAAGCTGGACTTGGGGGTTTGTTTCTGCTTGCCTGTTTCTTTTTTTTTCTTGTTGAAAACAGATTATGAGAGGGAAGCGAGAGAGATGGATGTGGAATGTATATAGCATCGTCCAGCTCAAGCGTTTAGAAGAAGTTTTTGCTCTTGGAGACGAGCAAGAATCAAAAAGTTTTTGAACCATATATGTTCTACAGTAGCAACACTTCCGGCATCGTGACAAAATCCTCTAGCATCGACACTCTCCCCACTATCCGGGCTCGAAATCCGACGAACTAACTGCCAGCACCGCCATCAGCCAATCTGCGCACTTCCTCAGCGACCCAACGTGCCCAGGCAGCACGACGCAGATGACCGCCAAACGGCACCCTTCGGCAACATTTGATGGCCGTCGAGGCTGCCACTCGAACCAGAAACCCCCAGAACGTCGCCACATCTCTCCTCAACCTCACGAATGTTTGCTCACTAATTCCGGAGAATATGAAGCCATATATCATCCCAAAGGCCAATGCCCCCGCCACTGGTTTGTTGCGTCAGCTCATACGGAGCGAACTGCGCGACCAAGTCAAAAAACGATGACCTGGTCTTGTATGACGCAACAGAGGAACAGATTGTGCTGGACTTACGGATCTCTGTGACAATGCCACTGTCAGGTGGGATGGAAGCTACTGTCGCAAAAAACGAAGCTGGCACCTAGTTGGAAAAGTCTGGTGAGATGGATAACTTCATTGTGAGCTCATGGACGGCACCCTACGACTCGACTTACGAACACGATGGCTACCACAGTCAAGGCTAGCACATGTCTACCCTGGCCAACAGCGACACGAGCGTGCTCAATGGCCTTCGCATTATGCTGAATCGCCAAGGTGACTCTGATCTGCAAAGTGTTCGATTGTCAACAGGACTCTGAAATGACGCAGAAAGGAGGGCAAGTTGTGGGGAGAAGACTTACCGACGATTCGATTCGTTCGGCAGCTTGATCCATGTTACCTAGCTCATGAACCATATTCCGTATGGAAAAACGACAGCCTGTTTTGAAAGCGATCCGGCGAAATTCAGCCTGGACAGTCTTCTGACGCTCAGCAACGAGCCGGATTGTCTTGATCTCATCTCGTATATCCTTGATCTCTCTCGAGAGCACGGCTGCCGCGTTCCGCAGGGCCACTCCCCTTTTGAGGAAGTGCGAGAGAACACTGGAGGGAAGCTTCTTGTGTTGCTTGTCACCGACACATTCGTTGTATAGGTGAACTTCGCTAATGGACTGGTGTCGCGTTAGTATGCGGCTGTGGGGTCAAGAGTGACATGTGCGTTCAGGGTCTCAGCTGGGGCCTCTTACCGCTTTAGCAATGGCATCACTAAATACTTCCTTGATGTTCACTCGAAGGGTCTCTGAAGCAGATAGATCGACGGATAAGGATTGGGCCTGGGGGATCGGGTGTTCATCTTGACTCGTCATAGAAAATTGTGTATCGAACGAGTTAATGCAACTCGCAATTATAAAATCTGCCATTTCATAAGCGTTTTTGGGCACTTTTTCAGTGTCATTCATAGCATCGCGGAGAGCGGCGACAATGGCGCCCCCCATTGGGTTGACCTCCCAGTCGCATCTATGGGTCGTGGATGTGACAACTGTGGCTGCAACGAGGATTAGAGACTCCCTTCAACACATACAGAAGAATTTGAGCGGAGGCCTACCTTTGTCAATAACCCAAACCCAAAGATGGTCAACATTGACCTGAAGTTTGGTTCCTCGCTTGGTTTGGTCGTGATGAATAGTTTTAGTAAGAACCTGGTCGTCATTCAGCACTTGAATGGATTCGTCCAACTCTGAGCCCGTGCAAGAATGATAGAAGTACTCATCCAAAGTTCTGGTACCATGTATAAGGCTACCTTTCTCTTGGTAAACTTGCAGGAGAGTCTTGTAGTCTGACAAGGAACGTTCTGTGCCTCGCCATGCTGGGGCAACGTACGGCATCTAGAGATTGTTAGATCGCGCGATATGTGTATTTTGAGCAGAAACGACTCACGTATATTGCCATACAGTTCTTTTCATCGATTTGTTAAATTTCATAGCAGAAGGATAAATTGGGCGGAACAACTCACAGATCCCGAGCTGCTTCGCATCGTGCACTGTGGCTTCATGAAGCTTGTCCGTTCTTGCCTCCCCGTAACTTCCTCCCCACTGAAAAAGAGCCACGAGGAGTCAAGTTGTTCAACTTTAGAATTGCCATTCAATGCTGCTGCCATATCCTATAAGCAGAGTTAGCAGTGCGCCAAAGTATTGCGCTGTGTCAAACGTACCACCATCCACCTCATCTTTCGTTGCTCGTTAGCTTGAACCCTGGAAGCTAGCAGTGAGTTAAAACTTACATTATTTGCAGGGAGATGAATCCACCGCACATTTGGAGTCGCCATCTCTCTTGGCATATTCGCTGGCGTTGGCCATAACCTGCCATGACTTCCATCCAAGTTCGAAACTCGTGTCCAGAGCTCTTTCATTATCTCAAAAGGGCTGCGTAAATAGAGTGCTTCGCTTAGAGACGTCGAGTGCTGAATGAACTGATCTTCATAGAGATCTAGCAGCTCCACAGTATACTTATTGAGAAGCTGAGAAGACTGATCTCGTGCACCAGCATATTGGACACTCAGCGCGAATCTCTGACCACGTTCGTTGTGAGGAGGCGGATTCCGTAGGAGCTCCAAGGTATCACCGAGATCTTGAAGTAATCTGTTGGTCTCCTTCTGTTTCATAATACTGATTTGATCAGACCCGCAGGCTCTTTCGTCGGCGACACAACGCTTGAATTCGTCGGCGCAGACAAGCCTGGCCGCTTCAATATCATGGCGGAGCGAGGTCGAAGAAGCATTGCTTTGGAGCAACCACCAAACAAGTCTTGGAGAGCCAAGAAACGCAGCTAGTATTAGAGCCTTTTCACCCTGGGTAACAGAATCCAGACGAAGACGCTGCTTCGTACGGGCCTCTTTGTATAGAATAGATGCAACTAGGGCATGCTCCCCCTGTTGTATCAAGAAACGCAGGTAATCGTCTCGTGTTTCATCGTCCTGGAACTCTACCTTGCTCATTTCAGTGACCAATCGCTTGGCAACTTGACCATGATTGTTTTTTAACGAGCAAATGAGTGGCGTCTCCTCCTGGCTGTTGAATAGACCAAGACTCTCCGGCGGAGTAGGTAGCATGTCCAGTAGCAAAGATACTCGACTTGTATGACCCTGTATAGCTGCAAGATGCAGAGCTGTGTCCCCATTGCGGTTTCGGGCTTCCACATTTGCATAGGCGCCCATGAGAAGCTTGACTGTCTCGTCGTAGTTCTCATCCGAGCCATACGCATTTTCATCTCTGTCCCAGTAGTCATCTGATGAAGCATCTCTGCTCCTGAAGCCGGATGGCACGTGAAGATACCCCAACGCTTCGTGGCTTGCGTAATGCAGAGGAGTCCAACCGTTGCCGTCCGTCTCGTTCACAGAAGCGCCTTCACTTAAAAGAACATTGACGATGCCATGATAGCCCATCCGACTTGCTTCATGCAGAGGAGTCCTGCCATGCACATCTTTGAGACTTTCATGGAGATGCTTCAGAGGAAGTTCCCTTACCAGCAGCCTGACCATGTTCAAATTGTGGCGTTGACAGGCCAAATGAAGGGCGGTAGAGGGTTCTCCATCGACCTTGTATGAGATGGCTTGTAAGGAATTCTCTTTGAAGCTTTTTGACTTGAGTAAAGCTGACATAGATCTGCAATCGCTGCGTGTGATGGCCTCTGTGAAAGGGGTTGAACCGTCGTTGTTGGCGATGGCACAGTCCGCTCCAGCGTCGAGCAGCTCCTCTGCAACGAGATGGCTTTTTGTAGCACACGATGCGGATAGTAGAGTGATACCTGAAGAGTTCCACTTGTTGATGCCACTTGCAAGCGCTTCATAGTTCAATAGATGCTGAACAACCTGGAGGTGGCCAAAACGTGCGGCATCCCAAAGACAACTTTCGCCATTGTAGGAGAAAATCGTTGAGTCTGCATGACGGTCAAGTAGAAACTTGACAACTTCAATCTTACCGCCGCGGCAGGCCAAGTGCAAAGAAGTGCGGCCCTCGGCAGTCCTCTGATTGATGTCAAAGATGGGGCCAAATGCGACGGATGCGACGGGCCGAGCAAGACTTTCGGCCTGACTAGAGCTCGATTCTTTGACAGAAGTAAGACGACCATCGGTAGGATGCTCGTAGTCGAGAAGCATCTTGACGACATTGAGGTGGCCATGGGTGGCAGCGATATGTAGAGGGGTTCGCCCACCACTGCCTGCGCGTTGCTGCGCATCTGGGAACTTGCGCAACAAGTATTCGACAACTTAAGAGTGCCCGTATTTGCAGGCTATTCCAAGCGGTGTCATGCCAGAGGAATCTTGCGCAGAGATGCGGGCTCGCCAACCACCCTGCGATGTAGACGGCGCATTCTTTATCAGAGCCTCGACAATGTCCAAGTCGCCGACCTCGGCGGCACAGTGTAGGGGGCCTTTTAGATCTTTATCAGCCAGATCCAAATTTGCACCATTCGACATCAACTCGCAGACAAGTGCCTTTCTCTTTGCGAGAATGGCAGAATGCAATGCTGGGACCTGATGCTGACCCCCAACTTCGTTGACCAATTTCTTGTTTGAAGCTATAGCCCCAATGATGAAACTATCCGCAACTTCAGCATCTTGGTCGCTGCACCGTTGAAGCATGGCGGACACAAAGGTTGGATTCGAAGGACTCTTGCTGACAAGGTCTTTAGCGTCGGCGACCACGCGCTTGATCGCCTGCTCGGGCTTGTTCCAGTACCAGCTGGAGGAATCGAATCGAAGGTAGAAACTGTCTCGTTTGACGATTTTGGAGTCCTCGGGGAGGGGATGGGGTTGTGCTTGGTCAAACATGATTCCTTGCGGCAATTTTGGTTGAGATCAAGGCGATGGGAAGAGACAGAGTAGAAAGATAGATTTTGGGGAAGAGAGTAAACCGACGGAAAGAAGATGCGGTATTGGTAAAAGACAACTGAAGGTGCCATGGTTATCTCCCCAATGGACGTCAGAAAACAATATAATACCTGCGCCTGGCGCCGATGCTTGGCACGGGCAAGACATGCAGATTCGTTGAAGCACTTTGGAAAGTTGACTGGGGCAAACAGTAGCTTATCGGAAGCCGACTAATGTACTGTGCCGGTGAAGCAATACACAAGGCCAGCAGAGCGAGGAGATTGCTCGCCTCTTCGGATCGCGTGGGCTAGACCTGCATAGTTATTGCAGCAGCCTGCTGATCCGTCAGCCACTTCGTATCAACGGCTGCTGTAACTAGGGAATAGTATGGGCTCTCGAGTCAATCTTTTGCCAAGCAGCCTTGTGTGAATATTTGCAGGCCACACACTTAGTATACCAAACGATGGAGGTATGCGTCGTGGGCGGCAGGAGCTGAGCGGCACGCCACATCACATCACATCTCCCCCAAAAGATCCGCGTTATGCACCTTCTTATTGAGTTTCACGTCGTCCCAGCCCGCAATAATCTATTTCGGTCCGGCATACTGTAGGTTTGGGCATCGAGGCCGGCCTATCGTCGACCTGTTTGTCTCTCTCGCTGCCTGTTGTGCTCGGAAATAGGTCGCCCCACACAAGCTCCCCAAAAAGCTGCAGATGAACTTACCCCCTTCGACCCTGAACCACCTTTTTCCTCAAGACACAGCTTTCAGAGGGTACCAATTGTGCGCTCGTCGATCGTCTTGCCGTCATGGAAGCGTCCAAGGCTCGCGCTCTGTCGCTCCTCCGCAGCGGCAGCAGCTGTGCTCAGCCGTACCTCGAACAGGTCCCGTAGGTGCCCTCCTTGACCCCCTGCGACCATCCTCCACACAACATCTCACACGCAACAGCAAGCCCGTCCTCCAAGGCGCCGTCGCCGTCCTCGTCATTATCCTCTCCATCATCCTCGTCCGGGCCGCCCAATCGTCCGCTGCCGCCCGTCCCCGACACTACACCGTCGCCCCCCCGACGCCCGACTCATCCTCTCCACCCGCCGCCCACCACTCCTCCCACATTGCCTGCTATGCGCCCGCCACCGGCCAGTTCCTCGGCAATGTGCCCGCAGCGTCGACGACCGACATCGACGCCGCCATCTCTGCCGCCACCGCCGCCCAGGGCGCATGGAGCCGCACCACTCTGGCGCAGCGCGCGGCCGTGCTGCGCTCCCTGATGCAGCACGTACTCGACCACGCGCAGCAAATCTGCCGCGTCGCCGCGCTCGACAGCGGCAAGACGCTCGTCGATGCGCAGCTCGGCGAGATCATGGTGACGCTGGAGCGACTGCAGTGGACGCTACGACACGGCACGCGAGCGCTTCGCCCGGAGCGCCGCCCGACGAACCTGCTGCTGGCGTACAAGCGCAACACGGTGCGCTACGAACCCATGGGTGTCGTCGCCGCCCTCGTTAGCTGGAACTATCCGTTTCACAACATGATCGGGCCTATCATTAGTGGCCTCTTTGCGGGCAATGGTGTCGTCGTCAAGGTCTCGGAGCAGACGGCGTGGTCCAGCGCGTACTTTGCTGACATTGCCAGAGGCGCGCTGGCGGCCCACGGGTTCGACACGGATCTGGTGCAGACGTTTGCGTGCTGGCCGAAAGAGGCTGAGTTCCTGACGTCGCACCCTAGCATTGCCCACATTACCTTTATCGGCAGCCAGTCCGTCGCGCACCACGTCGCCGCGTCGGCGGCCAAGGCGCTCACACCCGTCGTGGCCGAACTTGGCGGCAAGGACCCGTTCATCGTCCTCGACTCGGCGGCCAAGGACATCCCCCGCATCGCCGAGGTGATTCTCCGGGGAACCTTTCAGGCCGCCGGGCAAAACTGCATCGGCATCGAGCGCGTCATCGCCTCGGGCGCGGTCTACGACACGCTCGTCGCGCTGCTCGCGCCGCGCGTGCGGGCGATCCGTCTGGGGCCCGACGCCGACATGGGCGCCATGATCTCGTCGGCATCGTTTGACCGCCTCGAGGCACTCGTGCAGGACGCCGTCGCCCAGGGCGCGCGCCTGCTCGCCGGCGGCCGCCGCCACGCGCACCCCGAATACCCCGACGCCACATACTTTGCGCCCACCATGCTCGCCGACGTCACGCCCGACATGGGCATCGCCCGCCAGGAGTGCTTCGCGCCCGTGCTCACGCTCATGCGCGCCGAGGCCTCGACTGCCGAGGCCATGCTCGCCGTCGCCAACGCTCCCGACTTTGGCCTCGGCGCGTCGGTGCACGGCTCGGAGCGCGACCCGGCTCTGGCCCCCATTGTGCGAGGCCTCAAGGCGGGAATGGTGGCCGTCAACGACTTTGCCGTCTACTATGCCGTGCAGCTGCCGTTTGGCGGCGTCCGCGGCTCCGGCTACGGTCGTTTTGCCGGCCACGAGGGCCTGCGCGGCTTGTGCAATATCAAGAGTGTTTGCGAGGACAGGTTTGGCTGGCTGGGCATCAGGACCGGCATCCCGCCGCCCATGCAGTACCCTGTGCCGAACCAAGAAAAGAGCTGGCGATTTGCGCAGGGCGTTGTCGAGGTTGGCTACGGCGAGGGATTGAGAAAGGTTCAAGGCCTACTGGGCATACTGAAGAACTTGTAGGATACAGAGATGAGAAACAAAGCTGTGACGCAGCATCTGTATTATACGTAGTTAATTTAATAAAAGTTGCAGTCACAAATAATGGTAGAGACAGAAGTTTGGATACCTGGTGTTGTATTGTCTCAACTACCTATTGCATTTGTCGCCAATTTCTTAATCAACCATATCTCGAAAGTTCTTTCCTCGCGCAATCATAATTGCCATACTAGTTGATGGCTAGCAAACCTTTAAACCAGATGCACGCCTACCAATTGGGCACAGTGGTAACAGTTCCCCAAGCCTGCGGTGCTGGGCCTGCTGGAGGCGGACTATTCCAGGCCGGAGCGGCAACCTGCTGCTGGACAGGAGGTGCAGCCGATGTGCCAGAGTTCCAGCCACCCGGAGCAGCGTGTTGAGGGGTGGGAGCGGCTTGAGTAGATCCCCAGCCATTGGAGGCTGGACCAGGTGCAACAGCCTGGGGGGCAGGAGGTGCAACCAAAGGTGCAGCCGATGTGCCAGAGTTCCAGCCACCTGGAGCAGCGTGTTGCGGGGTGGGAGCGGCTTGAGTAGATTCCCAGCCATTGGAAGCTGGAGCAGGTGCAACAGTCTGGGGGGTGGGAGCGGCCGGATATGCCCAGTCATTGGAAACAGGGGTTGGCTGGGCATCGCCAGACTGGTCAGCGTCTTGACCAACAGTGTGCATCTCATCTGGGTCGAAATCCGACTCCGTTTCAAACCGGATCGCCGTTCCAGGCGCAATCTCGGGCTTGTACTCCTCCAAAAACTCGGGAATCTCTTGGTTGGTCTCCAGGAGAGTGCGAGTCAACACGCTCGCAATTGCCTCATCTCTTTCTGTGAAGAGAGAGGTGGCCACCCCTCGGTGGCCGATGCGGCCAGTGCGTCCTGATGGTGTTAGCAGATGCCAGAAAGGAAGATGGAGCTGAAGGTAAACAAGACAAAAAGTATCAGGCAAATCAGGGGACAAACATACCGATGCGATGGGTATATTCTTCAATACCACCGTGATCCATGGAGGGCAAGTCAAAGTTGATTACGTGCATGACATTGCGCACGTCGATACCCCGAGCAGTGACTCCAGTAGCGATCAGAATCGGCGCAGTTCCTGCGCGGAACGAGCGCATGGCGGCCTCACGCTCCAATTGTGTGCGGTCGCTATGAATGGACGTCACAGGGAGCTTCATGTTAAAGAGAAAGTCATCAAGACAGTCGACCTCCTGTCGACTGTTCGCGAAAATAATCGTGCGGACACCATGTATCTCATTGAGAAGCTGGAGCAGAATGTTTCGCTTCTCGTGTGGCTCAGCCTTGACAATGATCTGCTTGATGTTCTCCGTTGTGCTTCCCGCACGACCGACACGGAATCGGACATGTGCCGCGGCGAGATGCTCCTTGGCCAAGTCGCGGGCTTGCTTGGGAAATGTCGCCGAAAACAGACCATACTTGACATTGCCCTCGTCCTGGTCTACATAACGTTAGACAGGACTGATAGAGGAGTGAGAGATAATAATAAGTAACTTACCTCCGCCAAGCATGATCCGTTGAATGTCCTCCTGCCAACCAATGTCCAACATCTCATCTGCCTCGTCGATGATGAGATATTTGAGACGGCGAAGCGTCAGAACGCGAGGCTTGTTAATAAAGCTGACAAGCCTGCCAGGAGTTCCAATGAGCACATCACACCCGCGGTTGAGCAGGTGGATTTGGTCGGCAACGGGGGTGCCGCCGTAAACGACACCAGGGCGCAGCATGGTGCGGTAACAAAACTTGCGAGCCTCATTGAAGATCTGGACAGCAAGCTCGCGCGTGGGTGAGATGACGAGGACCAGAGGCTCAGCAGTCACCTCATCTCTGCCTTCACAAAATGTGGCAGGATTGGGACGAGGAGCGGCAAGCTTCTTGACTTTTCCCATGAGACGACTCAGAATGGGAATCAAATAAGCGGCAGTTTTTCCGGAGCCTGTTATGTGGTGTTAGACAATATCTTATTCAGAAGAGACTATCACCATACCAGTTTGGGCAATGCCAATCACATCCCGACCTTGGACAATGGCAGGGATAGTGTACTTTTGAATGGGCGTCGGATGGTCGTAGCCTGCCAACTTGACGTTGTCCAGCATGACAGGATGCAGGCCGGCATCATCGAACGATCGAATGGGAACAATTTGAACGGGGCCTTCTTGCTTGACCTCGATGCTGTCAATGCTTGGACAAATTAGCAATGGAAGTGGACATGCGGTAGTGCTACGAACCGTCGAAAGTCAAGGCCGGTCCTTTCGTGACGAGTCTTGGGGTCGCCAAAAAGCTCCAGCTCGAGGCTGTCGATCTTGGGCCCAACATCACCATACTCGTCATTCCACTGGTAGATTGGGGCACTTCCGTCAAAAGTGTCGCGTGACTGCATGAAGCTGGCATCATCCTGAGGGACTTCATGGCCAGCAGCAGCCTGATACGGGACGGCCTGGGGATACGCAGAGTCCATTTCGAATTTCGTAACGGACTTGAAATCTTTGAACGAGATGAGTTTCTGGAAACAAGAGTCAGCACGCGAGGCAGATGAGAGCAAGTGATGAACTGACCTTGTAGGACAATAACGATGGGAGGAGGAGCAATTCGACGATCAAGCTTGAAGAGGAATAGGGAATAGTGAGTGTGATGGAGGAAGAAGAAGAATAATAATAATAACAAACAGGGTGCTCGCGATTAAATACACAAAAACAAGAGCTGTTGCCAGCTGTTGCCGGCTGTTGCCAGCTGGCAGCAGCCGGAGGGCAGCTGTAGCTTCGTCCGTTTGCATGCGCACATTTCGCACATTTCATCATATTTACGGCTTATGGTGCTTAAACGCTGGCTACCTACCTATGTAGGAAATGGCCAGAACGTTGCTTGGTTTGATTGCCGGCGAAATGCTGGATGTACGTGCAGATTTCCATTGTAAATCGGGCCCATCCTTATTCATGGAGGGCTCTCTTTTACAGACGCGGCGATTTAAAGATACATTAATCCAGCCCCAGTAGCGAGCCACGTAGAAGACGGTACTCTGGGCGCTGACACTTCATCCATCTTAAAAAACTGTACACTATATGCCGGCGGAGGTCTAGGACTTCACTCGGGGCAAGGTGATACAAAATTCGCAACGCTGATATCTTGAAGTTGTAGTCATATATTAATATCACCATAAATCCAACAGGTCCTGAGTATCTAGTGCTGTTGATACCTCGAAATCCTCCATGCCTTTTGCGAGGACCTGCTCCAGTCCGACAGCTGCTCGTCCCGTAACACCGCCCTCTTTCTTTGTCTGATCCAGCCCTTTCCGAACCGCGTCCAAAAAGCGTTTATGGAATATTTGCTGTCTAGCCTCTTTATTGGGGTACATTTCCGCATCCTCATCCCGTTGCGCCATGAACAGGTTCAGATACTCAAACGCGTTGCCCGAGCGCGGTATCCGATACAAATTGTCCCACACCTGTGCGCTCGTCGCTTCCGCCGCCACCTCGTCCTTGAAGCCGGTCTGCAGAAACCTGGCCAGCGTCGCAATCTGCTTGGCGCGGTTCTGCGCGTCCTTCGGCTTGAGAGTCGTCCGGGCATTGGCCGCCGAGGTCCAGCCCGTGACCGACGCCGCGAGCGCCCAGCCCATGACGGCGCAAAACGTCGTCAGTGTGCGCACCCAGCCGCCGGGGCACATCACGAGCTCGTCGCCGGCGACGTCGAGCAGCCAGTCCAGGGCGGCGAGGGCGTCGTTGCTAATGTCGCTCGAGAGGTGCGTCAGGCCCGCACGGACAAACATCAGGGCATGCTCGATGACGGGCCGCACCTCGTGCCCGGGGAGCACGCGCAGCAGCTTGAGCAGCTGCTGTCGGACGGGCGTCGCGCTGTCGGAGAGGAGCGGGATAAGCTTGGTGAGCACAGCGGCGCTGCCCACAGGGTTGACGGGCGGCTCGAGGACGAGCTGGCTGGTGAGGTAGGCCAAGGCGTCTTTGCGCTGCTTGTCGGAGCGGGAAGAGGAGGCGAGGGAGAGGTTGTGCTTGAATTGATAGACGACGTCGGGTGCTTCGGTCGACAAGGACTGGTGTCCCATGACAATTGCTGGATGATGTTAGCGGCGCCGGTAGACATACGGGAAGGCAAGATACCTTTCGACTTGAAACTAGTGTCTGTGAAATTGGAGGCCTTGGCCTTGGTCTTGCCGACTTTCAATTTCGTTTTCTGCCGTGGTTAGCAATTGGCCTGGATCCATGGCAGCATGTAACATACTTGAAAGTCCTTTGCCTTCTCCTTCTTTTTCTTCATACTGGCACCCATCTTGGCGATTGTGTATAGTGTCACAGTATAGAATAACAACAATACCGTATCACTGAAGTGCGTACTTGTTCAAGATTCTTTGCTCAAGAATTCCGCCGTTCAATGTAGAGGGGCAGGAAATTTTGGCGGTGTCGCTGGGCAAAATTGGAGCAGCGCGCGTTGGCGTAGTGTCACTGCACCCACCATCCCCACCAGAGCAACGAGCTGGGTCGAGGCCCGATGATACCCAGAACTTGGCCGTTCATAAAAACATATCTGCACAAGCCGATACTGCACCATGATGGCCGATGTGACGAATGTATGTGGAAGACTGCAATATACACGGATATACTCGAGTCTGGACTCGTTTGTACTAACATCGGGCCCTAGGGAAGTAGCGCCATTCTGGACGAGAAGCTGTCGCGCCTGTCTAAGAAACCCGGCGTCAAGGCTAGCATCGCCATTGACCGAGCGAGCGGATCGATCCTCAAGACGAGCGGCGATGTCTCGGTGCTAGGCACGACGCAATCGCGGACGGCGTCGACAGCGGCGTCGTTTTCCAACGAGCCGGCCGCGGCCGAGGAGAGCACCTCCAAGGGCGTCGACGACTTTGCGGCCATGATTTGGAAGTTTGTCAACAACTCGGGTGACATGGTGGAGGAAATGGACAAGGATGTATGTGATGCTCTTTTTTTATACGCAGAGACGACTGGCGATGCGATGCTGACTGGTGATTAGGACGAGCTGCGGCTGTTACGACTACGAACCAAGAAGCACGAGATTCTCATTGTGCTGGACACGAAATATCTATTGACAGTCATTCACGATGTCCCTACTGCGTGAGGCTGTGCGGGCGTTGAAACTGGGAAGTATAGCGATAGGGGTGCGCCGACCATGGCGCTGGCCCCGATGACATGATGCGTGTGATCCAAGATACCCTTTGTGTGTGGGTTGTGCAAAGTCGGCACACCACGACGGAAGTTTGATTGCGGGACAAAAGGCCTATTAACTGTACATACTGTGCCATGTACATGTGGACTGCAGAATTGGGTTGAGCCGATGTCCGCGGCCACGCAGTCACGACTACAAACAGCAAAAGCTGAGAATATATACATATATATCTGTATTCCAATGGCCGGCTTATTGGCCCGTATAGCCGCTATTTATGTTGCGCCTATTTATTGTAACTTTACACTTTGCTCATTTAACCCACGTACCGCACACCGACGTGCAATAGCATGCATCTCTCACTACCGGACCAGAACTGTCGATGTTCTACATTGTTTCTTTTCGAACTGGCGACATGGAGGAGATTAAGCAAGAGGAGCGGGCGCGGGAGCGCCAGTGGTAGTGCCAGGGCGATCGAGGGGGGGCATGAACAGAGGCATATACGTGACACCAAGCGCCATGACTATTCGCAGCGATTCCCACATTAGCAACGGAAGGGAGACGCTCTTCAAAGATGGGAAACATTGGGACGTACCGGAAAGACCAATGTTGAAGTAGCCTGGCGTACCGTTCTTCTTAGTATCGGCGCTCTCGCCGAGCCAGTTCTGGATGGAAAAGACGACACCAGCCCTGGCAAACGCCCACCACGTCAGCATGTGCTCTTTCTCATGTATTTCTTTCAAGGACCATCAATTGCCGTAAGCGCAACATTCTGGAGAACATCACGCCAGTATTTTCTTTGGGTTCGGTCGTCTTCCGTCGAGGGGGGCGCGCGCGCGCGCGAGGAGAAAAGGGCAAAACGCTTACCAGCCAACAAACTTGTTCCTCGTAAACATGGCGGCCATGGGCATCGTCGACGACAGCGTCGAGCTGAACTCGGGGTTGTCGCCCTTCGAAACGGGCTCTTGGTACGGAACGACTAGCCCAATGTGCGTGCATCGTTAGCGAAAAGAACCAACTCTTGATATAATTCAAGACGCTGCGCCGTCGCGCCGCTCTCCTCTGGTATGCAACAGAGAGGAGATGGGCATGGCACGTCGGACGCATCGCATAATTGGAGGGGGTGGTGGGTAAAGACGTACTGAGTTCCGCACGTCGCATGTCCTTCGGTGGCGCCATTGTGATTGGACTTTGAGGTTAATGGGCGGGTTGGTTGGGATGCGAGGTTGCAACAGTTGAGGCCCGAGTCTGGGGTTGATGCAACGAGGCTTCAGCGTGTGGACAGAAGCGGCCTAACTAGCGCCGCAACCCACCTGGACAACAACGGCGTTATTAACGGCAGAAACTGAAGAACGAGAGTAGAATTGGATGTGTATTATGAATCAGGTTAAAATTACATGCTAGATTCGCTTCAGAAGATAAGTACCAAAATCAACACAGAATATTTATACATTGTTCGCTTTTTTCCTCCGCGTGCGCCCTCAGTCCACGCGCACAATGACCTTGTAGCCTAGCGCACCCGCTTCGCGAATGGCGCATGCGAGGCAGCCTCGTTTGCGGCGGCTGACGATGGCGTTCCAGCCTTGCTCCGAGCACAGGCTGCGCACCAATATTTCCAAATCAGAGCCCGACTGCCGCTTGTGCGAAGCGTAGTGCATCTGCGCGGCAAAAGAGAAGCCGGGCGCCCGCTCCGTCGATGGCGAGACGAGGCGCTCGAGCACGGGCGATTGCGGCAGCTCGACAATCTGCGTCATGCAGTCAATGACGAGGACGGCGTTGCCGGGAGCCTTGTTGTCGGGGTGGCCGGCGCCCAGGAGCGCCGAGAGGGGGAGCTGCTTCTTTTGAATGACTTCGGAGATGTGCATGACTTTGTAGTTGTAAAACTTGTGCAAGGGGTGGCCTGAAAGGTGTTAGAAAGAAGTTGTATAGAAGGACAGAGATGAGAATGTACCCATTCGATGCAAAGCGCGTGATGCGTTGCCGAGGGATGCTCCTCCAGACACGTCAATTTCGCGAATGGTCGGGCTCGACGGCGACTTGACAAATCGCACACCGCGTGGTGGCGAACAGGGGTGAGCATTGACAAAGTTGACGTCGTGCAATAGAGAAAAAATATGCTGCCTTTCAGGGACTCCGTCAATGCCAACTCGGAACGTAAGCGAAGCCGGCTGAGAGAAGAGATCCGGCGCCGGTGCCGACTCATGCCGAGGAGTGGCCATGATCTCGGGTAGAGGCGTGGGATGCAGCGATAGAGCTGACGGAGATAGCTGCAAAGACGCAAAATCGACGTATACGTTGGGCGGCGGGGTTTTGTATCGATTTTCCCAAGGCATCGTAAAGTCGGCCGGGGAAGCCGAGTCCTCATCTCCGTCGCCCACAATGGATGAATCCCGCTCGAGGCGCCGTTTTGCCCAAATTCTGGACTTTTTACCCAAATTTGCAACATCGTCTGTTTAACGTTAGTTAATGATGACAAAAGAACAAGTCGAATCCTTACCAGGCACATCCTTAACGTCAATATTTAGCCAGCCTTCTGCCACACCCGTGGGTACAATATCTGTCGACACCCAGCCCATGCATTCTGCAGAGCCCTTGCCAGCGGCGAGCACGCGGCCGACGATGCACGATGTGCTCCAGAAACTCATGCCAGAGTAGACGAATCCGCCGCAAAGATTGGCAAAGGACCCGAGCTTGCTCATGGCAATGTCATCATTTTCCAGCAACGTGGCCATGAGAAAGTGGGATAGCCCATCGCCTGGCAGCATCAGGCCAAAGATGTACGACTTGGACATCCACCCAGATGGGTGCAAGGCGGCCGCGAGTCGTCTGCGTCGGGCTCTGGCTCGCTCCTTGTGGTTGCCTCGCTGGCAAGTGACGTCCCAAGTCCCAAAGTAGTCGTCTTTGCCGCCTCCTTTGGTTTTCGCGTCGTATCCACAGTCGCACATGGAGGTGTCGGGTCTCTTTTGCACGGCTTCTCGCATGTGAGTAGTAATGCGAGCCTCGTAATCTTCGATGCCCGGCCACCTCAGCTTCTTGGCAAAGTGAATTAGTCCGTCGACTTGGCGCTGTCCGTTTCTCCCCCTGATCACATAGTGACGTGCGGGATAGGCTGATGTCATGTGGTTTTGGCCGTGGTGGTGGAAAGGCATATGGCTCGCAATGGCGGCAAGCCAGCTGGCGCTTTTGGTCTTGATAGTCTGCACAAGGGTTTCGTCATGGCTTGGCGGCACTTCTTTGAACGCGTCGTCCTGAGTAGACTCGGCGTCTGCGACAATTTCAATATTATCAAGCCAGCTGCGAGCAAGCAGCAGAGACCATTTCACAGTCGAGTTGGCGGCGCGCTCAAACTGGACAATGTCAATGGCTCGAAAAGCTCCGGCGCCGTATTCCTCGCCCTGCGTGACAGCATCGAGCCGAATGAGAAGCTCGGTAGCCATGAGGATCTGAAGCAGAAGCCAGTATTTCTCCTCGGCCATTTCGTCGGCACATTCGATATTGTGTATGCTGGAATCGCCGTTCAGACGGTCTCCATGCGGTTCGCCCCAGAGAATCTGGCCAAGACGAATGCGCCACTCGACGTGAGACAGGTCGATCCAGACATTGTCGGAGCCGAGACACTTAAGCAGGGCGACGATCTGGTTAGTCAGGCTGTGGCTGTCCTTTTTGTCGAGGGCAATGTAGCGCGGACGCATAAAGTGGCCAAACAAGTCATTGTAGGACTCGGTAGACCGGCGCTTCTTGAGATCGTTGTTCCGGTAGAGCTCGCCGTTGCGCTTCAAGCGGCCCAAGAGCTCGGCCTCTGGGATGCGATGCAGCCAGCCATCGCCGTTGAGCATGCGCTCGCGTGCATCGACAATGGCGCGGGCCTTTTTGCCGATGCTGTCAAAGCCAAACTGCTCCTCCTCAAGGGCGTCGCTGACGCCGAGCTCGAGGGCAGCCTGATAGCCCATGGTGCCCTTTTCGAGGCCCTGCAAGCTGAGCATGTTGGGGCGCTCGCGGCAGCGGACAAAGAAGTGGGCGTGCCGCTCGGCGGCGGCGGCGGCGGCATCGTGATTGCGGTCGCGGGTGAGGTGCGGATGGGCGGTGACGCCGCTCCACGCCCTGGCCTCGATCTGGCAGTGGTCCGTCAGGTCGCGGATCTGCAGGTTCTCGTCAAAGGGGAAGGCGACCGAGGGGTTGGGGACGGCGATGAAGGGGCCGTCGTTGCGGGCAAAGTACTGGGGCGCGCCGGAGAAGAGCTTCTCCATGTCGTCCTGGCTCAGCGTCGCCATGGTTGTGTCAGATGCAGGAGGAGGCGGCAATAGCGGGGGAGCGAGGGCAATGGCATCGAGAAGCTGTGAGGATGGCGGGTTGGTGATCGGGGGCGGCAGCGGCTAGGACGGGGCCTGGTGGCCGAGCGGCGGGGTCGTAGTCGAACGATGAGGTCGGTGGGGAGAGCTTGGAGCTTCGAGAGGTCGGCTGATGACGTCGTGAAGAGCGGGCGCAACGGTAGACGGAGCGAGAATATGGCAACCAGTAGATGATTGGAGCCTCTGATTTTCTGGAAGAACGATGAGATCCGGGGAGAGCAAGGGTCTCGTTCTGGTAAGCGAGATGGTACGATGAGGACCTGAGGTTGGTGGTTGGTGCAGTGTGGTACTGACCGCATAGTACGCACATCCAGTGACAAGCGGCCTCGTGGCGCGAGGCCTAGCAGGGAAGGGAGGCACCGGCGCGGATCCGGCGCTGGGGCGGGAGATCAACCCATTGAAGGGTCCAAGACATGGTGTGCGCAGTGGAATGTGCGGTGAGTGCGGTAAGTGCGGTTCGCAAAGAGCAATAATGGGTAGTTATTATTGTTCTACTTGATTGAAGGAATTCAGAAATGACGCTGCAGACAGCGGGAATGGATTTTGCCTGTAACTAGCGGGCCTCGGCACGTTGACAGCACACGAACCAGCCATTTTTTAGCGGTTGTGACGCCATTTTCCGGGGTTGACTCCACTGGAACGAGGGTCCCGAGTGCTACAAACAGTGGCGAATAGCGCTAAAAAAGCTCGTACTCTGCACCCTTGCCTGCTTGCCTGCCAATCTAATCGGTCGGCGCAGGACCAGCGCAAATGACGCCAGGCTGTTTTACTGATATTAATATTGGTTCGTCTACAGGCATCTATCGGCACGAGCCAGACCATGCCCCTGCTATCTGTCAGAACCAGTGACTACATAGGTAGGTAGCCAGGTAGGTAGCCGCATCCAGACAACGAGAAGAACTGCCCACCAGGAATCAGAAAAAAGAAAAGAGAAACTAAGTATATAGACGATAAAGGCGGTGCTACATGGACTTTATACCTTTTTAGTATGCTGCAGATTTGAACCCCCCTTGTGTCATCTTAGCTTTTGGCGATGGAGTCAGCCACACCTTGAAACGCTGGCGGAGACAGTCTGTGTGTCGTCCCGTGTCGCAGAGCCCGCCTGTCAGAATCGCTAATAATTAGACTCCATTGTCAATCATAGTTCTTGTTCCTGCTTTTCCCTTTTCCTCCTTTTTTTTTCCCTTTCTCGCCTCCTCTGCAAAAACACGAACTCGTTGCAACAAGCCACGGCCAACGCGTACGACTCAATAATTCGATCCCCCTTCAAGATGCAATTCTCGGCGGTAGCACTGCTCCTGTGGGCGGCTTCGCTGACCAGCGCCGGAATCGTCATTACGCCCATCCGCGATGACCAGGTAGTTCCAAAGACTTCCGGCGACTGTTTCTTTGGCGTCGTGACTCCTCAGGGTTGCGGGTAGGTCCCTCTCTAGCCGTCTACTATACATTATATATTGCAGCAAAACAGCAGACTAATTCGTCAACAGACCCAAAAGACGTTAAAAACAACCACGTCGAGCAAGACATGCAAAAATATGGAATTATAGGAGGAGCGCAGAGGAACTGAACATGCCAGGAGCATGAGGGCACATCATCTCTTCGATGCATTAATATGACCATATAGAAATACCCACATAGCAATCCATTCATTTACCAACAAGAAGTTGGTCATCTTCCAAATCACGCAGCCGTTCTTCAAATTATCATCTTTGTCATTCTCAAATACAACCAACTCTAGAACTACTTCTGCTGCTTCTTGAAACGTCTCCATCGCCTACCTGTAGTTGGTAAGTAATGCCTCCCACTTATCAATCGTGAAACTGCAAGACCCGCGAAACCAACACCGAGTTTCAGACCACCACCGACGTTTGATGACAAACTTGCACCAATTTATGCCGCGGAATCATTGTTCCATTTTCATTCCATTGGGAAATACTCGGGGAGAGCAAACCTTGGCCAGCTTGGCGGCCGCCAATCGTGAGGATCCGGTCTGCAAATTGGCACACGCACACAAGGAGGCCCACGCAAGGTAAAAATGAACCGTTCCATTCATGATGAAAAACCTGCAATACATGAGGGATCCCTAAACCAAGTCATCCAAACAGATTAGGCAATCCAAAGCCAACAAAGCAGGAAAACCATGAGCCTTTCGAAATACATAGGAAAAAGTGTAAAAACGACAAAAAATAAAGAAAAAATAAATAGTGTAGCCACATCAGATTTTCGCAGGCCAAACAATATTTCTAGTCCCCAACCATCAAAACCTCCGCTCGGTTTTGTCATGTGAGCGAAAAAAGGCAATCACCAAGGCCATTGTTACGACAGGTCAGAGATGCACTGAGCCATCTGGCTGTCGCACGAGGCAATATCAACGCCCTTGACGGCACCGGACTGGACGCCGTTCTGGCAGGCCGCGCGCTGCGTCTCGCAGGAGCGCTGGACGGCCTCCCCTTTGGTGGTGAAGCTGTTGCCGGCCACGTCAAAGGGGCGGTTCTTGTCGTTGGTCTGGGCAATGTCGGGAGCGCCAACGCCGCCGAGAGCAGCCACCTTGTTGGCGCCGCCTTTGCCGCCGCCCTGCTGACCCTGTTGCTTCTGACCCTGTTGCTTCTGACCCTGTTGCTTCTGACCCTGTTGCTTCTGACCCTGTTGCTTCTGACCCTGTTGATTCTGACCCTGTTGCTGGTCGCCCTGATTGTTATCAAGTTGTCCTTCGTTCACCAGGCCACCGCGGCCGGCGCCCTGCTGTGCGCCCTGCTGTGCGCCCTGCTGTGCGTCCTGCTGTGCGCCCGGCTGTGCGCCCTGCTTTGCGCCCTGCTGTGCGCCCTGCTGTTGCTTCTGACCCTGCTTCTGACCCTGCTGCTGACCCTGCTGACCCTGACCCTGCTGACCCTGACCCTGCTGGCCCTGACCCTGCTGACCCTGCTGATTGTTATTGTTGCCGCCGCCGTTGTTGTTGTTACCGCCGTTGCCGCCAACGGTGAAACGGACGCAGTCGTCCTGAGCACCACGCTGCGCAACGGGCATGAGGACGGGCTGATGGTTGGACGCAGACGACATGCTGCACAGACGATAGTTGCCGGCGGGAAGACCACCAGCTACTCTGGCGGAGAGCAGACCACGGCCATTGCCGGCGTCGTTGATGCCCTTGAAAAAGGCAAACTTCTCGGGGTCCAACGGCTGCTGGGGGTTGAGGGAGCGGCCCGTGTCCTGGACGGTAACGTGGGTGTGGCCGATGATGAAGCCCTGCCCGTTGAGATCCTGGGGCGCCGAGTAGTAGGTGCTGGTGGCGTTTGTGAAATCGCCGGGTGCAAAGTTGATCATTTGCACCTGAATGTCAAAGTCTTGCTTGGCGGCAATGTTATCGCCGTTCTGGGGGTTGACAAAGATGCTCGAGACCATCTTGGTGGAGGCGGGAATGTTACCCATAGCTGTGCGGACCTGTTAGACGATGAAGCCCAAGTTGAATAGATTGGTGATACTTACGAATACCGTTGCAAGAGCCAGCACGGACCTGGGCACCGTTGGTCAGAGTCTTGCCCTGGCAAAAGTTGATAAAGTTGTTGTTGGAGCTGTAGCCATGTTAGTACTGCCTGTAGCAAAGCTAGCATATAGACATACGTCGCAGAGGCGGCTTGTTCGGCTGAGCCAGGGTTGTTGCCATCGCTGGCAGAACCGCGCTGGACGACGTTCTGCGACAGCGCAAGACCGCCATTACCACCACCGTTGTTATTGTTGCCGCCCTGGTTGCCAGCGTTGTTTCCGCCCTGCCTTTGACCGCCCTGCTGGCCGCCCTGCTGGCCGCCCTGACGGTTTTGACGACGCTCGAGAGCCGCGTGAATCGGTGAGCGGCGCATATCAGCAGCGTCTGCCACCATGGCTGCGCCCACGAGGGCTGAAAGGATGGCTTTGATCTGCATGGTGAATGTCTCGACGAGAAGGATTGACGATGACGAAACGAGAAGATGGTGTAAAGGAAGGAAGAGCCGCAACAAGTCACAATCTATGGTTCCAGACCGAAGATGATTGCAAACGAGAGTTGATTGGGTGCAAGAGTTGGAAATAGTCAAATGTCTTGAAGCGGGCAAATGAGCGAACGAACGCGGAAGACAAAAGCAGCCCAGCACGCTCAGAGAAGAAGAATAGTGTGTATACGGCCAGCGATTGGAGAAGAGAAGGAAAAGAAGAAACGGAACGAGCGCAAGCAGTTAAAGGAGAGGGGGATATCTTTAAAACGTGAAATAGAAAGTGTCGGAGGAGAGAGAGGGGTGGGTAAGAGGGGAATGCCAAGTCCATGCCTTTTAAGAACCCTGGCCAAGTAAGAGACCAAAACCCCGGCCAGGGCAAGAGAGAGCCAAAATTCGAGACTAACAAGGGACGAGACGGAATCTCGGCTCGCTAGCATGGTGTGGTGGGATGCCCTCAGGTTACTGGGGGTGATTGATGGGAGCGTGCATGAGTGCAACCATTCGGGAGGGGGGGTTCAAAACCGGCACACACGGCCATCCAACCAACTTGCAGCCTTCCAAGGAGGCTCTTTCTCTGGCCTCAACTCCACGAGGGCAAAACCGGCAGCGGTGGACACCGTCCGTATGTTGGGAGAATCGACAGATGTGTGTGTGTGTGTCTGCCGTCTTCATGTGTAGGTCCTGGTAGTTTGCCATTTGCCCTAGATGTGTCTGGACAATGGTGAGATTGCACGCGTTTGGGGATATCCGGGTCCCAAGGTTTTAGGCTAGGCTACAAATTGGTTGAAATTGGGCAGGATCAGCGCAGTTGGCTCCAAACCAGAGGAGTTGTAGCTGGCAAGTGCTTCCCTGGCGACGCCATGCATCGTTTGTTCCCGCAGGGCCTTTGCGACGAAAGCTTGGGCTGGTTCGCTCATTCGCGGGGGCGGCGGCGCGCGGAGGGGCCTGCGATGGCCGGTCAGTGGCATTGCGTAGGAAAGAAAGAAAGAAAAGCAGCCCTCCCAGCCTTCTTGGGCGTGGGTGTTACCGACAAGTCTGAAGGTGAGGGTGTCGCAGACGTGCGGCAGCCCCTGGTCCTGGCGGTCCGTCCGGGCCAATGGGCGAAGCGCCCGGCGGCAGAAGAGCTCCACCTCCGAACAACCTCTTACACAAGTGAGGCGCGCCGCGAGACAAGCTGTGTGGAAATCCCTAAAAAAATGTATTATGTCTGGGTTGTATAGTCCAGTCAAAATTATTTGATTTTTTCTTTTTTCCCCATTGACCGAAACGAAGCAGCGGCTTTTTGTCATCTCGTCTGTAACCACACTTGCTCCTGCGGCATGCCTCATTCGGTGTCACCCCAGCCACACACAATCTCACATCTTGTATACAGGGCCCCGATGGGTCGTTGGCTGAGATGAACCTGTTTCGGTCATGCTGTGCGTCCATACTTTGGCTCGGGCTGAGTCCTAATAGCGTATCCAAGTATCGTCGTTCAACCGTAGCTCTATGCATGTCTCGTCTCAGGTCTGCCTTGTGGACTCGAGTTAGTTATCTGGGGAATCTTCTTTTGGCACTTTAAACAATTTTAAATCATACTGGTAGGCGACCAAACGTCTTACAGAGTGCATATTTCTTACATCCGAGGCGCTTGTGTGCCGTGAACCCGTGCTGTACCAGGTGGCGTGTAAGAGGGCTCCCTCATTCGCACGAGGCAACAGTTTTCGGTTTCGGTGGTCATGTAAAAGATTTACAGATTTTCAGTTACAGTGTCAGACAGATTCAAATTGATTTCTGCAATATGAGTGCATTTCCAGTCGTCGGATGGTCCGGCATGGTGCCGTCGCGCGGCGCTTTTCCCAAAGTCGCCTTGCAGACGCTCATTGCCAAGTGCCAAGATACTGGGCAACATATCCCTCCGAAACAGCCTTCACCTAGAAAGAAGAGCCCCAAAGTTCTTCTTTGTCCTGATTGCGTATCTGCTCACCTACGTAGAGAGTTCCTCATGGGTGGCTGTGCGCCCATTACCTAGACGTGGACTGGACTCCTGGTTCGCTCGGTCCGATTTGGAATGGTTTCGTCTGATACCCAAGGTTCGATTCCCATGACGTGTATTTGTCATGGCCTGAGCACTATAGTGTAGCATGTCGATGACAATTGTTTTCCGGCGCGCCATTTTCCCATCGCTCGGTAGATGGGGTTGCATAAGCCGCCAGTACCTGTCACCAATGCTACATGAAGTTATAGGAAATGCGGATATTTCTTTAGCGCGCTGAGATTCAATAATGTAATATTCTCCTAGATAATGCCTATGATAGATCGATAAATCCACAAATATTATTACAATTCCACTTGAGCATCGTCGCTGGACACACGGTGCGCGTTGTACTCCTCTGCAATCTTGTCGAGCAAGGCCGCCATTCTATAGCCGGCCAGAGCAACCTGCTTCTCCAAGATGGGTGCAGCATCCTCGTAATACTGGCCACTCAGCTCCTGGCCTTGGATGGCCTTGGGACCCTGTGGAAGAACTATTTCGTGTCAGCGCGGGGTAGTTCTATGGTTTCAGAATAGTCGATGTGCGACTCACCATGGGAACAAACGAGAGCATTGGTCTCGCGCGACCACGCCAGTGCCGTGCCATTGATATCGGCCAGATCAATTCCCTTGACCCACGACTCACTCTCGTCCGCCCACTTGCCCTCGTGAATCTCGCTCGTGAGCTGCGCCGCCCAGCGCTTCGCCAGCGGGTACGGCTTGCCGCGTAGGCCACCCAGCCACTTTTCCACGATGGAGCTGTCCCAGACGTGGTGCAGGTTGAGGTCTCGACCGCCCCAGCGGACGTGGATCCCGTTGCCGCCGCGCGCCGCGTCCTCGTTGTGCAGTGGCTGGTGCAGGTCGCCGACAAAGTGCACGACAAACTTGGCGGCCTGCGCGCGGCGCCACGCGGGCAGCGTGTGGTCGTGCAGCTGCGCCGTGTAGTTGCTGAGCGAGGACACGACACAGCCGGTCGCTTTGCAGTCCCGGTCGAGGTCGACGTTGCAAGAGCGCGGCGGATCGTCGTGGGCGTCGATGAAGTGAAAGGTGCTGGTGAACTTGCCCCATTTCGTGTAGCGGATGGAGTCGGCCCAGCTGGCAACGGACGCGAGATAGTCGGCGTCGGTCCGCTGGAGGAGGGCCTGGAGGTAGACCTCGGTCGAGTTGGCGATCAAGTTGCCGGCAATGTAGGCCGTGGTGATGTGCCCAAGGCCTAGGCGAGCAGGTTAGTGGGTGAATGAGAGGAAGAGCGTCTGTCCTTTTTTTTTCAGCGCACGACACAAAAACATACTTCCCCATGCAGATACTGCAGGCACCGAGAGGAGAGCGTATGTAACGACAGCGTCGAGCCTCATGTTGACGGCGGTTACGTGGGTATGAGTAGAGAGGGTGGTAAGCGGCGGGTTCGCTAGAAAAGGCCCTGTCGCGTATCTAGGGAAAAAATATATCCAAAAACCTTGATGGGAGCAGGCTCTTAGCCGCCTGAATAGGCAGCAGACGTGTTTTGATGATGAGGCGGCGAGCTGGCCTTGAGACAAGTCGAGGGCTGAAGCCTAGAACGAATCACGGCCCAAAACAATGGCCCACGTGGAACAAAAGCGTGCTCACCAGCGAGGTCAGATGGCTGCACCATGCCAGAAAAAAAACGGATGCCTCTATAGCGAATTTATCGCTCTCTTAATTGTCAATTACTGTTGGGCAGAGATTTGCCTGATAATAACCGCTAGGCAGCGATTGGGTAACTACGAAGAGTTGGGCAAGTTGGGTGCAGGGATAGCTATGGACTGCTCATGATGGAGCTTCTCTTCAAAACATGTCAAATTTGTGCAAGTATTTCAAGACACAAACCAGTAGTCAAGAGTTGACTAGTCCCGTCAACCCGAGGTCTCTTGTCGCGGTAGGACTAGTGCTTCCACGCATGTTTTCTTCATTTAGGGCTCATGATGGATATTGCCCATGGAAATCAGCCTTGAAAGTAGCATAGATGAAATAAGACGAGAAGTATCATTACAACACGTTTATCGCTCCTTGACTTAGACTGTACCATTCGCGTGAGGCTGTTAGAGTCCATGGCAGAAAGCCTAGAGGGTCTCTTTCGCGAGAGGGTACAGTATTTTAAGAGCGAACGTCCAGGCTGCGCTGGCGGCTGAGACAGATCCGAGGTAAAGAAGCTGGTTGAGAAACTCGACGGGCTCCTACTAGCTCTTGTCACGGCGGGTGCGTCTTTAGGGCCGACATGGAAACGCATCCTGACAACCTCGCGCTTGTATCGTAGGTATGCGTGCATGCGCCAGGCCGGCTGGGCGAGGACGAGGCGATGCCGACGGGGCAGGCACTGGGCGGCTACGAGACGGAGAGTTGTGCCGGCGCACTTTGCGCAGGTAACGGCCGGCGCTCAACCTGACGGCGGACCTGGGCGACCCGCGGTTCCAGCAGCGGCGGGTGTGGCGAGGCGCGCGCACTATGACTTTTGTTGTTTCTCAGGTCCGACAATATCACATACAATGTTGTTTCGCGAGTGATGTGGTGCCAGCCTAATGTCTGAGAGCGGCGATGCCACCGAAGATGTGGCGTTGCCGCGTTGAAATCGGGTCGAGGCTGAGCAAGGAGATGTTCGCGCTCATGGAAAGGGGATGAAGCTTTCGTTCTGTGACTTGCTCGAACATGGTGAGAGGGCGAGAGCCGTTCAAGTAGAGCGCTATAATATTGCCGCTTATCAAAGCATCACGTTTCGGTGTCGCGTGGCACAAACACCAGCAAGACTCACAAAGTAGCAGGCAGACCACGAGAGCTGCAAGATGTGCTGATAAAAGCGTTCATCGAAAGCAGTCCATCGCCATCACAGTTGGCGGGCATCATTCGGGCATCATTACAACGCGCTCCTGATAACATGTCGCAGATGTGCAGCCGCAGCTGCAGCTGCAGGTTGCAGGATGCAGGATGCAAGATGACAGATGACCAAAGACATGCGCCAGTCACTCCCGTACTGTGGCCGAACAGGCGTGGTCAGTGGTCAGTGGGCAAGAAAACTGATTGTGGCGTTGCGTCGAGTCCAACCAAGCCTTATTAGCCATCCCACCCCACCCCCCCCCCCGAAGCCGGAAGGCCACGACCAACCAGCTGAATCATTTAGTACCCTATCGGCCAATGGGAGCGCCGCCTTTTCCAAATCTGCCCCCCAGCGATAAGAACTGGGGGACAAGTTCTGCATGACTGCAACGCCTGCCACCAAACCTGATCTCGTGAACCCCGACCAAATCTGACCGCCCAGTCTTCACTTCTTGCTTCCACAAGAATTGTAAACTTGCTAACTTAACTCGGGCTGGCTCTTGCTGATTGAACTTCCCACTTCATTCCCTCTTTTTATTTGCTTTGATTTTTTTTAGCTGGCATCGAAACTTGCAGGTTGCAGCGCAAATCCTCCTCCGCCAAAACACTTGTTTGACTTCGCAGGCCTCCAGCAATGGGTTTCCCTCTCGCGGCCTTGGCTGCCGTGATCGCGCCGCACGACAACGGCATGCCGCTGCTCGAGGCCATTTCGGGCATTTTTGGCAGCATCAGTATGGCCTCGTGGATCTGCCTCATGGTAAACTACAAACCTACTGACAATTCCTTTGTGCGCGGCGAACCCCGATAACTGACCAACAACACTAGCTTCCACAAATGGTGGCCAATTACAAGGCCAAGAGCGCCGATGGCATCAGCATGGCCTTTTTGGTTGTCTGGATGCTCGGTGACATTACCAATCTTTTGGGTGCGTTGACGCCTTCCTCCTGCAGTCCCCCCAAACCAACCAACAGCTTTGCTAACCCGTGCTACCCACAGGCGCATTCTTCACCCACCTCGCCCCGACCGCCATTGCCCTCGCCTGCTACTTTTGCGTCGCCGACTGCGTCCTCATCGCCCAGTGCGTCTACTATAACAGCCTCAACCGCCGCAAAGCCGCCGCCACCTACACCTACGCGACCGAGGACTCGCCGCTGCTCGGCCGCCGCCGCAGCGAGTCATCGCGCCGCCGCGCGAGCCACTCGTCCCAGGCCAAGGCGGACCTGGCCGACGAGGTCCTCGACACGAAGCCCTGGGTGCGGAACCTGGCCAGCTTGATCGCCGTTTATGTGATTGGCTCCCTCGGGTGGTTCATCTCGTACAAGGCCGGCGCGTGGAAGTCGGATCCTACGCCGCCCTCGGACCCTAATGAGGAGAGGACGACGCTCGAGTTGGTTGGCTTGGCTCTAGGCTACGCCAGTGCCTTTTTCTACCTTGCGTAAGAATTCTCAAGTAACCGAAGCATTTCAGCGTTACTAACAGTTTGCAGCGCGCGTGTACCTCAAATCATCAAAAACCATCGCGAAAAGTCGTGCGAGGGTACGCTTCCACCCCCTCCCCACCAGTCTGCTACAAGCTAACCGTCGCAGGTCTCGCTCTGCTCTTCTTCCTCCTCTCGCTCACCGGAAATGCCACCTACGGCGTCAGTCTGGTCACCTACTCGCAAGACAAGAAGTACCTGCTCAATGCCGTGCCCTGGCTGCTCGGTTCCGTCGGCACGATCTTCGAGGACTCCATCATCTTCGTCCAATTCCACATTTACGCCAACAGCGGGCGCTCCAACTCGTCTGTATAACGGGGTCGAGTTTGATTGCATGCTGCGATGAAACAAGGTTGATTTGCGAGGGGAGGTTGCATTTGACACTTCCATCGGTCTCTGCATGCATACGGCGTTATCTTTGGTCTGCCACAGGGCTTGTCCTGCCCAGGGTTGGCTATTTTGAACTTTTTCAACTGGTATATATGATGTATTAGGATTTATGACATTGCGGTGGCCTCGTACAGAGTGCCGTTGAATTTATGAATTAATTGACTCTTTTTCTTGTATTTCATCATGCTGCTCACCACGACGCGCCACTGATAAGGTAGCGGACCCCGAGATTCGCTGGCAGCGACGCTCCGATGGCGGGGCAGAAGTGGTTAATGGCGGGGCATCTGCATTGCTCATAAGCCATTGCCAAAATATTTTGCATAGGACATACACATCCATTTGCGCTCTTTTCCGTACATTGTGCGCCTAATTCTAGCAAGGCGACGCCATCTGCATCCTCTCTCCAGGTCAACACCGTCATAATGGTCTCGCAACTACCTCCCAAGAAGTGTGGTACGTCTTGTCCCTCGCCCCGATTCCGTCCGCAATTTCCTTCGCCCGGCTCAGCTCTCTGCCTCTCAGAGCCGCGTGATGGATAAAGAGAAGCCCCAGCTGCTGTAACTAACCACTGAAACGCAAAAGAGTAGGCGTCCTCGGCGCCACCGGCTCCGTCGGCCAGCGCTTCATCCTGCTCCTCGCCAAGCACCCCTCGCTCGTGCTGCACGCTATTGGCGCCTCGTCGCGCTCCGCCGGCAAGCCCTACAAGGACGCCGTCCGCTGGAAGCAGGCCACGCCCATGGGCAAGGTCGCCGACATGGTGGTGCGCGAGTGCACGGCGAGCGAGTTCGCCGACTGCGACGTTGTCTTTTCCGGCCTCGACTCTGACGTGGCCGGCGACATTGGTTTGTCCCGCCCTGAAGCGCCCCCCCTCCCGGGGCCGCCGCCAATTCCGTCTTGTCCCTATCAAGAAACCTTTCTAACAGCATCTAGAGATGCAGTTTCTCAAGGCCGAAATCCCCGTCTTCTCCAACGCCAAAAACTACCGCCGCGACCCGCTCGTGCCCCTCGTCGTGCCGACCGTCAACCTCCCCCATCTCGACCTCATCCCGCACCAGCGGGCCGTGCACAAGCTTACCAAGGGCTTCCTAGTGTGCAACTCCAACTGCGCCGTCATCGGTCTCGTCATCCCTTTCGCCGCGCTGCAGGCCGCCTTTGGCCCCATTGACGTCGTCAGCATTGTCACGCTGCAGGCCGTCTCCGGCGCCGGCTACCCGGGCGTCTCGTCCATGGACGTGCTCGACAACGTCGTGCCCTACATCCAGGGCGAGGAGGACAAGCTCGAGACGGAGGCGCGCAAGATTCTCGGCGGCCTCGATGCCGCCCGCACCGCGTTTGTCGAGCAGGACGGCCTGCGCGTCTCGGCCGCGTGCAACCGCGTACCCGTCCTCGACGGCCACACGGCGTGCGTCAGCCTCTCGTTTAAGAATCGGCCCGCGCCGTCGGCCGAGGCAGTCAAGAAGGCGCTGCGTGAATATACGTGCGAGGCGCAGGCCCTGGGCTGCCCGTCGGCGCCGGAACCCCCGATTATGGTGTTTGACGAGCCGGACCGCCCGCAGCCCCGTCTTGACCGAGATCTGGGTAATGGGTATACCGTCAGCGTCGGTCGCGTGCGCGAGGACGAGAGCGGCATCTTTGATCTCAAGTTTGTTGCTCTGAGCCACAACAGTAAGTGCCGCGATTGCAAATGTGGCGTGGAGCTGTGCTAACAGGTGAATAGCCGTCATTGGAGCTGCTGGCTCATCCATTCTAAATGCCGAGGCCGCCATCCTCAAGGGCTACATTTAGATGTTGTTGCACGGCTATCATGTTAAAGGATGTATACGCATGTAGAGAGTCTCTCAAAAGTCAATTGATTGTCCGCTGGTTGTGTTCATGTCCGAGTTAATACAAGCCTAACAAAGGGATCTTACGCTCGATCTGCAAATCACCATGCAGTATGCACTGCATCATCCTGTCTAAGTTTTTCCATCGTGTCTGCGCCTCTCCATTTTCTGGGTTGGCCGCGGCCAATCGTTTCAGCCAGGTAACTTCACGCGCCAGCGACTCCTCCTAGATCCGGGTGAGCTTGAGGAACTGCCTCTCAACGATGTACTTGACCCAGTGCGAGCAGCCGCCAAAGCTAGGTATATCGCAACAAGACACCATAATTTCCTTTCGGAAGCTTTCATTGATACCCCATTGTGTCATGTACTCGAGCAGGGTCGCGTCGCTGTAGTCGATGTCCTCTCCGTGGTCACACAGGCGAAGAGTCGTGCCGCTTTCTTCTTTAATCCCCTCCAAAATCATATCTAAAAAGTCTTGCTGTAGATAGCGGGCATGTTGCGCGGACTTGTCCGGCGAGGAGGGATCCCACGGTGCCGTGGCCTTTGAGGCGTTGAGCCATCGCAGCCAGAGCTCAGCGGCCTTGGCTGGCGTGAAATTCAGGGCCAATAGAGTAGCCCGTGATACCAACTGGTCGGGTAGTCTGAAAAGTTGAGTGGTATTGGTCTCCGTGCCATTGTCACCGGGCTGCTTTTTGTAGCATTCGCGTATGCCCTCCGCGTTGACCGGCCCAGCATTGCCGCGCAGTATCTGGGTTTGCAAATCGATAGGGCAGAGGAGGCTTCCGATGAAGTGAATTGCCATATTTTGCGGTACGCCGTCGACTGTATTTATAATTGCTACTTTCTGTGGGATATTTGTGTGATATTGATGCAACATTGTTGAAGCGGTATATTCTCGCGATAAATGTGGAAATAGTATATCAGTCGCTCCTGCCTATCTTATTCCCGTCAGACTTCACTTTGCTGGCGATTATTCGTCACATCCACCGCAGACACTATAGGTAGTAGGACTAAGGTAAATGTATTTCAGCAGTCTAAATGTCTATATGATGTTGGTCCCATGCATTGCTACAAACGCCACCTTTCGCTAATACCCAGTTGTCGGAAAATACCCCAACACATGACTCTGGAAGAATTCAACCGTTGGAAAGAAATAGGCAGTCTCTTTGTTTGCCATTCATTATAGCGGTGTATCGCCATCATTTAGTTGCCTCTCCCGTCTTTTCATTGACAGGCATCGTACCTTCTTCAGCTTGAGTAAGTGCCTGCATAGGGGACAGTTCGTGCGCTTCGAGTGCCTTATGAGACCAAATATCGGGATAAAACCAGGTTAGAATCGAGAAGACGCACTTCCGTATCGCGTCCAGCACCAGGAACAGCATTGCCCAGACGACGCAAAACATCAACACCGACTCCCAGTTCAACCAGGACGGGACTGCAAACACGGCTCTCATGTTTGTAGGTAGTGCAGCTGTAGCCCAGCGAGTATAATCTCTTGTGTCCATGTTTTGCTTCTTTTCTGCCCTGGTAGTGATTTCCGCAGGCTGCTCCGTGTGTTGTGATAATGTTGGGTGAAACCCCAGAGCCGGGGTCAGGAATATTGATAAGCGAGGTAATAAAGGGCCAGACTCGAAATTAGGTCAACGCGAGTGAAGGAGAGTCTTTTCAGTCGCGCTACCTTTCGATACCTTCAAGAAGGAGCCGAGGTGACAATGCACTTGGTTGGATGGCAGTGGAGTGGTAGTGATAGTACAGATATACTAAGTAATAGTGGGCGTTGGAGAGGCTTACAACCAAGAGCCATGGGACCGGAATGAGGCAGACCGCGACACGAGTTGTGCATCAACGAAGGAATATCAGAAACTTATATACCTGCCGCAAGAGGCGACGGCTAGCGGAGCCGAGCCTATTGATTGATTTTCTTATTTTTCTGATGGGGGGCTACGACATTGACACGTCCGTCTGATGATTTTACTGCCCATGTAACGCAGTTCATGCAACGCAAAGCAGTGCTCGCTCGCCCGAGTCTTGAGCATGACTCGGAAAACGTGAGGGAAAAGTACCTACTTGCATTTTCAAAATTATGCCCCGTCGTTTATTACCTACCAGTTGAGGGTTCGCCAACAGCGCATATCTAACATTGGGTTAGTGGGTGCCCCTAGCTCTCCACTATGTCTTTTTGGCTGGAGGGCTGAATCGCTAATTTATGTCGCCCTGAGTCAGCATCACGGCGCATCACATTCACCACCATCAAAACAGAGTCCTTCCAAGCGATTTATACAGCGCGCCGCGACATCTTTTATCCATACTTGCCAACTGCGCTACGTCTGCGTCTGCGAGCCACCGTACACGCCGTGAACCGCCCACCTCTCCCCCTCCTCCCGCCTTGAACCCCTGGGAAGACCAGTCCGTCAAGCAGCACCGGGCGCTAAACTCCGTCTATGCCATCACGAACCCGATACTCGAGTTCCAGCCGAGGGTGAACTGCCCGACGGGCTCCCGGCGATTATGCCGTCGCCCACAGACGACGAGATTCCCTTTCCGCCGCTACGCGGCATCCACCACCGCTCCCACCTCTCGCCCAGCGACGCATGCGTCTCGCCCCCGCGCCAGTATGATGGCGGTGGCGGCAGCGGCGGCGACGGCGCGGCCGACTCTGCGATGCGCATGCGGCGTCTCCACGGCTCGCGCAGCGGCAGTCGCCGGCGGAAGCGGACGTGGAAGAAGCTCATGTGGGTGAAGCAATCCTGTACGTCTAGAACCCCCCCGCGCGCGGAAACCTACGAGAAACTTGTACATGTGCCCCTTTTTACTGACGAAAAAAACCCCTTGCCTGCGCAGACCCTGACAACTACACCGACCAGGCCACGTTTCTCGAAAACCTCCAGCGGAACCCGCGCCTCAAGCCGTACGACTTTTGGCCGCTCGTCGCCGACTCGACCGTCATCCTGCAGCACGTGTGCTCCGTCATCATCTTCATCGTCAGCTTCGTCGCCATCTTCCACTCGCGCGTGTCGCCCGTGTCCGTCGTCAGCTGGAGCTCCGTCGGCACATTTCTCGGCTGGATCCTGTGGGAGCGCTGGGTCGCCGAGGAAGAGGACCTCGAGGAGCAGCAGCTGCTGCTGAGCCCGCCGCCGACGGCCACCACCGCCTCGACGACGACAACGACGACAACGGCCACCACTGGTGTCGCGCCGGTGGCTCCCGCGGTGGCGCCGGCCACACGGCGCCGGACGCGCGCCGGCAGCTTGCGTAGGCCCGTGCTGCCCATCCCGCCTCCGTCCACGGCCGGCTCTTCGGCCGCGAGCTCCACGACGAACCTCGCGCTGGGTGCCGCGGCGCCCAGCAGGATCAGCCGCGCGGCATCGGCCGTAGACGTCACCGGCAACGACCAGCTCGGACTGCCGAAGCGCCCGCCGCGCAACTCCGGCTCCGTCCCTGAGATCCGCATCGAGTACCCGGCCAACCTGCCCGGCGAGGAGAGCCGCATCATGCAACGGCTGAGCACCATCAAGTCGGCCATGCTCATCTACTCGACGCTCCTCGGTCTCAGCCCGATCCTCAAGTCCCTCACCCGGTCGACATCCAGCGACAGCATCTGGGCCATGTCCTTTTGGCTGCTCGCTATCAACATCTTCTTCTTTGACTACTCGGGCGGCGTCGTCGGCGCCCAGTTCCCGGCCTCCCTCTCCACCAACGCCGCGCTCATGGCCTCGACCGTGCTCGCCAGCCGCCTGCCCGACACGACCCAGGTCTTCTCGCTCACCCTCTTCAGCATCCAAGTATTTGGCCTGTTTCCCGTCTTTCGCCGGCACGTGCGCCACCGCGACTGGAAGTACCACGTCGTGCTGAGCGTGCTGCTCGTGCTCGGCGCAGGGCTCGGTGTCGGCATGGTGCTCGGGGACGTCGATGGCGGCGGCGCCTGGCCCTGGAAGAGGGGCGTCATCGGCATGGTCGTGAGCGTGCTGATGGCGGCGCTGGCGGCGGGCGGGTGCAGCTGGTGGCTGATTGGGCTGCAAAAGTACAAGAATGAGATTCGAGGCCCATGGGACCCGGCCAGACCCATCATCATGAGCAGGCCTCGATGGGACTGACCATGCGGTCTGTATCGCTATATGCATCATGTAATCATCACGCAATGACCACTGAAACGATAATATATAATAGCTATTCATCATTCATCCACGCTACGTCTACTGCATACCAGTGGCTTTTTCTATGTTCCTACATGTCTTCAATGTTCAACACCCACGTCTTCTCGTCCGCTGGTTACTCAGTCGCCACGGGAAGCCTTCCGCCGCGCAGCCGGACGGGCAGCGTGCGGCCGTGGACGCCGTAGACCTCTTTCCGGGCTGCGCTTTTGGTGCGCAAGGGGACGGTAATCGCGGGTGGCCGCTGCGGGGTTAGTAGCAGCACCTGGGAGCTTACACACTTATTCCGGGCCCGCACCGGCTCCGTGTCGCGCCGGCGGGCGTGCATTCTTTGCGGTAGTTGGCCGTGGGTGCCAGGCTCGGCGCGGAAGCGCACGCGCGCGTACTGCCCTTGCCCCGGCAGGCATCGCCCAACGCGGAGGTACTGATCTTCGCAGTCTCCCGCCGGTAAGGAACGTCTCCGAGGGCCCCACGGGTAGCCATGGGCATCTCAACTGCGAGGACTACAGTTTGTCGTGCGGTACGGCAGCACAAGGCGGGCAAACGACGACGCCGGCGCAGCCCGCCAGGAAACCCGGCAAGGGCTCTTCAACGCTTCCTCGGTGGAACTGTCACCCTTGTCCCACGCAAAGAGCGACGGGTCGTCGGAAATCTTCATCATCTCCCTCCTGGAGGCGGCGAAAAGCGCGCATGCCGCCGTCGCCGCACAGCAGGGGCATGTCGACCCCAAAGAGGCTGAGCGGGCTGCACACGCCTCGCCGCGGAGCACGGCCTCGTCGATGCGTAACACGGGCAATGCGCGCGACCGCCGGTCACTGCCAGGCGGCGTTGTCAAAGACGACGTACGCGGGGGCAACCAGCTTCTGCCGAGACTGAGACCACGTTGAATGGGAAAGCGTAGCAGTACCAAGCATACATGCACTGCAACGTGTCTAGAATTACCGTTTACACGGATTTAAGATATATTTGTACGTAACTATATTTATTTGATGGTACCGGTTGTACCTACATGCCTTTTTTGGTGACCCTTGACTTCAGCTGCTGCTTTTTTCATTCAGCCACCGAGCTACCCTTCAGCCGCAAACGATGGCGATCCTCTCTCAGCCTGAAGTTGAGTGACTCGACGTTGCACAGCCAAGATGAAGGTATCGCGAGAGTTTCGGAGGCACACATATGCTATCTGCAAGTAGCATTTAACAGTTCGAGGTACAGCTCGATTTGCTCCGTACAGGAGTGGTCATGTACTTCGTGCAGCGATATTGAGATGCCCAAAGCAAATTGGCAATCTCGATTCGTGGGCGGAGCCATTCAATGTCTCAGCTCCCGCAAAGATCGGCGCAACCGGCCCGGTCACTTGATTCTGCGCGCAATAATGCTTGGTAACCTGGACGAAAGACTTCATTGCAGGAGTTGGCAAGGGGCGAACAATTCAACCAAGAACAGGCAGATCAAGTCTATGTAGCTAGCTCCTAGTTTCACGTTTGTCGATCATGACCAGTGGTGGATCAATAAAAGTGCAACACACACACGTTCGTGTTATGATTTATTGTAGTGGCTGCGGCAAGAAAGACAAAATTCAGATTTCAGGTACCTTATATCTAGGTAGGTGTCTGGATTTTCATAGCGTAAAAGGAGTGAGTGGCCTTGTAGTGTAGAATTTGGTTGTGCTCTCGGGGTCTAGGAGCTGCCAGTGGGCGGCTATGTGCAGTCAGGCGGTTGCCCTTGTTGTAGGCCGTATCATGAAATGGTCCTCGTATTTCAGGGCAGGTGTTACACGCCACTGTTTCAGACAATACTTGTCATATTCGTAATAATAGACCAGGTATCTGTACTATGGGTCACAGTGGTAAAGCCGACAAAGTTGGGCATGCTATGCGTAGGTAGACATCGACCGAGATGAGCTGGCCGCGACTACAAATCAGTTATTACCGAAGTATAAAGATGGGGATGAAATACGAGGTGCATTATATTGACGATATTGTGATATCACTTGGACGTGTGAGTAGTAGAAAATGGAAGCGGTAGAGAGACGGAGAGTGTAAGACCTAGAGTAATACCAATTACAAGTTGTCGCTCTGTGCCAGTATGATAGAACGTACACCCTCGATTGGGACTACAATAGTTGCACTTGCACGACAAGAACATGCTCTTGGCCTTTTCCATTCCCGGGGAGACAGCTGGGGGCAGTCCAAGGGAACTCCGTGGCTGGCCAACGCAAAACCTGCATGCAGTCGCTGAGCCACAAAGTAGGCAGCTGGTGATGCTATGATTTCATTGGCCACGGCCTGAAGAGGAGGGATGTTTGCAGGGCGCATTGATCTACGGTACGCTAGCGGACGCTATCGTGGTTGTGGTGTGGTTGCTGTGTGCGCAGAAACAGGGCGATGGCGTGTTGGGACGAGACGAAGGATTTTGCGAAGGCGGTTGCGGCGAAAAAATGGACGTGGCAATGGAACGTTGCCCGGGGGGAATGCAAGGAATCTGTCTTGAAGATGCTAGTTGATCTCTTGGCAAGGTCACCGGCGATGGCGAGAATGGACAGCCGAGATGCAGATTTTTGGGCGAAGTGCCGGGCAAGAACCAGGTAGTTACTTGTTTGCATGGACAAATTTTCAGGCGCCCATCGTAATCGACAGAGGCTAAGCAGAGGGTGTAGGTAGCCGGAGAGGGGGTGAGGAAGGGAGGGGAACGGATATTAATAGAATACAGCTGCAGGCACACTGAGCGGCCCGGCAGTTTGTCCGGGTGGGGGGGTACAACAACTCCTTGCATCAAAGAACTTTACAAGAGGAACCACGTTTGTCAAGGCTTTGATGGCGAGCGCCAAACGACCGATCTCGGGCGCAAAGTCAATTCCATTCACCAGTAGGAATGGCCGGCAAGACGGATCTTGAAGGAAGGCCCTGCCCTGGTCGATGTGTAGGGTTGCATTTAGGTGCGGCGCGTCCTTTCGCCTCGTACCTGCAAATGGTTTCATTGGGTCTAGAATCGGGGGCCAACTCCACTGTCGTCGTGTCGCAGGGCAACGAGGGGGCCTGTTACAGCGGGCTACATTTTATTGACAGTTGGGCGCTAAAAACATCACGAGTTGATTTCATTTTGTTTCTGCACTCATTGCATCTTGTCTAAACTTTCCATCTTCTTCTTCATCGTTGGTCTAGTAAACGGTGACCGGCACTCCCAAGTAACTGTACTTGTAGATGGCGTTGAATAGGTAATGGAGTTAGCTATCTGGTACGGAGTAGAATTCGAACAGGAACAAACAAGCTCTTTCATGCTAGGGAAGCTTCTAAGTGGGGGCCAAGCTTCCCCGACACATGCCAGAGGGGGTACGTATGGCCACCCCCACCGGGTCCTCGCCACGCAAAAAAGTCAGGCATCCGTCTGACATTGGTTGGTTTTAAGCATGAAACTATCCAGATTCGGATGTTTTTCTACAAGTCTTTATGGGCATGAATGATCAATCCGACATGCAAACGTGAAATAATGCCCTGCGCACTACCCGTGACTTGTTTGCAATCGGATTGCCGCTGCGGCTCTGCTTTCACCCCACAGGTAACCACTGCACCACGTCTTCCCCCAGTTTTTCTTTCAGCAGGCCCCCTTCTTCCTCACCCACAACTTGTCACAACTGGGGTCGGATCGTCGCAGTCAAAATCGCCGAGGAACCCCAAGGTGGGCGTGCTGGTGTTGCACTGCGGTTTGGGCAAACAAAAGGGACAAAAGAAGCCACCACAATGCCGATTTGCAACAAGTGAGAAGCCGCGTACGCTTCAATGACCGAGGACAATGATTGGTTTTTCTTTGTTAGCGTTGACCTCGCTCGCTTCAGAAACCTAGTAGCAGTTGGCCGGCCACTTGCAACCAGTTGTTCAGCCACGTCTGTTGGAACTAGACTAGATGCGTGGCTTGCTGTGTCGGCGGCGTCACTACGGGGAAGCTTTCAGCGTGGTTGCTTCTGAAAAAAGAACACCGGAAAAGTCAATCTTTCCTGGCTTTGGGTCCAGACCAAGTCTTTTGGTGCGCCAATTCCTACGTCAACTACCTACGGAGTGCTACTTTTTCCGATCTTGCTGTAATACGTTAGTGACGAACCGTCGACGTCGTTCCAGCCTTTGTTGAAGTACGGATTTGTAGTCTTCTCCGTCTCCTTACCTAACTAATTTTGGCCTGGATTGTGAGGCACAGTCGGCAGGCCCGCGCCACAGGCCCGTACCTGGCCGAACGTCGCGGTCTAGGTCTAGGCTGGTCGAGGTATTCTGTACCAGCGGCAGCGTTTCCGCCAGCTTCATCAAGCTCTCTTGGTTTCAGCGACCGTACCCCAATCGATCTCTCGTTCATTCATCTGTGGATGGCCCAACAGCTCATGACAGACTCACACATCACGGCAACACGGCACCATTCTGCCGCCCGTCTTCTCCTGCTTCATCGTCCCTGGGCAGCCCACTGTCAAAGACACTGGGAAGCCTGCTTTGCGGTACTCGGTACCCACAGCAAGCCTCCCTCTCCACATGCTCCACACCCACCTGGGCCGCCACCCTTGAAAGCAGCCAAGCAAGCTCCACGTCTGCTCGGTTCTGGTAATCCTCCCGCCGCCTACGACCGACCTACTGTGTACATAGTAGCTACCTTAGTACCAACCTAGGTAGGTAGGTAGTTCCAGCCGCTGGCAGCTCCGAGCAAAAACAAAAAAAAATAGACTCTCCCTCCCCGTCCGAGCTTCTTTCTCCTGCTCCGCCCTCTCCTCGAGCTTTAAAAGGCCCTGCTCGCCTCCTTTCCCTCGTCCCCCCGCTACTCTCCTCCTTCAACTACACCAAATCTCTACATCTTTCCTGTCCTCGCTGCATCTTCAATTCTCTCCTCCAACCTACACAACCCAATCAGTCAAGATGAAGGCCGCTATTATCCTCGCCGCCGCTGGCCTCGTTGCCGCTCAGCTTCCCGATCTCTCTCAGGTCCCCCAGTGCGCTGTATGTGCTACCCCCTCGTGATCAATGATCCCCCGACAGCTTCGACTGACCCATTGCGCTACACAGCTTACCTGCCTGATCCCCGCCGTGACTAGCACCGGCTGCGCTCTCACCGACATCCAGTGCGCCTGCGGCAAGAAGGAACAGCTCCTGGCCTCGGTCACCCCCTGTGTTGACAAGGGCTGCGACGCTGCCGACAAGGCCAAGGCCCTCGCTGCCGCCGAGGCCCTCTGCGGCGGCAGTATCACCGGCGGCTCCTCCACCTCCGGCTCTGCCTCCTCTACCGGTTCTGCTTCCACCGGCTCTGCCTCCACCGGCTCTGCTTCCACCGGTTCCTCGGCCTCGTCGTCGGCCGCCACCACCGGCAGTGCCAGCACCACCGGCGGTGTCATCCCCCCCGTCACCTCATCTGCCGCCTCCTCTAGCAACGGCACCGCCACCAGCCACACCACCTCCCACAGCAGCACTCGCACTGGTAGCGCCACCACCTCGGGCACCCAGTCCTCCACCTCTGCCCCTGGCACCAACGACGCTGCTGGCCCTGTCGCTGGCGTCATCGCTGCTATTGCTGCTGCCGTCTTTGCTCTGTAAGCGCGCTCTCCATGGCACTGCCTACAGATGTTTTTATAGATGTGTAACTGGAAACTGTGGACTCCCTTTACTTTAATACGTGGATCGAATCGGGGAGTCGCAGCTGTACGTGGACATTGACGGATGGATACGAAATTGGCCTCGGGGTCTATGTGTAAAAGTTGGCCTTATGCCGCAACGTTAATTAATGCAACCAAATCAAACAACCAAATATGCAACGCTTGCCCAGTGATTCCTAACTTGCAACTAGCCCCAGATGTAATGTCATTGTCTAGGCGTGGTACAGATAAGCTACATGCAAGCGTAGTCTTGGCGTGCTGTAGCCCCGATCCGCCATCGGTAGCATCAAGTGGCTGTCGAGATGAGATGAGAGCACATATGTACTGTTTTTTGCAGTGCTCAGAGAAAGACGCTACGTGAAATAAGGCTATCGAAATATGCTAACAGCTGATAAAATCAACTGCTCGACGGCGGCACCTCGTCTAACAACATGTCCACAATGAACGGCAACTGCGACGGCTCCTGCCGGTACCCTTCAATCGCCGCATTCACAAACAGCGTGTGCTCGCCTCCGACCCGGCCGTCCTCATCCGCTGCGCCAGTCTCCTTCTCCCAGTCAATCGACACGCCCATCTTGGCGCTCCAGTCCATCAGCTGCTCCACCTGCGCCGGCGTCGCCGGCGGGTGCAGATGCGTCATGGGCTTGATGTCCGCCAGCGCGACGATGCTCCTGGACCGGGCCGCGTCAATGGCCTGCTCCGCCGTGGCAGGCCCTGGGGCATGATCCCCCGTCTTCCACCGGGCGAGGTACGCGCCCCACGCTTCGTGAATGTGGCCGAAGCAGTGCACGCGCGGCCGGGCGCGCGCCACGGCGGCAAACAGGTCCGGGCAGCCGGCGGGCGTTGGCTGCATGTTGAACTGCGGCAGCGCGAAGCCGGCGAGGTCGAGCACGTCGCGGGGTGGGCCGTGCGTCATGGCAATGTCTATTCCGGCGGGTATGTCAAAGGCGTGCCCGTCCTCGGGGCGGTACTGGAAGCCCCAGACGCCGTACTCGGGCGTCCAGGGGCTCGCGTAGAGGCGCAGCACGGCGCCGTTGGCGAGCGGGAACGTGTGCGCGCCCTCGCTGTGGCCGCCGATGTACACGATGCCATCGTCCTCCTCGGCCGCTCGCAGGAGCTCCAATGCTTCGGTGTGGTACTCGGGGTCGTTGTAGCCGCCGGCGTCGTCGTGCCAAAACGCGGCGTCGAGCAGACGGTCGTGATTGCCGGGGATGATGATTTTGAGCGGCGCCCGGAGGCCCCGCAGCATGTTGAGGGTGCGGGACAGCTCAGGGGGCGTGCTGCGCGTGGTGAGGTCGCCGCAGTGGAGGACGACGTCGGCGGCGGGCAGAGGCAGCCGGTAGCCCGTCACGGCGACGGCGAAGTCGCTGGTGGGGGAGAGGTCGGCGGATGCGCGCGAGGAGGCGGGGGTGTGTCCGTGGGTGTCGGATATGATGAGGATGCGCGTCTTGATGCGTGCCATGATGGCGGCGGGAGCAAAACGGTGTGGTTGGGAGAGGCGGGAGGTGGGAGATATTTGGGGATGTGAGGGATGTGAATGACGAGTGTGAGATGTGAGATGAGGACTGCTGCCTGGGCGGGTGGGTAGGTACCTATAGGATTGGGTGGTGTATGTAAGTGAAGTTGCCCGGTCGACAATAAAGGAAGGTGACGGCTGAAATTGATACATTTGTGCTGAGTCTTTACTGTTTTTTTTAGAGTAGATCACTTTCATCTTTATTTGTTTTCCCCTTTTCTGAAGATTACTCGTCTCTGTGGCGCTGTATGGCCATGTACGGCGATATGTTCAGCACAACAGCTGGCGAACGGTACTGGTAGTTCACAGCTACATACAAGGAGGCTGTGGATGATTCACATGACCTGTATGTCCAATTCAGTTCAATCCTATCCGCGAGAGGCAGAAAAACAAAGCAAAGCGTTGACCATGGATAATAATGGCAAATTCTTAAGCGTACAAACCACTCCTCATAAGTATAAGCAACGCAGCATGATTTACATAGATTGTGTACACTTTACTAACAACAAGCTACGGTATTATTATTTCACCTCTGAATCTGTACTTGTTCGAAATGCTTTCAGCTTCAAAGGGCGTACGTAGTTCTAGCGCCGGTGCACTTCGAATTCAACATCACACGGCGGGGCCTTTCTAGCGTCGAGACGCTGCGCTCTGCCTCGTCAAACCAAAACCTCCCACCAACACGCGCAACGAGCCGCCGCATTCGCGCGTCGACCTCTGCCCCGCCCTTCGAATCGAGCATGGCGACCGAGTCCAACGGCATGCACATGACGTCGTCGTCGTCGCCGCCGCCCGCGCCCGACGACGAGCCGCGCTACGGCGGCTACTCGCGATTCGAGATTGAGCTCGAGGTACCGCCGCCCTCCTCCCCTCCTCCCTTGTACCCTGCGCAAGGAAAAGGCTGACATGCTTTAATCCGCAGTTCGTCCAGTCACTCGCGAACCCGTTCTACCTCAACCACCTCGCGGCGCAGAAGCTCCTGACACAACCGGCGTTTGTCGCGTACCTGGCGTACTTGCAGTACTGGAACCGCCCGCCGTACCTCAAGTACCTGACGTATCCGGGGCCGACGCTGCGCCATCTGGAGCTGCTCCAGCAGGAGCGCTTCCGGCAGGACATCATGAGCCCGGACCTGGTGCAGCGACTGGTCGAGGAAGGCATGCGCAGCGCGGTGCAGTGGCACCGGGAGGGAGCCTAATGGGGGAGCTGTCCGGGAACAAAAGTACGAGGATGGCAACTATGCCGTTGTTTAATGATAATTGTATAACATATTTGAAGAATCTTGTATAAAAGGCAATAGGAAGAAAAGAGCTTGAATGTTGCGCAAATTGTATGCGAATGTTGCTATATAACGCCAATCAATGCATCCCAATCCCCAACAAATACCAGTACCAAATCCAGGGTGAAAAAAAAAAACGCTCTTTCCAGGTCGCTCCGCCCGCGTCCGTCTCTAGTTCTCTCTCCACCGATGCCCGCAAACCATGCACTTGTAGAAGCTCGTCATGGGCTCGTCGGCACTGCGAATCTGGACCTGGTAAAAGGCGGCCTCGTGGCCGTCGCAGGCCTCGGTCGGACACTGGACGCGCGCCTTTTGGGCATTGTCCCAGGCGCCGGGCCCGCCAAAGACGTCCTCCTTTTCCTTGCGCTCGTAGACGCGCCGCGAGAAGACGGGCTCGGTGATGGTGTGCTCAAACGGGCACGTGCGACACTCGAGGCGATTCGTGCCCTGGTTCGTGCGGGAGACGGTGAGGATGTTGGCGCAGTGAGGGCAGACTTGGCGGGAAAGAGGTGTTAGACGGGCGCAAATATTGGGAGGAGGCCTTTCTGGAGAATGTGCGAAGGGGGGAAGGGAGTTTCTTACAGAGAAGCATGACTGCGACGTGTGCGGTGGCGGCAACGACGTTCGCGCTGCTGCGGATTGTGGTTCGGTACGGGGGAAGAAGGCGAGATAATAGGATATGGGATCGTCGAATCTGTAGAAGAATTGACCGCACCGCAGTGCTGTATTCGCAGCGTATTCGGTTCGTGGGTGCGTTTGCGCAAGGCTGGCGGCGAGAGAAGTTGCGTCTTGAAATTTCAAGATGCTGGTGGGGTGGTTGGCGACGATTCGGAATGCGCCCCACTCACGCAATGGCGGGCACACGTACGAATTACATACAGCTAGGTAGGTAGTTTGCGCAACAGGCAAGCAATCGATTGTGAAGACAAGGTCGATCTTCAAAAATAATATTAATGTATTTGAAATGATACCGCATTTGTACGAACAAGGTAAATATGTCGAGATTCCATTTCGTAGGTCGCTCATGTCATGTTCAGCACCTGTTGGCTGGCCTTGCCGGCAAGCTTACAACATTTCAGCGACAACGGAAGCTTAGAAAGGACAGTGTATAATAATAGGTAACTAGTGAATTAAAGACAAGCATAAATATGCCCTGACATTAGGTGCAGAAAGAGTTTACATAAAATGTCAGGCCCTCGCCGTTTTACGCGACGTCATTCTAGTTTCAGGTCACAGTCCTGACCGGTGGTCGCTCATTCGCCACACTTGGAGGAGCTCTACAGCTCACTGATCCCTGCCGATGAGTCGACGCGGATCGACATTTCTCTGATCTGGAATTCGTACTGAATAGAGCCGCTCCCTTGTTTTAATAACCTTTGCAGGCGCGCCAACTTTCAGGCGGCCCATCTAACGGTACGACAACCACCGGCACGCCCCGCTGCCTGCGCCACAGAACGAGGGGCAGGCAGCCCATGGCGGACATCGACTTACCTAGCGTCAAACGTCACCGCAACAACAAAACGCACAGCCCAGCTTGATTAACCGCCCTGCCTTTGCCCATCTGCCCGGGTCGCTGGCCGGCTTCACATTGGCCGAGTGTTTACTACAAATTCGAGCACAGCAGGACCCCTACACCAAAACGCAAATCCGTTTTTTTTTTCTCCCAGAGAGAAAAAGGGTCTGACGAGTAACCCTCACCTGCGATGGCAAACGACGAGCACGAGGTGAGCTGTTTGCGACCACCTATCGCGGAAAGGCTGGGCCGATCTTGGAATCGCGTGACTAATATTCTTTCTTCACGGACAGGGCGCTTCGCCTCAGGAGCTCCTCATCGAGGCCTGCCGGCGCAACAACACCGATCTCCTGACCGACGTCCTTGCCGGCCGCCCCGACGCCGAAATCACCGCCCTCCTCAACCAGACGACGACCGTCATGGGCAACCACCTATACCACGAAGCCGCCTCCCACGGCCACTGTGCGCCCTTCCCTCCCCCCCCCCCAATCTCCCGCCACCCTCGCCGGCTTGCTAACCAAGACCACGAACAGACGAAATCATTGACCTCCTCCTCGACCAGCCCGATTTTGAATGCGACCCCGTCAACCGCATGGAAGGCGACACCCCGCTGCACGTCGCCGTCCGCTGGCTCAACGCCGAACCGCCCGCGCAGCGTACCTTTGGCGCCGCGCTTGTCGGCATGATGCTCGAGGCGGGCGCGAACCCGCGCCTGCGCAACAAGGGCGGGCTGACCCCCGGACAGCTCGTCGATCCGAGGAACGCGGAGCTGCGGGCGCTGATGGAGAGACATCAGTATGCGTCGCAGAATGCGGGGGATTTTGTGCAGCTTGATGCAAAGGGCTCAGGACCGGCGGGTGCGATGCCGCCGCCGCCGCCGCCGCCGCCAGGGCAGGCACCGCCGTTACCGGGACAAGCACCGCCGGGGCTGCCAGTGGGGGACGACATGGATGAGGATGCAGAGTTTAGTGGGAGTGACGATGAGGAGCGTGCAGAGTGGGAGAGGAGAAAACGGGAGCGTTCCCGTCGGTAGCAAAGCGAAGAGAAGAGAAAAGTACAAGGATTGGGTATGTAAATACAAAGCAGGCCATGGGCAAGAAACACATGGACACGAATCATGATTCAACCTTTACATTTAATAGCGTGTAGATGAGGTCATATACATTATCCTGCACATTGATACTCTGCACATTCATAGTCAAGCATACAGTTAGGTATTTATGCTATAGACCTAGGTCATAACCAAGACAAGCCCCGTGGCAGCCAGAAGAAGCACCAGTGGGTAGTACACTCTCTTACCGGCGGATTCTTCGTTTATGGATTGCTTGCGAGAGTTCACAAATGAAACGTTACCCAGCCTTCTCATTGACAGCTCTGACAGCTTACCGCCGCTCGCGAGCTCGTACATCTGTGCCGCCAGCTGGTTTAGAATATCAGTCGATCGTCCAGCTGGACACCAGACAATCCTCCAACCACCACCCTTTGGCACGATAAACGTTGAACTGCGATCATCAAAAGCAAAGCTGTACGCGTCAGGGCACACAGCCTTGACATTTTTGCTGTATATGGACGGCTTGCAAAGAGTTGGGTCGTGGTACTTGCCAATGCAACAGTCACTGTCACTCCCTGTCGTGGCGCAAGCACTCTTGCATGGCGAAAATGAGGGCCTCTGAATGTTGTCGTCTGGGTAGGGGTAGATGCCGTCGCTGGGCTTTTGCGGTGGAAAGGCCAAGTTGCGCCAGGGACACCACTTGGACAGCATATCGTTTGTCTCGTTCTTCTCCAAGGGTATAGGAAAGGTTTCGTTGGAGGAATAGGTGGCTGGTTGTGCTACATCATACAACCAACCCGCTGTTGCGACACACGCCGAGTTGGTCAGGTTCGGTGGAACGAAAGATGTGTTCTCAGACGGAATATGCTCGATGCCGACGGGAAGATTGTAGCCGTCAACCAGTGAAATATCATAAAACGTCTGCATTCCATTCACGCCACCTGCAAGGTTAAACTCTACAAGAGTTGCTGGAACAGCGCTCTGCCCTTGTTAACGTGGTTCGAGGCACTGACTATGGGTGATTCGACTTACACTGAACTGGCAGTCAAGCTTGGCAAAACAGTCTCCCGTCTGACAAGCGCAAGATTCACCATTGACGGTGCAGTTGGTGCGTCCCCAAATTCTTCCCTGCCAGTTGGAGCCCACGGCCAAGTTCTTGCTTTCGCCTGGCTGTAGCTCGAAGCCGCCCGTACCTGGCCCCAGTCCGCCTTGTGTGGCCGTTCCAGGCCATATCGTCATGTCACATCTGTTGGTAATGACCAATGGAACCTTGTCGTCGCCGGCTCCAAGTGAGCCTCGTTTGACAGTATCGCGTGGCGAAGTTTGCTCAATAAATACAGCCTGCCAGTTTTCAAGGAAAGAGTGGTTTGTGCTGGCGCTGATGCACTGAAGAAGAGATAGTATGATTCCAAATCCAAGGAGAAGGCGGTTCGGCGTGCTTGCAAAACAATCACGCCGGCGAGAGATGCCAGTCATGTCTGGCCGCTGGCGAGGCAAAAGCGCTCCTAGCATGGCTTCAACCGTGGCGAGTTTGTCTCCATCACTTGCGCATATCGAGGGGTTACTGGAGTAGCCTGCTTTGGCGCTGCGCGATATCCTTGTGATGTGTATGGGCGACACTGTGCCTTGCGGACGGCTTTCAGTTCTAGTAGACGTCCAAAGGAGTAGCAGGTGTAGCTGTAGCTGAGGCCAGTCTTTCTGCTCAGGGCTGCAGTTCGTGATAAGGATGTATCTAGTAGTAATTGTAAGACTAATCAAAAGAACGAGGTATCAGAGCGCGCTGTGGATGATGGATAATTTTCGCAACGAGGAGAAACGCAGGTCGTGATTCGATGGATTCAAATGCGGCGAGGTTGAATAGGAATAGGTTGATGGCATCAGGCATAAAATCAGTATCAAACACCAAATGGTACTGTAGCTGCCGGAAAGGCAGGATCGGAGCGTGGCATAGACCATCTCGGTTGCCCACTATGTGGAAGGAAGCGAGGATAGCCGCTACCATTGACAGAGTCGGCCCATCCAGTTCGAGTTCGCGTTTCTCGTCAAGTGTAAGCCAAAATAGTCATTGTCTATAGAAAATAAAGATGAACCAAACATCATCACCATTCATGAAATAATATAAAAAGCCCCTCCATGGTTGCAGCTCCTGTCAAACCCACCAAGGCGTGCAACATGCAATTATCTCGCGCATAAACAAGCCAGCAGCTGTAGTGCGCTTATATGCAGCCCCGACACATTCTCGCAAGTACATTCAGTTCTCCCTCTGCTATATAATTCAGGCGCTGTTAGGTATCAATGCTCTCCGTAGTTTTTTTATGCCTCTCGCAGCTCCAGAGACCCTTCTCCGCGTGACTGGCCCTCTATCTGAAGCGAGCACGGCAGCGGCCCATAACCTCGCCCTGGCACACCAGCTCGGTGCTAAACTCAGAGCCATCGAGCGTCAGGTAGATATCAAAGTAGACACGGTAAAAGGTTCCTTGTGGCGTGTCCATGCGCTCAAAGTCTTTTTCGAGGTTCTTGCGTGACAAGTCAGATGTGAGGGTGACAACTTCCTTGATGCCTGCTAACTGTTAGCAGTGATTCAGAGCATGTTCGTCGTGTAACTTACGAGGATCCTTGGTATATTCGGGGCAGACATCATCGTCGCAAGCGTATAGAACATCCTCGTACATGAGGGTGGCGCCAGGAGCAACTTGTCTGAAGAAGGAGACCTTGACCGTCTCGCCATTCTTGACCTTTTGACCTCTTTGAACAAAAATCTGTCGGGTGAACTTGCAGCGGTCCTTGCCGTCGAGGGAGGGCACACGATACGCCTCAGGGTGATATCCCTCCTTGAAGGGTTGAAGTGTACCCATGAGGTAGTGGCGACGGGCGATACGGTGAGTGATGATGCGCTCGCTGATACCAGCAGTAACGGCACCCTTAACAATGGCGGCGACCGAGTCCATGGGACGGACAACCTTGGACTGAAACTGGGGAGGAACATGGAGCTTGATCTGCTGGAAGAGATATTCAGAGGCACCGAAGCCACCAACAACCAAGATGTTCTGGAGTGTTCTGTTTTGGGCCTGGATGGCGATAATCTGGTTACGGACAAGTTCGAGAATACGGTTGACGACTGGCTCGAAGCACTGCAGAATCTCCTCGTTGGTAAAGGTCATGTAACCTTCCTCAATACCGGCCTCGGGGAATTCCGCCTCAATACCGACATCAACGGCCCACTTCTGACCGTTGTTTCTGAAGTCGGCTTTGATTCTGTTCTCAAAGTCCATGATGCACTTGGCGTAGACTCGTCCGGCGGTCTTGGAGCCCTCGGGAAGCTTCATCTTGCGAATCTTGGTGCGCAAAATGTTACTAAAATTGCGGTTCAAGGCCGTGGAGCCGCAAGAGTCGCCAGAGCCGGCTGTGCACTCGGCAACAGTGAAAGGGTTCTCCTCCTCGACTTCGTAGGCGATCAAATCGACAGTACCGCCACCGCAATCAACAATGAGGACAGCATCGTGCACCCTGAGGTTGAGAAGACCCGTCTTGGAGCAGAAAAGAGCAGCGGCTTCGGGTTCAGATACCAGAGTAAGGCGGTTGTCATTTTCATCACGCAGAAACCCAGCCTGAATGGCGGCAGCACGAGTAGCGGCCTTGCCGGCATCGTTCCAAATGGCAGGGACAGTCAAATAGTAACGGATGTTGCGTTCTTCGCGGTTGAAGACTTCACCAAGGGCCTTTTGCAGAGCAGCGCGCATGGCCTGGCGCAGCTTGAAGAGGTAATCGGCGGCGACATCGATCTCGGATTTGCCCGGGGGCAGAGGAGGCAGGTTTATGGGGTCGATGTAGGTGTTGCCGCTCAGCATTAGTTGCAGCTTAAACCACTCGACCTTTTGCACGCCGGGTTTGGGGTAGCCGGTCGGGGCAAGGGCATCTGCTATATCGGGACCCCAACCAACAACCTTTTGGTACTGGTCGTAGTAGAGAACGGTGGGAATCTGATAGGTGGTGTCAGCGAGGCTGCAGGCCTGTAGGATCTCGGCTACGAACCTTTTGCTTTGTGTAAGAGCCGGCACCGGGCCATTCGGTAATGATATCCTCCTTGGCTTCGTTGTTGGTGGCAAAGGCGAATGCGACACCGGAAAATGTTGTACCCTGTCAACTGATTAGTTGAGGCTGGACTGGCGTAAAATCTAGCAGAATCGCGAGGGTGGGATAGATGGGTCGTAAACTTACGAAATCGATACCGACAATGAGCTGCGCTTTGCTTTGGCTGGAGCCCTCGACTTCGGCGCGGTTTTGGCCAAATTGCTGTTGGGCCATGGGACCCGAAGGCTGAGGAGGCGGGCCAGGAGGATAGCCAGCGGGCGGGGGATATCCCTGGGGAGGACCACCATGGCCCATTGGAGGGCCGCCACCCATGCCTTGAGCCATATTGGGAGGATATCCGACAGGCGCGCCGGTGTTGATGGGGGGAGGGCCGCCAACCATCTGCGAGGGCGGGGTGCGGTTGGGACCTTGGTTGGTGAGGGGACTGGTGCGGCCAAGAGGCTGAGCAGCAGGATTTTGAGGGTAGTTGGCAGTATAGCTGGGCGGGCGATTGCCAGCCCCGGGGTGATTCATTGGAAGCGATGTGGTTGACGTGGACGAGGTGAGGGGAGCGAGGCCGGCGAGGTTGCTCTGAGGTATTTGGCCGGGAGGAGGGGTACCAGTATGGCTGGGGGGGACGCCGTCGACGGTCTGGATGCTGGCGGTGGATTTGCGCTTTCCGAACCCGAAGTTTTTCAGGCGAGAGTTGATCGAGCTCATAAGGAAGAAGCCAAGAGGAAGAAGAAAGGAAAGAAGAAGAGAAAGAGAGGGACGAGGTGTGGGAGGGGAGGTAAAGAAAAAAAAGCTACGAGCTGGACGGGGGTGTGTGGGAGGAGAGGAAAAGCCGTGAGCTGGTAAGCGGATAAGGTTGTGCCGTGGTAGTGTTAGCAGCACGCAGAAGGCGGGCCGAGGGGCTGGTTTGGGAGCGAGCGGGCGGGTTGGAGGTACCCAAAGGCTGAAGGAGGGGAACTTGGGACGTTTGGTTTGGCAGGAGCAACAACGCACTTTGCAGCAGCAGCAAGCAGCAGTAACAAATCGAGGTGTCAGGCTGGACGCAACCTGGGCGTGAGCGTGGGCGTGGGCGTGGGCGTGCGAACCAGAGTGGGCTGGCAAGGCGCAGCTCGTGAGGCTAGCAGCCGAGGAGAGGGATGAGACGGGGAGAGTCGTGCTTGATTTATGGCGGTGGGATTCTAAACCAGGCTTGAAGTTAAAAGAGGAAAGAAAATGGGATTCGGAATCACGTTGGTTTCTTTTTCTCCAAATCACAGCTAGTGTAACCTGTATCAGAACTCGTGAAAATTAAAGCCCAATCCCAAGCCGCGAGGCGTCGAGGCACCAACTGAGCCGTCCGAACCAAGGCAAGTAACTAACAACTGTGGCAGAGCAGAGGTTCGCCCAGCCAGCAGCAGATACGAGAGGGGGGGCTGAGGCACTGCGCAATATGCCCATTCGCCAGCCACGGGGCTTCTTCAAGGCCTCCCTCCCACGCCCCGACTGGGACCTATTTATGCGGGCACATGCGGGCAGCTTGCAACGACTTTTTCTTTCCTCTCTAACGTGTCGTTATCCTTCTGCTTTAAACTCTAGTTAGCCGCCGTCGTCACTCACGTCAAGTTTATTTTTATCTGCTTCACTCTCCACGTTTTCAACCGGCCAGCCTCGCTGCTTTTGCGCCGTGGGCCACTACACGGATTCCAGCCCGCTGACGCCACCCTATCAGCCACCAACACGAGCTGCCTCCCAATCCTGCAGAGAGCCAATAGATATCACAGTGCAGAAGCATCTGCGTCGGCTGATGTAATGTTGTCTCAATAGCTGCGAGCCCGTTTTCCTCGACACATCTCGTCAAAACACCCGCCTCGCCAATACCGTCTCATCGCCGTCGGCTCCTGCGGCCGTCGAGGTGGCATCTGCGACATTCTCCTGCTGCTCCTGTCACGCTTGAATTTTTGTTTTGGTGCTACCAAGGACCGAACAGGAACTAGCGAAGTGATCTCTCTTCTGCTGGGCGCCTCAGCCCAACTTCGATTGGCAACACGGCACATTGCGAACGTGAAGCGGGGGTTGGCGCACAACCAGCCACATGTGGCCTCAAAGTTGCAGCTAGCGAGAGCGGCGTTGACACTCACGACCCAGGCTTGCGAACAAGACTGGATATGAACATGTGTGTATTCCACCATGTCTGTTTGGCGAGCTGTGCCACGCTTGACCCGTTTCATAAATAGCAACTCCCCAGATCCCGGGGCTGTGCCGGCCGCCACATCCTTGACATGAGCGATCCAACGAATCCAAAAATCACAGAGTCGACATGAATAGCGTCTGTCCAGCTCAGCCTCGTTTCTCATTGTGGGCTAACTAGGCATCTTTACCTATAATGCAGGGCACTTTTGCCCTCTGGGCTTACTCACGTGATGTGGAGCAGTGCTTTCACAGTGCGAGAATTCTTGAGTGGTTGAAGAGAGGAGAATCGTCACGAGTAAGTGTATAACTAATTAGTAAGGCATGTGTTGAGTCTTTTCGCTCCCTTGGTAACTAGTCGACGACTTGTTGCATTGGCGATATAATACGCACGCCCCTCTTCGTATCCATCTGTCTGGTGTCATTCCTTGTTCTCCAGACTCGGTCCGACTTCCACCTCGAGCAGTGATAGTAACTCTCAATTAGAGCCCTCATATCTGTTGACGCGTTGATTGCGAGGGTAGCAAGTCAACGAACGACCAGATCTGATTTTCTTCCTCTTTTTGCATTAACCCTTCGGCACCAATAAAACAAGGTCGACGAGCAACCAATGGTCGATCAGTCGTCACAAAGTTGGCTCATGCGGCAAACTGTGAACTCGGGCTAACAATCCGTAGTTATTCATGTATCCGTAATCTCTGATGATTTGCGGGGTCTAGTTACCATTTCTCCCCCCAGACAAAGGAAACAACGACGTTGACAGTGCTTTAAACGGTGCCATGATATTTCTATGGGCGACATTGTTTTCTACAGCCTCGATCGAAACTTACAACGAGCTCATCGGCGAATAAGGCATTACGTGCGACGGGACAATCTACTGATGCAATGCCTGATAACACGTTGATGGTTTTGCAAGTGGAGGTGAGACGCCCCTGCCAGGCAGGTAATAAAGGGAATTGATGATTAGTGCCGTCGAGAGCCGGCGCCAGCCAAAAAAAAAAGGACAAACACACACTGGTCAACCTTGAACGCTCAAAAGACACCGTCTTTGTGTCTTTTAATAGTCATCACGATTGAAGCCGCTGAGCACACTGTGCACGATACAAACGCAGGAGCGAGTCTAGGATTCGGTTGGGTCAATGAGCTCAAGGCAACGACACGCGCCGCTTCCGAGACCAGCCCAGGCCTATATCAAGGCCCTCGAGTCAAACTCATTGGTGTTCAACGCAGCAAGCCCGAGTCTCGTCAAGCCAACGACGACAATCCAACATTGTCCTGCGCATCTTTCGGCCCGTTCCCCATACCAGGCCCAAATATTACCCGCCAAAACAATCCCGGCCCGGCATTTTTATACCACCAAGCAGTTTTTTTCGCCTCACTTGTTATTATTACATTCCGCGTGCGCCATTTGATACCAGCAACCGTTTTCGTTTGACTGGTTGTTGGGGCGGGCTCTCCGCAATTTGGCGCCCCCCCCCCGGTCCGGCCGGTTCGGTGAAATTCAAAGTCTACTCCAGAGTCTACCTAGAACGCCGGGAGGAACTCTGCCAGCACCGGCGGCAGCATTGGTGCACATTTAGTGCGCAGTCTAACTAGTACCTGTGCATTACCCGAGCGAGAACAGCGCTGCTGCGCTGGCACCCCCGCCAGCCATCACATCACCACGACGGCGTCTACAATAGAGGCTAGCGCCTTGTGGCGCGCTGGCTGGAGGCAGAATGACGCACCCAAGGGACCAGCGAAGCGGGCGGCAGTGGGAACTCTCTTGTCTGTGGTTGGGTTTTTGGTGATATTTGCCGTGAGTTGCTTTTCCTTCCATCCTGCCCTTTCGTTTTGGTCTCCCGCTAGTTACCGCGACGAACCCATTTTCCGCCTCCAGTGGCCTGGCTGGCGCTCTACAGTGGTGTACCTCTCCCGTCGCCAAGAGCTGCTGGCTGCCGTCCCCTGTCGTGAGACTCATTATTACAGTGCTCTGCCTGCAAGTCCCCAAGCTGTCACCAAGACCACCAGAAGCAACTCCCAAACTCCCCAAAAAGCCTCCCGCCACCAACCCTGGAGCTCCCCGCATCCCCCAAAACTCCCCAGAATCGCCTCATGGCTGGCCCAGTGGCCACCTCTGCCCACTGTCGTCGCCACTGACCTAATTCATGCCCACCCACCCACACCTCGCCCACCCTCTCCATCCAGCTTCTGCCGCTAACGACTCAACAAGCTCGCCCAATTCTTTCTTATTTTTATTCACGACGCCAAGTTTCTCCTCTCTTACTTTCATTTTGCCCATTCATCCCCCTTTTCTCCTCACGGCTTCTTCTTAAGACCATTCTTTGCCTCTACAACCCTGGCCCTCGAGCCAGTCTGCCAGAATCCAGCTCCATTTCCCACTATACAGCCTGCCTCGTGGCCCCTCAACATGGGCCTGCAAGAAGAAACCAAAAAGGTCGTGTCGCAGTTTGAATTCTCCGACGCAGACATCAACATCCATGTCGCCGAATTCATTCAGCAGATGAGTATGCTTCCCACGGCCTTGGACCAACACCACCCGCCGCTGTTCAGCGCAATGGCTAACCAATCTCCCTCTAGACACTGGTCTCGAGCAGGATGGCACCAGCGTTAGCCAGATCCCGACCTACGTCACTGCCGTCCCCAATGGCACTGAAAAGGTTACTCAATCACTCCATGCATTTATGCTGCATCAAACTTACTCGTTCTAGGGGCTCTATCTTGCCGTCGACCTCGGTGGCACCAACTTCCGCGTCTGCTCCATCATGCTCAATGGTGACACCACCTTCAACCTGACCTACAACAAGGTTGCCATCCCCAAGGAACTCATGGTTGCCAAGACAGCCAAGGAGCTCTTTGCTTTCCTTGCTAAGCAGATCGAGCTCTTCCTTCGCGAACACCACGCCGATCACTTCGAAAGCCACGTCCGCCGACGCCACACGGCCAGCACTCCCCTGGGCTACCGCGACGAACACATTTTCCGCCTTGGCTTCACCTTTAGCTTCCCTGTCCAGCAGCTTGGAATCAATAAGGGTAAGCTTATCCGATGGACCAAGGGCTTCGATATTCCTGATGCCATTGGCAAGGATGTTTGCGCTCTGCTCCAAGACGAGATTGACAGACTGCGACTCCCCGTCAAGGTCGCTGCGCTCGTCAACGACACTGTCGGAACCCTCATGGCCCGCTCCTATACCTCAGTCGGCAAACACCAATCGATTCTCGGCGCTATTTTTGGCACCGGTACCAATGGTGCGTACATGGAAAAGACTTCCAAGATCAAGAAGCCCATTACCGGCGAATACGACACTTCTACTGGTGAAATGGTTGTCAACACCGAATGGGGCTCGTTCGACAACCAGCTCAACGTTCTTCCCGTCACACCTTGGGACAAGAAGCTTGACCAGGATAGTGTGAACAAAGGCTTCCAAATGTTTGAGAAGCGCATCTCTGGCATGTTTCTCGGTGAGATTGTGCGATTGGCTATCGTAGACATGCTTGAAAATAAATCTACCGGCCTTTTCCAGGACACCAACTCCAGCTTCAACGATCGCGTCACCACCACCAGCATTGACCCCAAGTCTCTGCTCTTCAAGCAGTGGGGCTTGGACAGTGCTGTCATGTCGGTCGCCGCCAGCGACAACACCCCTGAGCTTTCCACCCTGCGACAGGAGTTGGAAAATACTTTGGGCGTGTACTCTGCCTCGCTCGAGGACGCGCAGGCGTTCAAGGCCATCTCCAACGCAGTCGCGCGCCGCGCCGCTCGACTTTCTGCTGTCGCCATTGGTGCTATTGCCATCCAGTCCGGCAAACTTGAGGATTCTGAGTGCGAGCTTATCGATATCGGTGTGGATGGTAGTCTTGTTGAGCACTACCCCTTCTTCCGCGACATGATTTACGAAGCTCTCCGAGTGACGGACAGCATCGGCCCTAAGGGCGCTGATAAGATTCGCATCGGTATTGCCAAGGATGGAAGCGGTGTTGGCGCTGCTTTAATTGCGTTGGTTGCTGCTAGCCGCGAGCAGCCTGGCGATTTCCTGGCCGACTTGCGTACCGATATCAAGCGCGGCCTTGACCGTCTTCCCCAACACAGTATGTTATTCTTGACCTGGACACTATTCCAACACTAACGCAATACAGTCGAGGAGTCGCCCCTGTCGAACAATGCTGTGCTTGCCATTGGCGCCGCCGCAGCCATTGGTGTTGCGGCGTTGTGGTACTGGAGGCGTCATTAGGCGGTCTCTTTTTTTACTGGAGTTTGGTTAACGGCGTCTCAATATGCTTTCAAGACAGTTTATACTTGTATATCTAACAGAGCGACACCTTATTTCATCTTGATTATTCACCATCTCGGTTGTACTTGTCTTTTGTGATTCTGTGATTAGCTGTTCAGCCTCGCAAATGCAAAGTAGATGCAAGCCGTCTATATAATTCTATATGTTCATCTTTTGTATGACTGTGCCCAGTGAACCCTGGGACTTTTTGCTTTTAAAGACACTCCCCCTAATGCTATTTTGATGCTGTTCCCCCACTGCGCCAGTCGCCTCGACAAACCCATCTCTCTCGCTGTGGCCACTCCTTAGCTACGTACCAAAGGCGGCCGATGGGTAAGATCGGTCGCGCTTCTTCCTCTGCGCCGCGCTGGAACTGCTCCGCGAGCTCGCCCCCGACACCGCCCCCGATCCAGGTTCGCTCCCACCCGCAAGGTTCCGCCGCGGTGGGGGCGGCAGACCCATCATGTCGACGGGCAGGTCGTTCCATTCCATCTCGGAGCGCTGGTTCTGGTATGAGCCACCTCGCGGGGGCGGCGGGCGTGCGTCGCTGTTGAGATTGGCCGACGTGGTGGGAGGGCGGTTCACGGCCGCCGGCGCTTTGATTGTCGCGTCCGCCATTGCGTCCCGGGCGTGCACGGCGCGGAGAACAGCGCCAGCGCGGACGGGCCGCGAGACGAGTATGGCCGAGTCGGGCCGTAGACGGCGGTAGTAGCCGTGGATGGGGTCGCCGCAGCGCTCGAAGCCGCGCCGCTGGTACCACGCGAGCCCGACGTCATTCTCGGTCCACACGTGCGCGGTGACGCTGCGGATCGTCAACGCGGACGAGGTGTGCGCGAGTATGTCGTCGAGGGCAGCGCCAGCGAGGCCCATGCCGCGGTACGGCGCGAGGATACCGAGGCTGCGAATGTAGAGGTTGTGCTCGGGGGAGGTGCCAGGCGGTGGTTCGGGAATGCAAACGACGGCGCCGACAATCTTGGGCTCCTCGGGGAGGCCGTTGCCGTCGCCGGCCCATGTGATGACACGCGAGTGGCGGTGCGACAGCGTAGGGTCGAGGACGGCGGCATAGAAGCTGTCGGGGAAGGCGACGGGGAGGAGGAGGGCGTTGAGGCGCCGCAGGGCGGTAATATCGGCGGGTTCGACGGCGCGGATGGTGGCGTTGGGCGGCAAGGAAGGGTTCGTGGCCGAGGTTGACGGGAGCGGCACCGGCAGTGATAAGGGAGCTGGCGGCAGCGTTGGTGGTTGTGGAGGGGTGGTCGTGGTGGAGGAGGGAGGAGGGGCGTAGGTGGGTGGCTTCGGAGGTTGGAAAAAGGAGCGTATGGATTGCTGGTGAGGCGCGGTGCCGAGCTTTGAGGATGGAAGTGACATGGCTGGAGTGAAGGGTGTGTATCTGCGGAAAAAGAATGTTGGGATGTGAAAAGGAGAGAGGAGGGTTGTCGACGGCTTGGTGTGGGTGAGAGGGTGGAGGTGATTTAGCTTTGGCGGTGCATTGCTAAATGGACTGGGGTAAGGACGATAGAGTTTGGACAGGGCAGCGAATAGGCCGGCGACACGAGACTCAGTTCATTCACCATGAAGTAGAGTCTTGATAATCAGGCTTGTTGCTTGATTTACCAGTGGGTTGGCGGGCGGCATTGGTAGGACGGCATTTGGAACGAACTACGGAGTAGACACGTACACGAACCTACATAGACAAGCACTGGTCATCGATATCTGTATTACAAATTATTGGGCGAGCTTGTTTGCCTGCAGAGAGACAAACCATGAATATGGTACAATGGTATGGTTGAATGGCTGCTGGCCAGTCGACAAGGGTTACAATAGTTCCCGTTGCAATTGGGCTGCGGGCGGGATGGCGCCACGGGGCCTGCCAACTAGTAGCTATCAGGGGCTGAGCCGTTCATTGTCTTTGATCATCAACAACGGTCGGCCGGGCAAAACGATTGCCGAATCGCAGATACAAAACTGCTGATGACAGACGGTTCCTAAAAAGGAATAGGACAGGCGCCGCCTGCAGCATTTCTCTTCTTGGTCCTGCGGTTCGCTCGCTCCCATGCGGGCTTTATATTCGCTTATTCGCTAGCCCCTGCTCGTTAGAGTAGGATGTAGGGTCGAAAGTGGAAAACGTCATGGGCGATTTGCGCATGCGGGATCGTGGCTTTCGATCTGCGAATGATGGGAGGAGCCAGATGGTCAGTCTCCGCGTGTGCTTTTGTCTCCTCTGCGTATGGTAACTAGTCTGAGTGCAGTAGTGTAACAAAGGAGGGGGAATGTGGTGGACGGTTGGATCTTGTGATGATGTGTGTATATGTAAGTATGTACTTGAGAGCAATAGCTGTCGTGTTTCGGAGGTAATTTGGTGGCAAATGGATATTTGTAATGACTTGCTGGCCCGTCACACGAGCAGGTGTACTGAATCGCGTGGTTTATTTCATTGGTTTGACATTGAGGCTGAGGCCGAGTGCCACAGTGTCGTGTCAGCCAGAGGGGAGCAACAACCTACCAGTTGGTGGTGATGGCGAAGTATGTGATGGCGAAGTATGTACGGTTAAGGTCAAAGGACAAGTACTATTACCGACCTAACCATGCCCTCATTATCGTCGATTAGCGGTACGAATGGCGCGGATGATGGAGCATTTGAACGTGTACTGGATAACTGCCTACCTACCGTTACAGAGAGTTGATTGCGCTTGTTTCCAGTTTATTTGCTGCTGTCGCGCCTGCTTTGTATGTAGGTACATTGTCCGCCATCCACCTGGCAGTAATATATGTCCCCGAGAAAAAGGCTGGATCGATCCCCGGACCGCCTAAAATCTACAGGTAGTTAGTTACCCTCCTGCACCCGACATCTGGCAACCCAAAATCCACACCCCTAACTAAGTCGATTCACTTGGGTCGCCGCATCCTTTTTTTCCTCTCCAATCTCAAACAAACCCTTTATTTTCTGGAAAGTTGCTTTCCGTGATTCGATCTGCGGCTTACATCCGCTCTTATCCCCCCTGACCATTTTCTTCTCTCCTTAGTTAATACCTCCCAGCTGCCGAATCAGAGAGAGCGAGAGCGAGTGGTGCTGTCATCCCGCCGCGCCGTTGCCGCCGCCGCCGCCAGCCCAGGTGCCCAGCCAGCCACGGGCCTGCTGCTGCTGCTGCTGCCGCCCCTCGAAACCCAGCCCATCCCTAAATTTGTGGCCTGGGCTTTTGGTTTCCCGAATCGCTTCATCGCAACGCCTGCCCATCATGAATAGCCCGTCCGGCCGGGCTGGACTCATCAAGGCTCGCGACGAAGCCGGCAGCATGGAGAAACTGGTATGATTTCCCTCTGCCCGCAGTAACAGCCATCCCCTCTCTCTCTCCCCTTACCCTGGTCTGGCTTGTCCTCGCCTGTCCTCCGCCGTCATGGGCGAGCTGTTCGCGCGCCGCTGACGGCTGCCTACCACGAATTGCGCCTCACTCCCCCCTGGATTCGCCTTTCCGTACGCTTGCTAACCAATTGCCCTTTGCTCTTTCCCCTCTTCTAGGCACATTCCGTCCTCGACGACATATTACACAATGTCATCTCCGACATCCTCACCAAGGTCCATCGCGAGGAGAAGCAGGCCAAGGCCACATCCGCCGCCATCCGTGTCGAGAAGATGGCCTCGGACGCCTCCGAGAGCTCGACCCCCGATTCGAAACCCGACGGCCGCGTCGAGACCGACGCCGCAATCTACGAGGACGGCCGGGTCACCCTCAAAGGCAACCCGCTCCAGACCACGCCCGACATCCTCTGCCCCAAGTGCCATCTTCCGCGTCTGCTCGCGCCCACTGACGGCAAAGGCGCCGTCAAACCCGATCCCACCATCATCTACTGCAAGCGCCACCCCTACATTGACAAGCCCGGTTGTGACATTTACGGCCAGTCCTGGGTCGCCCCAGGGCCCGGTCGCGGCAAGAAGAAGAAGGACATGGAGAAGCCCGACCCGGCTGATAAGCCCGCCAACGTGCTGTCCTTTCCTTCGGCCACCTGCAGCAAGTGCAAGCGCTGCATCCTCGTCACCCGTCTCAACAACCACATGGGCTCCTGCATCGGCAACAGCGGTCGCAACGCTAGCCGTGCCGCCGCGCAAAAGATGAATGGTAACGGCTCCCAACACGACAGCACACCACCCTCGTCACAAAAGGCGACGCCGGGGCCGGGATCGCGCGCCTCGAGCCCTAGGAAACGCGACGTCGCAATCAGCGAAGACGACGATGACGACGACGATGATTCCGACGCGAGCCCCAAGAAGAAGAAGGTCAAGTCGGTGACCGCCGCGGCAGCTGGCGTTACCAAAAAGGTCATACTCAAGACGAAACCCAACATGAAGCCGGATAAAGCTCGCGTCTCCTCGCATCTTAAACAGGAGCACAAGTTCGATGAAAGCGACTCGGCGCACGACAAGACCCCGACAAAGGCGCTGAATAAACACACGAGTCCTCTAAAAAAGGTCAAAGTCCAGAAACCCACGAGCTCCCCGCTGTCCCGCAACGGCAGGGACATTGACATGAGGTCAGAGTCCTCGGATGCAATGTCCTCGCCGCCTGGCCGATAATTATGCACCACTACGCAGTTCATGGCTACGCCGAGGTGAAAGGACTAGTCATGGTGATATGTCGGTCCTCTGTGCCATGGGCTCTTGCCCTTGCCTCGAATTTGTATTAACACTACCACTTGGATAACTATTGCTGCTTAATCGTGCACACCAACCCCGCGACTATTCGCGAGTGCCTCGTCGAGCCTATCTTGTCTCTCTCTAGGGGACTTTTCTTCTTCCCCCCATCATACACGTTTTCTTGCATCCGGGACAGGCTTGCTCCCTCTACTGTTTCACTACCCCATTACCTCTTTTTGTTAGCTTTTGTTTTTGGCTATGTTGGCTTTTCCTCGACCTTTTTTGTCTGTTTTCTCCTGCGCTTTGAGTTTTGAACTGTTCCGCTGTCGCTACCCCTTTCGTTTTACTGGAACTGGCAGGGAGAGAGGAGAGGAAAAAGGTTGAGGTTGAACGGGAACCGAGTACAAAAGGAAGACACACACACACACACATTCTTAGCATTTCCGCACATGCGGGCCTGGTGGCGTTTTATCGGAGAATATGGCGTTTTGTTGATTTCTTCTTCTTTTGCTTTTACTATCTTTTTTTGCTCTTCTGAGCTGCAGTGAGCTGCTCTCTGAAAAAGGGGACTTTTTTTTGTTTGGTTGTCGGTGCATGGATGGACGGAAATCTATAAGGCGGATCCAGAAATGTATACAGTCAATTGGAGTAGAATGGGTCTTTTTGATTCATGTCATTTCTCTCTTGCGTCTTTCGTGAAGCGTTGCTTGATGAAAAGTGTTAATTCGTAGACGGAAGGCGTAGTCCGTCCTTTGGTGTTGTGCTTTTAGCATCGAGCTGTAACCCGAGCTTCAATATATGGATGACCCTTGGGCCGTCTCCCCTGCTTTATTTTATTGATTTTTTTTTCTACACATTTATTTACACTGGCTCTTCCGAACCCTCCACCACCCTGGCCGTCACGATCCTCACATCCTCCAACGGCCGGTCCTCCGCCCCCGTCGGCACGAGGCCCATGCGCCTGACCGTGGCCATGCCGCGCGTGACGCGCCCAAAGATGGTGTGCTTGCCGTCGAGCCATGGCGCGGGCGCGAGCGTGACGAAGAACTGCGACCCGTTGGTGTCGGGCCCCGCGTTGGCCATGCTGAGGATGCCGGCCCCCGTGTGCTTGAGCCCCGGGCCGATCTCGTCGGCGAACTTGTCCCCGTAGATGGACGACCCGCCGCGGCCGGTCCCGGTCGGGTCGCCGCCCTGCAACATGAAGTTGGGGATGATGCGGTGGAAGACGGTGCGGTCGTAGTAGCCCCGCCGGGCGAGCGTGGCAAAGTTGGCGCACGTCTTGGGCGCGTGCTCGGTGTAGAGCTCGAGCGTGATGGAGCCCTGCCCGTTGGTTAGATGAGAGAAGCGGTTCGGCTTCGGGTGGGGGATGGGGATCGAGAGAGAAAAGAGGCGAGAACATACCATTGTGGTCTCCAGTAGTACGTTTGTCGTCATGATGAGACTTGGCTCTTGTGGATGTGAGAGTGTATGGGTGAGTGAGGTTGTTCGTCGCCGGATGCGAAATATCGAGCTGCAAATGTTGTCACTGTGGGGCACAACTTCAATGGCCGCCCTGCCGCGAACATCGACCAATACTTGACAAATGATGGGTTCTTCGGAGAAATCAAAGAAATCCAAGTTTGATTATATTCGAGACCCAACGTACTATTGAGCTGACCAAAACAACAGTATACGATAATTGCTGGACATGCTGCGTCTTACTGCAGCGACGGCTTACAATGTCCGCTTCAACACCTGGTGCCAAACACCACGAACTATCACGGTACGCCGATTTCAGAGACTTTTCACTTGTTCACGAGCTCGCAGCATGTATAGTATTAAAACTAAAAGCTTCGTAAGCTGAAATTTTGCTCATCGTAGTCCGTGGCTGTCACCGTTGATTGCAGGCCAATAATAGCAGTATCGCTCGCTTATTGCCGGCCCTATCACACCACATACACAATATAGGCTTTGTGACAACCTTCGAAGATGAATTTCACCAGTTCCAAAGATGAAAGCTAATACCTTTATACATTTCGTCGAAATTCTCCTGTGAATCACAGCCGTCGCAGGCTCGCTCATTGGTAGGTGGCCTTGATTTTTCTCGCACGCGGCTTTGTACGTTTACTTTCCTACCTACAAAAACACATAATACTAGCCCACACCGGAGAAATAATTCGATTCAAACAAGTGCGCAACAGTTTGGTCATTCATGTTATTATTGTTTTGTGGTTATTCCCGGTACATAATCATTGCCCAAATAAAGCATCGCATATACAGTCTAGCTCGTAGGAGCGCAGGGCGCCGCGCAAATGCGCTCGCCATTTTTTTACTCCACCTAAGCAGAGATCTTGTCCTTGAGGGTCTTCTTGAGGGTCTCAGCGTCGGCAGCAAACTTGCTGATACCTTCACGGAGCTTCTCGACGGCCATCTGCTCCTCGTTGAAGGCGAAGCGAAACGTCGGCTCGTCGTTAATAAAGGTCTTGCGCTCAATGTTCTTGGCAGAGGCGGCAGCGGCATCGAGCTTCTTGGGGACGGCATTGGAGCTGTTAAGGAGCTCCTCAAGCAGACCAGGCTGGTGAACGTTAGCAAATGCAGTATAGGATTGGAGAGGAACACATACGGAGATGGTCAGGTAGTCGCAGCCGGCAAGCTCAGTGATCTCGCCAGTGTTGCGGAAAGAGGCACCCATAACGATGGTCTTGTAGGCAAACTTCTTGTAGTAGTCAAAGATGGCCTTGACGGAGGTCACACCAGGGTCGGTCTCCTTGGTGTACTCCTGCTTGGTAGAGGCCTTGTACCAGTCGAGGATACGGCCGACAAAAGGAGAGATGAGGAAAGCTTTGGCCTCAGCGGCCGCGATGGCCTGAGGAAGAGAAAACAAGAGAGTCAGGTTGCAGTTAATCTGGTGGTCGCGCTGGAGGATCTCAGCCGCCTTGATACCCTCCCAGGTAGAGGCAATCTTGATCAGGACACGGTCCTTGGAGATGCCCTGCTGCTTGTAGAGCTGGTTTTGATGGTTAGCTAGGCGTAGTTGAAGCGATGAAGGAAAGCAACTTACGTCGATGATATGGAGAGCCTTGTCGACGGAGCCCTTGGTGTCAAAAGACAGTTTGGCGTCAACTTCGGTAGAGACACGGCCGGGAATGATTTCGAGGATCTTCTGGCCAAACTCGACCAGGAGACGGTCAAGGGCATTCTCGACCTGGGCGTCGACATCGCCGCCCTGCTTCTTCGCGTAGGCAACGGCGTCGTCAATCAGCTTGGCATATTCGGGCTTCTTGGCAGCGGCTAGGATGAGCGAAGGGTTGGTGGTAGCATCCTGGGGCTTGTACTTGTCAATGGCTGCGAGCGGTCAGCATCTGTTGAGATGTTCGAAGGCGGGGAGGCACGGTGTCGAGACGAGGGGTTATAATGTCTCAAATCGGCCGCCGGGAGAATGGAGAGGACAGGAGGGGGTCACTAACTGGAAAAGTCGCCTAGAAAAGAGAGTAGTTAGTTATTAGGATTCGAATTGTGACTGTCGGAATCTGCGGGAATTTACCAGAGTCACAGACGACAACCTAAGAAAGCAGGGTCAGCGGTTTCAAAATCAGGTTGGAGGATGTGGTTAGGTATCGCATTAAGGCAAGGTAGGAAACAATTCGAGAAGATGTTGCTTAAGAGTATCTCGCCGTCTAATCTTGAGGGAAATGTCATGTCATTCTCAACGGAAACCATTACTGCCGTTGAGGCGTGAAGCTCTGTGGCAACGAGGGGCATCGATGATGGCGGGGTAGATTGGGGCAAAGGTCGAGTACTTACAGTGCCGGTGGCCTTGAGCTGCTCAAGAGAGTTGGACATTTTGGGAGTTCTGGTTTTGGGTATCGAAGAATGAAGAGAAAGGTGTCGTTGAAAGATTGTGATGGGAAGAGGGAAGAGGCAAAATGGATGGAGACGGGAGAGGAAGGATAAAAAGGTTGGGACTGATGACGGAGTTGCTTATGAGATAATGCCAAAGCCGGTGGCAGAAGCTACACGACAGTGGGGTGGAGGTTGCACTCGACTCGAGCACTGTAATGGTGCTACAGGGTCTCTGGTGGGGAATTGTGCAGTGCTTTGGAGGGGTTTGGGTGGCAAGGTGGGAGCTGTAGAGGGGCTTTTAGCGGGTCGGATGCACCGGGTGGAAGTTGCTGTGCAATTACCAATTGGCTGGCAGAAAATGCTGCGGGAATATGTTATTGCTGGTAACTAAGTAGTTAGCTAACACAAGAAAAATTGATCATTTACGACTGATCATTCGGTTTTTACCAGCCACTTCTTCCTACTGAAAATATCTTCTGAAGCGGTAATGCGGACTGTCTGGGTCAATACGCGCCAGTCCGCCTCTTGCGCCTCCGATCGCCGGTGACCGGAGATGTTAAATTGCTAATAAATCGCGCCGCCAGGTTAAGCCATAGTAAAACATTTACGGGTAACACTCGTATCGAAATTGAGAGAAAGAAATTTCTACTACAGGATGAGATATAATTTTGTAACTTCCGTCGAGAATCTCTCATTGCGTGTTGCAGACCAATTGGCAGGTGAATGCCTGGATCCTTCCTTAGTCATCACAGCTTTTAAAGACCACGTATCTAACAGGTTTCACACAACACGTTGAACTGCAAACACCGTTTACCTTATCAATTTTTCGTCTCGCAGCTGTCGAAATCTCAGAGACACGCAATCGCTCTTTTCGACAAGACGGTCAAGGGTCATGGCGACCAACTCGCCTATCATGGACCCCAATGGGGGGGTCCTAGATGGCCTCAACTCGACCACTCACAAGGCCATGGCGCAGCCCGAGACGTGGCTCGCAACCCTGCAGGACATGGACTTCTTGCTTCTGGAAGCCAAGCTCGTCCTGAGTGCGGCGGGTATCATCTATATCGGCGCCCACGCGGCCCTGCGGCGGCCGCCGTCTGCCGCCCCGCCCCGGGACAAGAAGGCACGGCGCAAGACGGAGGAGGAGGACAACCTGGCTCAGGGCCTGGAGATGTCCGACGCCATCTTGTTTCCCGTCATGGCCGGCTTCGTGCTCGTGGGTCTGTACTACCTCATCCAGTGGCTCAACGACCCGGCCATCATCAGCACGATTCTGCGCTGGTACATGTCCATTGTATCAGTGGCAAGCCTCGTCACCCTATATGCGCACGGTGTGGACCTAGTCGCGGCGTTTGTGTTTCCAAAGTATTGGCGTGGTCTGGATGGCCGCTTGCGCGTGGCGGATCAGAGGGCCATGGCCGTTGTGCGATGCGACAATGTGGGCAACGTGAGCGCCGGTGAGCCCCCGCTGGCCGGCAACCCCTTGCCGGGCATCCTTGGCTGGCTTGCACCGACGGCAAAGCTGCAACATGTGGCTTGGAACATGCGAGGCACATTTAAGAGAGAATGGCTGCTGCGATTCTTTTTGCAGGGCGTGGGAGATGAAAAGGCGCACATCAAGTTTGCAACGATGGCAGCTCTGCCACTAGCAGCCGCGACAGCCATCTTGTACTTCAACACCACGTCGCCGTTTCTGTCCAACATTCTGGGCTATGGAATGTGCTACTGCTCATTTCTCGTCTTGTCGCCCACAGACTTGCTCATCGGGTCGCTGGTGCTCTCGGGGCTCTTCTTCTACGACATCTTGATGGTGTTTTATACCCCATACATGGTCACAGTGGCAACGACTCTCGAAGTCCCAATCAAGTTGCAATTCAAGACTGCCCAGCGTCAAAGTATCCTCGGTCTCGGCGACATTGTCATCCCTGGCATGTTCATTGCGTGGACTCTCCGTGCGGATCTGTGGCTGCACTACAAGCGTTTGGTCAAATACGAGCCCACAGCCTTGCAAATCGTGGAGAAGGATGCCGCTTCTGGCGAGCTAGTGACGCGCATCAAGACGAAGCATTGCGAGATCAAGCCCCCCTACATGGAGGTCAAGGGCAACTGGGGAGATTGGTTCTGGACGCGCCAGTTCATGTACTTGTGTGCGCCAAAGGAGGTACCGCTTTCGGTGGCTGCGAGCAATTTCAACAAGACCTACTTTTATGCGTCCATGGTTGGCTACCTGCTTGGTATGCTTGCTACGTTGGCGATGCTTCTAGTGTTTAAGCGTGGCCAGCCAGCGCTATTGTATCTTGTACCAAGTGTGCTCGGTGCTACTTACATCACAGCCATTTTCCGTGGAGAGTTAAAGAGCCTGTGGAAGTATACGGAAGACGGCAGCCTAGATACCATGGATGTCGTCGTGGACTTGGACTCGGATGGAAACCTGGTCAAGGCCATCGGCAAGCTGGAGAACGGAGTCGTAGATACGACAAAAAAAAAGGATCAGGGCCCCAATTCGAAGGGGACTAATAGCAAGGCTCAAGAAAAGGGAGATGAGAAGCCTATTAGTGAAGGTAAGAAGGTGAAGAATCACCACATCTTCTTGTTCTCTCTGGAGGCGCCCCCGGATGATGTGGAAGCATAGATTCATCATGTATATACCATAGACAATACACTTTGGGACAGTACAGCATCTACTTGTATCCTCGGCGCGATAACCGTGTGAATCAGACTCGACCTACTTTCGAACCAAGAGCGTTCGACAGATGAAACCGGTATTCCGAAAAAGCTTTTTTTTTATTTGGCGCAAACGACTGTTCTATACCTGTGTCTAAGCTTTCCCTCCTGAACCTTGATGTATGTAGGGTTCCAAGTCCTTGTGGGGCAATGTACCAAGAAAAAGAGTATTCCGAGAGAAACTATGAGCCAGAAGAGAAAAAAGTGCCTATCGTAGATGAGAAAAAAAGTCGAAATGATATTTCCCCAAGGAAACCAGCTGAAACTGCCTCCAAGTCATTGCCATTGCTCAGATACCTACATACAAGGTGGGGGTGTGAGAATGACACTGTGCAGCGAAGCCCCGCCTACAAATACACTCAGACAGCTCTGGCCGTAAGCCGAATCTTACATCTGTACCCAGCGCGTAATTATTGTTCTTCTCTTTCGACTCGGGCCTTCTTCAGTGGTATATCATTGCACGGTGCTTTGCCACCCTGTAGCTTATAACAGCCACCCTGCGCACAAGGCTACTAGTTCTGCGCTGAGCCTGACAACTGGTCGAGAGCCTCAACTCGCGCAGCTGTCAGCCGAGCTTCACAGAGCACTGGCCTGTCGCGAAAGCTTCCTATATCAGAACAAAATGGTGACCGTCGTACAGTGGGTGCTCGACACGCGGAAGCTATGGCTAGAAGCCTCCAAGACGGCCGAGTTGGAGCTCGTTGTAAGCTGTTTCTCCCCCCCTTAGCATCGGTGCATGCCATGGTAAAGCTGACATCTCGTTCAGGCCGCTCGCGCCATGGACCTGCTCCTCGACAGTGAGCGCGACGCCGTTCTCCGCTACTACCACGTACGCGACGCCAAGCTGGCGCTGGGCTCGGCGCTGCTCAAGCGCCTCGTGATCGCGCAGCACATCGCGGGCGTGCCGTGGGCCGCGGCCACGCCGGTGCGCGACGCGCGCACCAAGCCCGTCTTCCACCACCCGGCGGGCTCCGAGCAGCAGCCGGTGCTCTTCAACGT